TTCCCCCCCCCCCCCCCGAATAACTACGTACAATTTTTTTTAAAAAGAACGCAGTTATTCGGAGAGTGTGGAAGGATGGAGTAAATGTAAAAAAAGAATTATTTTTTAACCCCTATTATGGATTAGATGGAAGAAATAATTTTATGTTTTAAATATAGTGAAGAATTTTTTATAAAAAACACCAAGACAATAGATTCTTTTTTAAAATTTAATCTTATAAAAAAAGAAATAAGTTGTGTGAAATGTGATAACAGAATGATGATTATAGTGACTGCCACGTATATAGACGGGTATGCTTACATATGCTCTTCTAAGGCATGCAGATCAAAGGCAAGCCTAAGGAAGGGGTCTAAAATGGCCTCCCTGAATATAGAATTTGTAAAAATTCTTAGGGGAATGTATTGCTGGGTATATGATTATACCCTAGCACGGGGCATTGATTTTTGCGATTGTTCGAAGAACACTTACATTAAAATAAAAGACCTGATCTTGCAAGTATTTTCTAAACAAGAGCCAGAAATGGTTAAAATAGGTGGAGAAGGTATTGGGGTGCAGTTTACAAAGCTGCTATTTGTAATGGGGAGTTAAAATCGAACCTATCTAGTACTCTAGACAACAAACCTAATGTACAATGGTTAGTAGGAGGTGTAGAAGAAGGAAATTGTGGGATTTGTGTTCTGGAGCTTGTTCCTAACAGAAAAGTTTCGACTATATTAGACATGTTCAAAGAACATGTTGTATCCGGATCTATCATTGTTACTGATGGTTATCCGTCTTGCCCGGAGCCGTTGCTAAATTTGGATCTTAACATGAAGTTATAAACCACTCTGTTGGGTTTTTTAATGCTCAAGGAGTACATACGAACTAAATTAAAAACCCGTGGTTACATCTTAAGCATGCTTATTGGAAACGGGTCGTATTTAATAAAAAAAATTAATTTTTTTTAAATGAGTGGCAATGGAGAAAACGAAACGTCCAAAATAGCGATAACAAGACGCCAAGAATGGCCTTTTATAAATAAATTACAATGTTTAGGAACCAGTTCTTTTTAACTAATAATCTTTTAAATAAATATTTTAATTTTCTGCAATAATAAGGGGGTGGAAAGATTGAATAGCGCCAGTCGGCGCGACCTCTCCACGAATTTGCCTGACTTCAAGAAACATAAAACAAAGGTTATTAAAATATTATTAATAATTTTTTCAAAATATCAATATATACTTCAGAAGATTCTTCATTGCTTTTACCTAAAATATACTGTCGCTTAAATGTATAAAGAATTAACCGGGCGTCGATATGGTCACGAAAAACGCCATTTTATTTCCTCATAGTACTTTTCATATGGCCCCAAAAGCCTTCTATGTTATTTGTATGGGTGCCATCTTCTGACCTAAAACCTTCAGAATGATTAACTATTTTGTGCTTAAAATTCAAATTTCTTGCAATAGACGGATATAACGGGTGTCTGTTGGTAAATAGAATGCTATCATTTTTGATATTAGGCACCATAATCACGATTAATGATCCTATAGTACGAACAGCATCTCTACAAAGAAAGGATTTTCTCTCTTTTGTTTGGTCTATTCCACCTAATATCCAAATTGTATCCCTAGTATTATCGGCGCTTGTAGGATTTCTAATAATCGCTTTACGTGACAAAACTTTTTCACCAACTTCAACAATTATACCACATCCTCTCAACACAACAGGCCTTTTTTTAAGATAGCTTTGTAACAAATTAAAAGTAAAGACTTATACTTTGCAATAGTAGTGTCAGATATTCCAAAAAATATCGACAACTGAAAGCAATTTAAATCACATATTAAGAAATACAATAGTCTTGCTACTTTTGTTAAGGCCAGAGTAGAATAAAAAAAAAATAAAATAAAATAAAATATATTTATTGGTACATTGTAGAAAAGCCCAACAGAGCAAGTAAAAACTCCAACACATCCAATAATTTGAGACACACTCCAGCATACCATTACGGCCTTGCTTGTAGGAAGAAAGGGGATCCCTTAGGATTAAACATCCAACAGTCATGAAGACCGTGACCTGCGCTGAGCAGGGTTCTAGGGATAACACGCCTGACTCAATCGTCAGTTTAAGGATCTGACCTGATCCAACGCAAATGCTACGGCGTCAGCAGCTTGCCAAACCCTCCCCAGGTTGTGTGTTTTTTGAAGATTCCCCGAAGGGTAACGGCTTCTCCCAACCGGCACTGGATCTCACATCCCAAGAGCATAGCTTGCCCTACTTTCTTGGAAGAAAGACTTAAGATTCCCCGAAGGGTAACGGACTCTTTTATCCGGCAATGGGTCTACTCACCCCAAGGATATCGCTGATCCTACTTACCATGCCAGCAGCCAGAAGGTATTGGTAAGACTTATGAGATTCGCACCGGTAGTTATAAAACCCCAGTCCCACCCTCCGCGACGTGGACGCTCTCATTGTGGAGGGCTTTAACCTCGCACATAAACTTCATGTAATTCAACCATTTATTCTTCAATAAATTAACCATTGAAACGACTTGCCATATTCAAATTTATAAGGTCATTTTAAGCATTTTAATTTAAATTTAAGCTTTTTATATTCATAAATTTGATTTATTTATTAAAGCCGATTATGTAGTCAATATCCCATTATATGTTAGAACATTGGGATTTATTAGTCTGTATCTATACAAACACTGTAGTGGTTTACAATAATCAATAAAATAAAAAAAAGATAAATAAAAGTTTAATTTATACTTTTTTCATAAACATATTTTTAAAATTTAATATCATAAAATGGTTTTATTGAGGATAATCATAATCTGCAAACTCTCCAACAACAAGTATTTTACCTTCAATTACTTCCATATATACTTCTCGAATAGGTCTGTCAAACATTCTTGAATATTTCATCTGGTGGTATGAACTTGTTTGAACTTTAGAATCTGATGGCTGCTCTTTGTCACAAAAAACCGTAAATCCGTCTGTTTCAACTTGCAGTTTAACATCGTTAGGACTAAAATCGTTCGGTAATGCGATCTTTTCTTGGAAGCCCAACTCTCTTACTGGATTGGCATTCCTATCCAAAATTACATTTTCTTCATACGCGGTCGTAGTAGGTTCCAATATTTGAGGATCAAATTCCATGGTCGAAGGTCTGTCAATTGAAGGCATTTCTTCTTCAATTGGCAAAGTTATGACTGATGGATCAGTAAATGTAGGATCATTAGTATAATCTGTAGTATCATACGTTGTACTTGAAAATGTAGCAGAACCTATATTTGCTGCAGTACTTGTTGATTCTTTAAGTTCCGAAGACATGGATTTTTTTGATTTTTCTTTAGAATCAGATGAGTTTTCTTTAGATGCCATTGGATTTAAAACAAAATTTTCTTATATTGTTAAGTGTACAAATCAAATTTTATTTTTAAGAATTGGTTACATAAATTAAATTAAATGTTATTATTAATATATAATTTAAAATAACGCAATTAAAATTATTTTTTGATAAATTAACAATTTTTGATGCAAATAATCTTTAAATATATTATATCATTATCCACGGAATTTCTTATGTACTCCTTTTACGTTTAAAATTGCATTTTTGAACAAAACAATGTCTTTTATTTACCTTTAAAAATGTTGCGTATGAGAATTGTGGTGACAAAATTAAGTTGATACATAATTGACGTATACAAGAATTTGTATGTGTAGTATTTTATCACATTTTACCCTAAGTCTTGTAAAATTGAGTTTTTATAAAAAAGGAGTCATAAAATAAAAGTAGAAGATAAAACATAAAAAAATATTGCGAGAAACATTTTTACAAAAAATTTAAGATTTAAATTTCAAAAAGTATCATCAAATTCAAAGAATGTTAACGCCGATTGTTTATCTTTTCTTGTTTTCAAACTTTCTTTAGTATTTTTCAGTTCATTCTTTTCATTTAAAAAAGAGATAGTCAGCGGCTTCATGTGTATTTTATCACTTGTTCCATTTACATAAAAAACGTATCCTTCGCTTGTATTTTTAATTTTTATTTTTGTACAGAATATGTTTAGCAAGGAAATGACAAAAAACATTTTTATGGATAAAAATTATTGTTAAAAAATCACGGCTAGTTAAGCATACTTGTAAAACTTTTAGTAAAAGTTTTGAGATTAACTGTTGAAAAAGCTATTGAATATAATTTTTTTTTATTAAAATTAAATCTTATTGAATTTTTGTCAAGATAACCTTAGATAGATAGAGATTATATGTAGAAAGTGATAAAAGTTTACTCTGTTTCTTGAAGTTTATATTTATTTTATGCAAGAAATGTTAAAAACACTTAGGCATGTCAACAGATAGTTAACAAGAGATTACAATTACTTTTAAGTTCCTATTTTTTGAATCTAGACATTTAAATCAAATTTAATGTTAAGGCACTATTTTACACAAAAAAATGTTTAACAATTTTTATGTATTGAAAAGAAATTATTTTTTGTTTTACATATATGTTTATTTAAATTAATTTAAACAAAATTTAAGTAAATTAATTTTAAACATCATTTATCAGCGCAATACTAACAATAGAAAAGTAAAGTTTATTAGATATTTTATATAACTTCAATTAACTTTTCTAGTTAAATATTTATATAATTTTGTAGACATATACGTTATATTAAGTTTTTATCATTAGTTATCTACACTTTAGAAACAAAGCATATATCCTCTTAATATTTTATGAACATATTGTAAATGTACTATAAGTAGCAGAAACAAAAATATTCAACTATGCAAAGCTTCTATGTAAAAAATAAACAAACTTTTTAAGTAATAATTAATTTTTAAGTTTTTAATATAAAGTTATAATCTGCTCATATTTAACATATGTTTTTACAAAATATTATTTAATTGTCATTGTGTGTCATGAGACCTTAATTTTTGTTTATAATTATAAAGCTTTAACACATTTATAGAAATTTAATTTGTTTACAAATTTGTTTATATTTCTTTTATGTAATTTTTTATGCCCTTTTTATATAAATACAAAATTTTTGTAAGCCCATGAATAAATTAGAAAAATTTTTTAACATTCTTTCTTCTTCGAATCCGAAATTGTTAAAGAAATACACTACTGAAGAACTTACATCTCAAATAAGGGAGTATGTTGATTTTACTCCTTATATTGTTAAAAATATTTATAAGCTTCTTGTTTCACACAATTTTGACGATAGAATAAATGGAGCTGAGATTTTAAAGTCAATAATGTTCCAATTTAAGCTAGTTACTGACTTCAAGATTGAATATTTTGAAAAAAGAGAAGAATATTTAGGATCTACTGGTGAAGAATTTGAAGGTAAGAAGTTATCGATGAAGGAGCAAAAAAAATTGTTAAAGAAGTTAGCAGGTCTTGAACATGTAAAAGCAAATATTGTTAATGAAATAGATTTTAAATCCGATTCTAATATAACGATTAAAAAAAAGAAAATACAAGATAAAAACATAGAGAATGTTTATGATTTTTTTGAAAACCTTACCAACAATTTACTAAACTACGAGTGGAATAAAAGGCATGGAGCATTTTTGGCATATTGTGCAATTTTTAACTCTGAAACCAATGGTCAAATTGAGATCAAAGTGGATTCTACACTTTTTTTAAAAATTTATGAAATATTAAAATCAGATAAATTTACTGATTTTGTAGAAGATCGTGTTACTGCTCCTGTTAGAGAAACTGCAGCACAGTTACTTGGTTGTATTTATCCAAGAATATCTGAAAACAGTATTATCGATGAATTGATTAAATTCTGTGATGATGATGATTGGCAAACACAATATTCTGGTTTATTAGCACTTACATATTTAAAATCATACATTGTTGATAAAGTAAGGGTATGCGAAAAATGTCAAAATTTACTTCAATGTAAAGATGAAGACGTAAAGTTTTTAGCTGCTGATTTATTAATATACTTTTTTGAATATTGTGACAAGAATATTGTTTTTGATAGATGTTTTATGAATATTAAAGACAATGAGGATATTTCTGTATCTAAAGTTTCGATAATACAATTATTGGCTTTATGTCCATCTAAAATAGATGATTTTTCTATTCTTTATAATTATTTTACTTCACCTATTTCTGATGTAAGAAAAAGTATTCTTAAATTGGCAGAGTCTATGAATAATGACTCTTTATTTTTTTTATTCGCTGAACTGATTTTAATTGATGAAAAAGATGAAATTCGAAATGAAGCTGTTTGTATTCTTAAGGATAAAAATCTTAGTTCTGATTTTATTAAGCATTTTATCTCGATATTAGGAACCTCTCTTTATGAACCATATAATTCTAATGATTTTGTATCTTATGATGACTTGTATTTTACAAAAAGTGGAATTAAGGTTTTAGGTAAAAATATTATATTGAAAAACAGAGTGGAATTGTTTAAATTAATTTTTGAAAAAGTTACTGAATTTGATTGTAATTACATACCCAATACTTTAATTGGGTGTGTTTTTAAAAATATAATAATTAATTTTAAATGCATAAATGAAGAAAAAATTAAGAGGAAAAAACTAGAAAATGAAATTTTACTAAAGGATGTTTATGATAGATTTTTAGATATCAAACTTGTTCCATTCAAAGAACTAGAAAACAAAATCAATAATCCAGAAAAGTTATCATTACATCCTATGGGTGAAAGTATTTATGTGGATTTTTTAAGGTATACAGTGGTCTATGAATATCCTTTATTAACTAACAATTTGATTAATTTTTACAAGTATGAAACTTGTGTAGAATATTTAGAATTTTACACCAATTTATTAATATCTGCATATGATTCTAATGTCATTGTTTTTGATTCTTTCATTAATAGTGCATATAACTGTTTATTGTTAGATTATGAAAATTTTCTTATATTTTTTAAGTATTTTAAAAATAGACTTTTTTCTCATAATTTTTACAAAACAATTTTAGATGACAGTAAAAAGTCACAGTTTTTTAGTAAGACAATTTTTTATTATATAGATTTTTTAGAAAATCTCAGATTTTTATATGATGAAGCATATAATAATAATTATATTGATATATTAAAAGGATTCCTGTGTAGTATTTCCTATACTGAAGATTTTATAGAGAGAATTTTGAAGAAAATGGATTTAAATTTACTTGAACCTTTAATATCTCACATTGATTACTCTTATTTTCCCGTGTTAGTTAAGCCATTATTAGGCTTAATTGCATCTTCAGAAACTCAAGAAAGCGCATCAAAAATATTTTCGTATATAATACCTAGATTAAATTTTAGAATGAAATCAGTAATTTCAAGTTTGTGGATTGAAAAAATTTTGGAGTCAAAGAAAGATTTAGAATGTCTTTTGGACAATAATAAAATTGAAGATTACAAAATAAAATGTCCTATAAAAGTTGTTTTGAGGAAGTATCAACTTGATGGAGTTAAGTGGATTAATTTTTTGTATAAATTTAATTTAAATGGGATTTTAGCAGATGATATGGGTTTAGGAAAAACTATTCAAGTTTTATCTTTTATTTGTAGTGAAATCTACGCCACAGAAAAGAAAGTTCTTGTTATTTGTCCATCAAGTTTAACTGGACATTGGAAAAGTGAAATTGATAATTTTTTTCCTGATATTAAATCTATATGTTATAAGAAAAATAAGAATGAAGATTATAATATTTTAATAATCAGTTACGACTCCTTCAGAAATGAGTATTTAAGTTTTATTAACGAAAATTGGTTTTATGTCATTTTTGATGAAGGGCATATTTTACGAAATTCATCAACATTACTTTATCAGAGAATTAATAAAATTACATGTAAGCGTAAGCTTATATTGACTGGTACACCTGTTCATAACAGTGTAGAAGACTTGGTTTCTTTATTTAATTTGATTATGCCGGGTTATTTGGGATCTGTTAAAGAAATTCCTTACATTTCTGCAAAAATGTCAGATAATGAAATGAATAAAATTCATAGTAGACTTGAAAATCTTAATAAACAAATACTTCCTTTTATTTTACGAAGATTAAAGGTTGATGTTTTAACAGATTTACCTCCTAAGATTATTAGAGATATTTTAGTTGAAATGGGCCCCGAACAAAAAAGTATTTATGTTAATATTGAAGAAGATGGCAGCAGTTTAGAAAATGTAAATTATAAATCAATTCAAAATAAATGTGATGGATTGAAAAGAACCAGAGATCTTTTAAATGCTGCTTCTCATATTTTGTATTTTAAGACATCATCAGAAGTGTCATGTAAAATGAAAGGTTTAGAAGATATCATTAATTTGTACGGAGGAGAAGATATTAAAAACAAAATATTAATTTTTTTTCAGTACAAAACTACGATAGATTTCGTATTACAAGATTTTAAAAAGAAATACAATTTAAAATATCTAAGACTTGATGGTTCTGTACCTGCATCAAAAAGAGCCAAAATCGCCCTAGATTTTAATACAGGGAATATTCCCATTTTATTTCTCACTACGCACATAGGTGGATTGGGATTAAATTTAACAGGAGCTGATACAGTCATTTTTTATGAACATGATTGGAATCCTTTTAATGATTTACAAGCCATGGATCGTGCACATCGTATTGGCCAAAAAAATACTGTAAATGTGTTTCGATTAATTACTAAAGATAGTATAGAAGAAAAAGTTATGGATTTACAAAGTTTTAAAGTATTTATAGCTTCTAGTGTAGTTACACAACAAAATGCTGATATTGAGACCATGAATACACAAGATTTGTTAGAAAGATTTAGTAAATAAATATAAATACAAAATTTTATTTTTTTGCATGTTTTAAATATTTACCAATTCTTTTTTATATAATTTTAATTCTTGATGATCTAACAACAGGTGATAATAAAGATATATTGATGTCTTTAAGCCTGCAAAATTCTGGTAAAATTTTAATTTTTTAATTAAAAAAGAAAACAGTTAAATTGTTCCATAGTTGAATAATAACTTTTTTTCATTTTTTATTTACTTTTAATTTTACAGCTCTAACTTCATTATTTCCATTTTGAAGCTTATTCCTCGTTGTCTATTTCTTTATATCTAAAAAATATTTCATTGTAGTTTACAAATATCTAAATACTATTACATTATTGTTTAAAATTAAAATGTTTATTTTTTTGAAACAATCATTTTTTGCATAAAAGTGTTTACATAATAAACAATATGGATAGACATTTCAAAAGTCCTTTCATTAGTAATTATAATTATAAAGATTATGATGAGAGGTATAGTTTTTCTTTACCTAGAAAATTTACTCCTATAGTTACATCACAAGCATACAGAGAAATTAAAACCAAATCATTGGTAGATGATTTTTATTCAAATCTTATTGACTGGTACAATGACAAAGTGTATTTTGCAATAGACGATTCTGTATTTATTCATGATTTTCATACAAGCAAGACATCCCATTTACAGACAATTAGTGATAATTGTATTACATCGGTAAAAGGAATGGGTAATAAAATAATACTGGGCACAAGTTCAGGGTACATGCATATAGTAGACATATGTAAAGAGCAATCTACACGTCATTTATTTCATAAGTCAAGAATAGGTGTTCTTAAAATAGAGAATACTAATATTTTTACTGGTAGTAGAGATAAAAGATGTAAGGTTATAGATAGTAGAATAAATAAAATAATTCATAGTATCTTACAACATAACCAAGAAGTGTGTGGGATGGATCTAAGTAAAAATTATAAGCATCTTGTTACAGGAGGAAATGATAATAAATTGTATGTTTATGACCGTAGAAATTTAGATGTTCCACTGACAAAGTGTACACAGCATAAAGCTGCAATAAAAGCCGTTTCCTGGTCGCCTGTAAGTGCAAATTTATTTGTTACTGGTGGAGGTACAGCAGATAAAACAGTAAAATTATGGGATATAAATCTTATAAATAATTCTAATAGTTCGCCACTATTAAAATCTGTAGATTATGGTTCACAGGTGTGTAATCTTAAATGGTTACATAACAATCAAATATTAAGTACACATGGATATTCTAAAGATGATATACGCTTGTGCGGGGTTTATAATTTCAATTGTAACAGGCAATATTTAGGTCATAAAAATAGAGTCATACATTTTTCTGTGTCTAAAGATGAGAAATATTTCGTAACAGGGTCAGCAGATTGTAGTATAAAATTCTGGGAGATATATGGTGATACACATAATGAAATAGAAATAAGATAAATAAAATGATTGTTCTAGAACACTTGCATGTTTAAAAATTTAAAAAATATTTTAACTCACAATTTAGTAAAATTTTTAGCCAAATTTTAAAATTTATAAAAAACTAAACAAATTTTTAATTAAATAAAAATATAATGTTTTTGTTATATATTGCACACTCTTTATTTTACAAATGACGTTAATATTGTATATTTTATTTCATTCTGAATATATAAACTTTCTAGTGTCATCTTTAGTACTTTAGAATAGATATATGCTTGTATTCAAAAGTTTATTCTCATAAAAATTAAAGTATAAATAAAAAAAATATAAATGTACAGCTTTCTAGCTTGGAATAAAAATCTTGGTATCTCCTTATGCAAATTTTTGTTAAAAATTAATTAAGACACTTTTCAAGTTGAGAAAAATGTAAATGTATAGCTTTCTAGCTTGGAGTAAAATTTTGGTATCTCCTTATGCAAATTTTTATTAAAAAAATTAATTAAGCAACTTTCCAAATTGAGCCAATTAATACGTTATATTTTTTTATCGACAAACGACTAGATTACAATGACCAATAAATTTGAATATTTGCAAAAATCATGATTTTTTTTTTATAAAAGATCAAAATAAACTCTCATCCCCAAATGTACGAAATTTTTGTATTACTAAAGTTTTTAACATTATACTATTGTTCAGATACATTAGAATGTGTTACAAAGACACACAAAGAGGCTGTTTGTGGTGCTGAACAAACTGATTTGAACTCTATGGATGACAGAGAAATAATATTAGAATCGCTAGCAAGATTAAAGCAGGAGTCTTGTATGATACAGAAAGATGCTTTATGTCATATGGGACATCGTATAAAATTATTTAAAGAGAATCTTGAAAAGAAAGCGCTGGGTGATTTAAATTCCATTCTTGTTTGTATGGACCAAATTAATGGTATTAAAGCGCTTTATGAAAGAGCAGCCTTTATCGTCAAAAATCCTATAATTGACTTGAATTGCTATATGAATTATTTTCGTCGTAATAAATATGTAATAATAAGATTTTTAAAAAACAAAGAAAAATGTAAAGATTTTTTAGAATCCAGAAAATTTAAGAATGTGACGGAGGAAGAACTTAGAGGCCAAATTTATGACTTGAAAGCTATTATGTTGGCTGCTATGAGCTTTTCGCAAGAATATCATTCAGAATATAAAAATGAATACGAATTTATTAAAAAAAAATTCAAAACTAATTATAAATGGTTTAATGATTTAAAACCTCTTTTCAATAAGACACACTATGAAACGGTTGATAGTATAACTTTAGTACCAGTAAGTTACGTTGATAAAAATAAACAAGAATCCTATCTAAAAAAGCTATTTTTGCTTAAGAATGGCCTGAACTTCGTAGAACCTTCCAAATGTAATAATGTGAACGAAACTGTAATAAAAAAAATACAGGAATTAGAAGACCCTGGTAAAGATAAATTTTTAAGACCTTTTTTAGAATTATTTAAAGTAAGGTACAGGATACTTAGTAAAGTAATTACCCTCAAAAGAATACTAGAAAGAATTTTTACAAATAAACTAAAAATAAGTGAGCAGAAAGATGAAAATCCTATGACTGATACAGAAAAAAATGACAAGGAGCTTTTTGATAATGAAAAGAACGGGGAAAATCCTACAACTAGTACGAAAAAACATGACGAAGAGCTTTTTAATAATGAAAAGAACGGGGAAAATCCTACAACTAGTACGAAAAAACATGACGAAGAGTCTTTAAAAGGCACAAAAAAGAATTTTTATAATAATGAGCGTAAAACTGAGAATACCACTTTTGCAGAACATCATTAAGAATAACTTAATTTATTAAATTATTTATCTAAAGCATGTTTGTACACGTTAGAAAAAAGAGTATATCACTTAAAAGTACACAATTCAGTAAACTCCTACTCAAAACACGTATTTATATTTGTTTTTTAATAAAATAAAAAAATAGACTATTTTGATATATTAAATATTAAAGAAGAAAAATTTTTAAATGTTTTTTTTATACTAAATTTGAATGTACACATTTTAATAATGTACAAATCGTATATGGTGACCAAATTGTGTTAATATATAAAGCTTTTTTTAAGTTAATTCTTTATAGATAAAGTATTAAATTACCTTATTCCAATAACTGTTAAGAATTTGCAATGACTCATGCTTGTTTCATAATTTATTTTATGCATAAGCAATTTATCTTTCGCTCACTTTTTAGTTTTTGATTCATCGATAAAGATATTGTACTAACTTGCTAATCTCTATAAATTCGTGTATGTATTTATATAAGTTATTTTTAATGAATTATTTAATACAACTTTACTAAACTTAAATGTAAAATGAACACAAGAAAAGTCTTTGTATTTTGTATGTATTTACCTTTCTTTAAAAAATAATATTCACTTTTGTAAAAACAAAAAACATTTTTTTTTATAAAACGTTTAAAAAGCGCTCGAGGATATTCAGGTATAAAATTTAACAAAAAATGTATCAGATTATTAAAAACGATAAGAATATCTATGAAAAAAAGAATTAGCGAAAGTCATTAAATAAAAATTAATGTAACAGACAGGTTCGTCATCTAATACGGTAAATCTTAATTATTTTTTAATTTTACTGTTTAAGTGTTACATCTAGTAATAATTTTCTTCCTGATATAGAGTTGGCTGTTTGTTTATCAATGTAAGAACCTTATATAAATTGAAAATAATTTATTAAAATTTATAACAATTATTAATAAAAAAATAAAAAACAAAAAATTGTTTCTAAAGCACCTAAAAATCTTTATTTTTTACTATTGAGATGCGAATATTGATATAATTAAAGCATTAGTATTGTTTGATTGAGTTGTCAAAATTTTGCACAGAGCAAAATAAAGTATCTTAATCCTAAGTCATATGCAAATTTAACCCAGGCCTTAAGGTAAATTTATTAGTTACGCATATAGAGAATGTTAATATCAACACAAATCTGAAAAATTCAGTAATCTTGAAAACAACGAAGATATATTGTCGTTTTGTCAGAATCGACAGCTCGAAAACTGCCATATAATGATTTTTTAATCCTTAATACTACGTTTATTATAATTTTGTCCCATATTTTCACGTGTATACTATAAGTTATATTTGAGATAGTCATGTTATTTTTGCAATATAACAAAGAAAGCCATCAGACCTAAATAAATTGTTTACAGCATAACAGCGTTTTATAGAGTTTAATCCATAAAATCTTTAAACGAATTTTGAACATCCAGCCATTTCTCATAGCGTTAGAATAGAAAATCACCAAAAAATTTAGAGGTTAAAAAATCAAATAATTAATTTAACTAGCATTTGTTAGTAGTAGTGGTTGTAGATCATCCAAGGTATTTAGAACTAATGATAACCACAAATTTGGTTTGATTTTTAAAACATATAAAATAATTAAAAACTAACATGTTATAATTAATCCAGTAATTAATTTAATGTTAATTCAATTTTTTAAAAAAAATCAACACCAAAAAACCTTTTAATACTTCTTTAAAAGATTCATTATCTTTACAGGCCACACCCCCATGCAAAAATTTTATTTATTTGTTTTCTGTCAGTTCTTGTTCTATTATTAATTCTTTCAAAATCAAGTGGAAAAAGTTTGGTTAACTTTTATTAAGTTATTGAGATGTCTGTAAAAGCTTTTTATACTATTGGTAGTGCGAGAAATATTACATAGAGTTCTAGTCTATTCATTTCAAAATGAAATACTCATATTGTTTAATTCTGATTTAGATACTCCAACTGAAATCAAGTAAAGAGTTTTAAGACATATGTTGATTCTTCCCTTATAAGAAATTGTTTTAAACGTGCAGCTACTGCTAAAACATTATGTTCTGGTATAAAACTTAAAACTAGCAACATCTTTACATGAAACTTGATATTACTATTATGTATGAACTTTCTAGAAAATTTTAAAGCTTGGATTCTCCTCCAAATAATCTGTCCAAAATGAAAGCTACACCTATAAAACTTAGATCTTATAAAAAAGTTCTTACAGCATTTGTAGCTGGCCGATTCAAAATCCAATATTATACTTTTATGTCTAATAATTTTTTTACATTCAGTACGTAACCGTTTAAATAGCTTTGTATAAAATATTCGTTTAAGGTTTCATAAAACAGTAGATCAAAGGCAAGTTAATATTCCTTACATTACATTAAAGACTAAATAGTTGTTCAAATTTAGATAGTGAAGATTTGAAAGTACCATTACATACAACAATTTTACAGTTTATAAATTGTTCAAAATTTTAATCAGTCGTAAAAATTACTATTCTGTTTTCATCCATCATTCCAAAATCATAATACAAGAACTCTTTATTTTTGCTTGTTTTCTGTAATTCTCCTGAGATATCATAATCTTTATTAAATGTTAAGTTATTTTTCTTCCTTGTTGCTTTAAGTAATTCGCCCATCTTTTTTATGTTTAAAGTATAGTGCTAAAATTTGTAAATGCACTTGATAAATTATAAATTACATGTCTCGCAGGCTCAAGAATCTCAATTACTCTTTCTTAAATTTTAGCATCAAACAAAACCTTATTGTATTTTTTCTTATCTTTTATATGGTTGTGTGGTGATATTTTAAAGATCCAGTCATATAGTAGTCTTGGTAAAGAGATAAAGCCACGTTTATTACTTCACTAGGTTAATTTTCCTATGTTTGATTCTTTATAGTTGTAAAAATATCCCTGAAAACTTATTTTTTCTTTTCCGTTATTGCTCGTTAAAATATTTTTTGTAAATTTGTACCATTTGAGAGAAAAAATTATTCGGAGATTTTTGGATTAAGCCCAAGTGGAGACAGAATAGATATGAAAATACAACTAATTAAACAGCTAGTATTAGTACATAAACGTAAATTAATAACAACCCTATATGTCGTAAATAAGATGGAATAGTGAGAAAATACCATATAATTGGGCTGGAACTATCCGATAAAATTGAAGCGTACATTCAATAAATAACTCTTAAGAAAAAACTTGTTAATATTATTTTGAAGTACAGATGTGGAGCATCCCTAACATTAACTGATGGCGAGAGGAACGAAAACACCAAACATTATAAACTTGAGTAACATGGAGGTAAAAAAGAATGATTAAAAATTGTTCTAACTCGTGTTATATTCCACAATATTTGTTTATTTTTAATTAATTCGTGTTTTTTTGTTTGTTATGTAAGCAATTAAAATTATATATACAAATTTTGGTTATAAGAGCATACAAACATGTGGAACAAACCGGAACTGACAGACACTAAAGATCGGGGTAAGAAGGAGTCTAGAACTGTTAACTATTATGTAAATAAAAAAACTTATGTTAAGAATATTTCAGAGACTTACTTCCACTTTGGGTATATCATAATCCTACTAAATTATAATGTAATACCATTTTAAAAAAAATAATAATTTTTTGTTTTATTTAATTAAAATAATAATAAAATTTTTATAACTCTTTTAATTGATGAATTAAAATATACTTCTTATAAAATTACGCAAATTTAAAGTTATACTAGTTGTTATACTTCAATCTACAATTATTACGCGTAATGACTCTGACAGCTCCTTTACTTTTTAAAAAAATTATACTTTTATAAGTAAAATTTTTCTACCCTTCAAATATGAAATTGAGTAGTTTAATAAAACTTTGTACAGGTTTTACAACAATATTTGCTACTAAAAACATGGACTTAAATGATCAAAATGCAGATATTAGTGAAATGGAAGAGTTGTTTGCTGTTGGGATTGTAAATTTAGCAGCTACCGAAGTAGAAAAATTGACTACGGAAAAGGAAAAAGAATTGCCTCCTAATGAGAAGTTTGAAAAGGCTGCTGATGTAAAGGAAAAACTAGATACTGATACAATGGAAGAATCGGTTACTAATACAATGGAAGAATCAGATATTGATGAAAAAATTTTGTCAATTAATAAAAAAGCATTGACCGCTGATAAAAAGGAAAAGCTAGATACTAATACAATAAAAGAATCGGTTATTAATGAAAATGAAAGGAAAAAATCAGCTATTGATAAGAAAAAAAAACTAGTTGTTAATGAAGAGAAAAAAGCAGCATATAGTAAAGAGAAAAATCCTGATTCTGACAAAAAGAAAGTCTTAGAAGCAAGTAATCCTTTTTCTGAAGGCGATACTAATAGCCCTCAACAAAAAGAGAAGGAAAAAATTCCATTATTTCCAGAAGATGAGTATAAGAACTTTAATTGTTTACTTGAAAAAATCGATACGCTTATCACTTCAAAAGCCGCGGTTTTGCAAAATTGTCTGCAAATGCAAATTAAATCGTGCGATGCCTTTCAAAACACAGATTTGAGTAAGTTAAGTTATTTTTGCGACGAAATTTGCGGATTAAATATTTTACGCACTAAATTTATGAGTCAACGTCAGAATAAAAGTATAGCAGCACAAAATATTACTGCAAAAAGTTTTATTTATGATGATTTACAGGCACGATGTAAAAAATTAAAAAATTATTTTAAAACGAAAAAAAATGTTTTTGATGAAGGATACAATAAACTAGGAGATTTTAATACTTTTGTACGAGAATTAAATCTACTGTCAACGATGTACTATTCTGCATTGAATTATTTAAAAAAGCCTTTTTTAAAATTTTATTTACGAATAAAGTCAAATAATAATTTTGAAGATTTGGAAGATTTACTAAAATTGATGAATCAAACTTTAGAGGAAGCAGATTACGCTACAGCATCAATTCCACACAAGTTTGATTTTATTACTGATACAAAATTGTATCATTATACTTTGATATATCTTAATAATAAACTATCACAATTTGATATTAAAACGAGGCTTAATAATGCAATATCAAAATGTTTAATGAAGTTTAAAAATACTAAATTGAAAGAACATGCTGCTTATCTTAATTTTATTGATGAGCTCAAGAGTTATATTGATAGTATAGCCAAGATTGATGAAGCATTGAATTTTATAATTTTAGAAAGCTTAAATTCTTTAGAATCCAAGATAACAACAATATATAAATACAATTATACTGGTCTTTTAGTGAGAAAACATTTAATTAAAAATCATTTCTAAAATGAATATCTTTTGCTACATCATATTTTATTAATTTATCAATAATTTCTACATGTCCTAAAAACATTCTCCTACAGCAAATTCTCTTAATATCCAATTCATTCAACGCATCCGCAGGAGATTTATCTGTATTTATAAGATACTTGTATGGTTCCCATTTACTAGAAATTTCTTTATTGCATGTAAAGCATCGAACTGGAATTAACATGGGTTAAAAACTATATTTTTTAAATGAATGTCTTAAAATGATTTTTATTCTTTAAATATAAAAAGTTTTACAAATTACTAACTTTTAAATATTTAAACATCTAACAAATAACTCTATTTTTTAAATACTTAAATGTCTTGAAAAATAACAAATTTTTTAAACAAAAATGTTTTAAAAAAGAACTAACTTTTTAATATCAACATACAACAAATTACTAACTTTTAAATATTTAATAGATAACAAATAACTCTATTTTTAGATATTTAATATATAACAAATAACTCTATTTTTAAATATTTAAACATTTAACAAATTACTAACTTTTAAATATAAAAATTGTTTGAATAAATTACTAACTTTTAAATATTTAATAGATAACAAATAAATCTATTTTTTAATATTTAAATGTCTTTAAAAATAACAAATTTTTTTAACAAAAATATTTTAAAAAGTAACTAACTTTTAAATATTTTTTAACAAATTACTAACTTTTAAATATTTAAATGCCTTAATAAATAAGTATTGTAAATTAATGATTTTTACAATATGGATACATTAAAAATAATTCTTTTAATTTACAAAATATTAAATTTACTGTTACATTGATTTTTTATCTATTTTTAATTTTCTTACACCCTTTATGTGGCACAGACTAAAAGAACCAGAAACTAATAAAATTTATTTTTATAATGATGAGACAAAAGAAAAAACGTATATTCGACCAAATGATGGGTTTAGACTCTATCATATACTAATTAAACACATCAATTCAAGAAATCCAAATGACAGAAGTGAAGTAGAGGCTTTAAATCTTATAAATAAACTTTACTTAGATTTACAGCAAAATATCAATATTGAAAATTTTAGGGAATATTTTAAAGCAAAGGCTATGGTAGTTTCTGAATGTAAATCTAAATCTAAGGGTGGTGATTTGGGATTCGTATGTAAAAATGAGATGTACAAAGAATTTGAAAAAGCAGCTTTTATGCTAAAACGTGGTAGACTAGTAGGGCCTGTTAAAACACCATCTGGTTTTCATATAATTTACCGAAGATAAAAATTAAATTAATTTGTAATGCTTTAAATTTTATATTATATGAATACCATACAATTAAAATATATTGATTAGTATGATCTGTACTGTATATTTAAAATTTTTCTTATTTTAAGGATAAAGCTCCTCTTTTCTAATAATTTAATACTTGCTTCCTATTATTTATTGGATTTAAAATTTTTAGTAGATTATTTGTAGTTGAATACGTAGGATATAAATTTATGTCTATACGCCAAAGATAAAATAAATTTATTTAATATATGTATTTTAATAAGAATTATACATTACTTATTGTTAACATTTAGAGATGACTTGTTTTTGACGATTTTTACTTAAGTATGATTTTAAAAACAAGTTTCAATAACCGATAGATAGCTGATACAATGCTATGATCATTAATAGAGAAGATTCAGAAGATAAAATTACTTATAACACTTATACAAACGCATAAAAGACTTGTGGTAACTTTAGACTTAAAAAAATATTCTTAAAATTACAAGGCTTTTGTACTAACAGATAAATATCATTTAAAAACAAATGTTCTATTTAACAGGTATAACTTGTACCTATAAATAGAAATTTTAAGCACTAAAAAGAGAGGAATAATGATATAAACATACCACTGTCTCTATAATAACTTTAAAATTAGCTTAATACTAAATAAATTTTTTTTACATTTAAATATTGTTATTACAAGAAAATAAAAACTGCTTTTGATGTTAGCACCAACTATAAATTGGTTAAGCCTATTCACAATGTCAAATTTATTAATTGATCTTTTTCTAGTTGTTTAAAAAAACGCTTTATAAATATATGTATGTCATTGGATTAAATAGTATGCACAGAATAAAAACAAATTGTAGTGACATCGCCCGTGTTTGCTAAGTTTAAAAGTACTATAAACACACAGAAGCAAATTACTAATCTTATCACCAATTAATACTTTAATAATATTTTTTATACCCTCTTAATGTCATTTGATGAACAACGAATTACGAGTGTAGATCTTATTTCTAATACTGTTCCAATCAATAAATCAACAATACAATCACATTTTATTGATTTTCTTCAGAATTTTAGATCCGAACACAGAGAATATGCACACACTCTTTCTAACAATATTAATCAACAGATATATGAATTGGTTATTAAGTTAGAGCATATTAATCAGTTTTCTGATATTCTATCACAATTCATTTGTTCCGATCCAGAGAAATTTTTAGAATACTGTGAAGAAGCTATTTCTAACGCTTATTTCTTAGATCCAGTTAAAAATTTTCAGTTAAACATTATTAGTAACGAACAAATACAATCTATTAGGAATGTTAATGCATCTAAATCTCATAAAATTATAAGAGTTAAAGGGATGGTAGTATCAGCATCATCTATTATCACCAAGCCTAAAAAATTATACATTATTTGTAGAAATTGTCTTAATGGTAAATTTGTAACAGATTTGATACCAAGAACTTGTGATCAGTCAGAATGTCCTATTGACCCATACATTATAGTACCTGAAAAAAGTCATGTAGTAGACGTACAATACATTAAAATTCAAGAAGAATTTGAGGATATACCTGTTGGAGAAACACCTCGTCATTTTAGTCTTATAATGGAAAAAAATCTTGTAAATAAAATTGTACCAGGCTGTTTAGGTATTTTTACAGGTATTTATGGAATATCTACTAAAGGGAATAATAACTTTAGTTATATTAAAGTAATAGGACTAGAAGCAATGACTAATAAAACTACTAAAAGGTTTAGTGATGAAGAGATAGAAGAATTTAAAAATATGGCAAAAGATGACATTTACAAAAAAATTACTAAATCTATAGCACCTTCTATCTATGGACATGAAGATATAAAAAAAGCATTGGCTTGTATGTTATTTGGTGGAACTAGAAGAGTTATGGAAGATAAAATAACACTTAGAGGAGATATTAATGTTTTACTGTTAGGTGATCCTGGTGTCGCTAAATCTCAATTACTTAAATTTATGGAAATGGTATCACCAATTGGTGTATATACATCTGGAAAAGGAAGTTCAGCAGCGGGATTAACTGCTAGTGTAATAAAAGATCATAATGGTGATTTTTATCTTGAAGGCGGTGCTCTAGTCTTGGGAGATAATGGTATTTGTTGTATTGACGAATTTGATAAAATGAACGAACAGGATAGAGTAGCAATTCATGAAGCAATGGAACAACAAACCATTAGTATTGCTAAGGCAGGTATTACTACGATTCTTAATACCAGAACTAGTATATTGGCGGCAGCTAATCCTGTATTTGGTAGATACGATGATTATAAAACACCGGACGAAAATGTTGAATTTGGAACTACTATTTTATCACGTTTTGATTGTATTTTTATTTTAAAAGATAAACATGGTCCTAATGATGCAATAATGGCCAGGCATGTTTTAGGGATTCATAAAAAAGAAGACAATGAATTAGCAGATTCAGATATTATTCCTGTAGATAAATTAAGAAGGTATGCACAATATGCAAAAGCAAAAGTGTTTCCTGTCCTTTCTGAGGCTGCTGGCAAATTATTAATAAATTATTATACAACTACACGAAAAGAAGTTAAAGAAATGGAACAAGACTCATTTAAAAAGAGCTCTATACCTATAACGGTTAGACAATTAGAAGGAATTATTAGGTTGAGTGAATCTCTGGCTAAAATTGAGTTATCAGAAAAGGTATTTGAAAGGCATGTAGAAGAAGCTATCAGAATTTTCAAAGTATCTACTATGAATGCTGTCTCACAAGGACATATGTTAGAAGGAATGATAAGATCTGATTTACTGAAAAAAATTGAAGATTTTTGTGACAGAATTAAAAGTTTAGTACCATTAGGTGCAAGTATAAAATATAACGAACTCCTTATCAAACTTGGGAAGCAAAACGAAGCTATTAGCAAGAAGGCTATAGATTACATGTGTAAACAGGGTAAATTAGTAAGTAGAGAATCCGGTAAGTCACTTTTAAGACAACCTTAGTTAGTAAATAATTTGAGTATTTTTCTTCTTTTGTGCTTATTTTTCAAATATTCTATTTATGCAAATTATGTTTTTTTATTTTTTTATATATTTGTTTATTTGTTTAAAAATAAACAAACATATTTATTTTTAAGTGTAATGCCCCAAATATGCAGATCGATCAGGACAAACATATAAACTCATATCTACACGAAATTCTTACATTTTTAAAATCTTCAGCTAATGCAATTTCTTTTACCGATTTATATTCTAAATTAAATATTGATATTCACAGTAACACAAGGCTTCTTAAAGCACTAGAGAATAATGATAAGATACTTATTAAAAATAATTTTATACAATATTTGTATACTTATAATATACAAAGTAAAGAAGATTTAATTAATATTTTTAGTAAAAGAAAAGAGGGAATAGAACTTTCTAAGTTAAGAGATAATCCCATTGACATTTCAGATTTTTTAGATGATTTTTTAATTTTAAAAGATAATGATGGTATTGAAGTTGTATTCTACGATGATATGCGCATTGACAAGGCAGATGATGATATTGTCGCCTTATGGAAATCTGTGCGTGTTCCAGGATTTCAAGACCTTATTAGTGAAATGAGTGTAGCCGGGATTAAAACCAATATAAGCGAAACAGTGAAACGAAAAGCTATTATTAAAAAAACAAAAAGTAAAAGGTATCGCCGAAATATAAAAATAACAAATACACATGTAAAAGGACTAGATCTAAATAAATTAGATGAATAAATATTATTTAATTAACAGTTTTATATCCATCATCATTTGTAATAACTAGATGACAATTATCTACCAAATATTCTAAACTTTCTCGTATCATTCTCTCGCTGTATTCATTTTGTAAACATTTAATAATAATTTTTATATCTAAACCAGTATCATCATCTTGATTGTTCCTTATACATTCTAATATATCTCTGTGTATTTTATGCATATCTTCTTTATTTAATATTTCTTTTTTAGATAAATGATCTTTTACTGCAGTAATCATGTGATACAATAATTCATTGTAATCTTCTACAACATAAATGTTAGAAACAGTAATATTTTTTTTTCCCAAAAATTCTTTAAGTGTGCCTACAATTCTGACCAGTATTCCATCCTCAATAAAACTGGCCATATATTCTTCATAGGCCCTATTAGCCCATAACATGCATTCAATTTCTCCAGTTCCGTCTTCAACAATAAAAGTTTTACCACTGTTAGTACTTTTTACACTGTACACCCATCCAATAATTTTTAGTGTACTAAGTTCTTTATTGTCTACATAGATTACTGTAGAACCATCTTCGTGTTCGGCAGATAATACTTGTTTGATTGTAAGAGATCTTATAGTTTTTATACCAGTGTATTCTTTTTTAGGTGATGAAGGATTATAACCGAGATCTGACATGGGGAAAAAAGATTATAAAAATAAATAGAATTTTTAAAAAGTAAAATATACATTTTTACAAAATACATGAATTAAAAATATTTAGTATAAAAATATTATAAATAGTCATAACTGTAAATATATATAGATTTATTGATAATATTTTATGCATCTAATATAATTTTCTAAATATTTTTTACTTATAATTTTATACTTTTCGTATATTTCCTTGATTTTTTCTTTACTAATTTTTTTATAATATTTTTTTAGTACAAGATTAAGTAAAGCATTATATTTTAAATAATTGCTTTCAAGATTACAAAATATATCATCTATGATTTCATCAATATCAATTGTCTGGTATTTAATATTAAAGATTTCATTAATATTCCAATTTGCAGATTCAGGTTTATTGTCAAGAGAAAGTAAATCTATATTTAAAATATTTTCTGTTTCCTCTTTATATTTAGTATTAAATACTTTATTACATAACATAATTATTTCATCTGATTCAGTAACAACTAGTAAAAAGAAGTTATCTTTACTAAATCTAATATATTTCATATCAGCCTCATTTGTAATTTTATCTATTAAGATATTACTAAGAATATCATAAATATATATTGATCTTTTTTGTAAAACACATAATATTTTATTATTAATATCCCAATCTAAAATATTTTCGATAGAAAATTTTCTAAAACTTTCAGTTTCATTAAAGTTATAAAAAAATAAAGCAAATTTTGTACTAATACAAATAAATCCTTCAAGAACTCTAATATTTGTTATATCTAATAGATATATTTCATAACTATGTTTATTAGTAATATTTTGTATAAAAATCTCTTTATCTGTGTATGATATAATAAAATCTTCATAGTAACACACTTTACTATATTTCTTCTCTAATTTGTAATGCACTAATTTACTTTTAATATTCAGTAAAGTATATTTTTCTGTAACAAGTAAAGCTCTTTCTTTATAAAGTGAAATATTTTCTAATAAATTCCTTAATAAAGTAGTAGATCTTTTATATTCTAGATCTACATTAAAAAGTGTATTTTTTTTGTATAAAATAACATTATTCTTATACACGGAATATTTTATAGAGCACTTATCACTTAATTCATCTTGATCATTTTTATCAATTAGAATTTTAGCAAAGTTATTATCATTGTATATATTATATCTTACTACTGCATCTTTATTAATAATAATAAAATTTTTATTATTAATAAATTCTATACCAATAATATTTGGTACATTTATTAATTTATATTTTATTGTATTTAATTTACCGTTAATAATTTCACTAATAAATATCTCTGATTCTGTTATTATTAATATATACGTATCATCTATAAATTTAGCATTAAATACATTATTTTTATAACATATTTGATATTTATTTATCATATCATAAATATAAAGACAATTATCTTTAACGAAAAGTAATTTATCCACCGAAAAATCAATATCTGAAAAATCACTAGTAGTATTTTGTGTAAAATTTATAGTAAATACAATTTTATCCTGTTTTAAATTAAATATATCTATTCTATCATTGTACAATACACCAATAATATCAAGAACCTTGGTTTCTGCTAATTTAATAAAATTAGATTTGATATTTTTATATTCATAAATAACTTTATTTTTTATAAAATTATAAAGAACTAATTTATCGTTATACTGAATGACAATCTTATTAATATATGTTTGAGGATGATAAATAGTCTTAACTCCTTCAAGTGTAGATAAGTAAGTAGTATCGCATTTTATAGATGTATCATCACAACAATAATTTGATGTTTCATATATAAACATATTACCATCACTTAATATTACAAATAAAAAACAATCAAGAAAATTTATAGATCTTACTTGCCTATCAAAGTGCATTGTATGAAATAAAACTGCCCTTTTATACACTAAAATGTCTTTGTTAGAAATCACGTATACAACATCCCTGTAAAAATATATTTTCTCTATTAGTGGAATGTATGGACTAATAAGTAAAATATTGAACTTTTCTATATCATAAATATAAAACGAGTTATGTGCAGCAATGATAAAAATTACCGAAGATCCAAGTTTATCAATTATTATATCTTTCTGTATTTTTATATTTAAAGATCTGTAAAATTTATAAATTGAAGAATTTATCATTTATGCGGGGTAAATTTTATTGATTCTTTTAGAAAAAAACTAAATATGAATGTTAATTAAAATATATATTTTTTTAATGTGTTAATCGAAATTGTGGTGTAATTTACTAGTGATTGTACTTGTAAATATTTTATAGACTTATAAACAAATGTTAATTTGTGATTAATAATAACTAGTAACATAATGTTACTTTTTGCTATATATGGCGTTTAAACTGCTGTTTTACTAAAAATGAAGATAAAATCTTTGTAGTTACTTAAGTATCGTAAAATGTACAAAAACATACAATATAAGTACTTGACATAATTAAGGTCTAAAAAATAATAGAATATAACATACAATATTGATTGAATAAACTTTAAAATTGTTTTTTATATTTTGTTTAACATTTACCAATTATTTTAAAAAATTTTACATTTTTTAAATAAGTTTTTCGCGTCAAGTATTTTATTTTCAGAAGCTAGAAATATTAAACTAGTGAATTTATTAAAATTTACAAGTTAGGTTTTAAACAAGCTTAAAAAAAATATTTGTTATAATATAAATTTTAAAAATCAAACTAAATATTTCATGTTTTTCTTTACTGCATTCAATAATTAATAATAGTTAAAAAAAATTTGATTTTAAAATGGCAGCTTTATGCACAATAATAATACAGAAAAATTATTTTTTTTTCAAATACCTTACTTTATTCGCATAATTAAATATACGGATAATAGAAACTACACTTTAAAAAATAAATTTTTATATTTGAATTGAATGTTAAAAAATTTATTTCTTAACAATAATTTATAATATTCTACTAATTACAAATAAAAATTATTTTTTTGAGTCTCCAAAAAAGTATCCTTTGTTTTTTTCTACAAATTTTTCTATCTCTTTTTTAGATTTTTTACTCAACTTAATCTTCAAATCTTTTTTGTTTAAAAAACGTTTTTCCATTAAATATCCTTTATTCTCTAAATCGTGAGTACTTCCTAAAGTATGTAAAATCTCATGTACTAGTACTTTGGCTTTATAAAAAAGCGTATCATCTGGGTTGTAATTTATAATAATGTATTTAGTATCTACATCACCTAATCCGTTTAAATAACTCATCCCTTCTTTTTCATTTGTTTTATTATCAGTCAATAAAACAATAAGGTCACTGTTATACAAATATGAATTGATATCTTTTAATTTTGTTATATTTGCATTTAGTGTAGATAAAGGATCTTTTTGATTGTCAATCAATAAATTTGATTTTGAACGATTTACAATACTCGTTTTAACAATATCAAGAGAGAAATTATCAAAATTTAAACTATTGATAATTTTTCTGGCTACTTTAAATAAATGCAATGTTTCAATATATGCATGATTTTTTAATTTAATATATCTATCGTATTCATTTATTAGAGCTAATCTAATTTTTATAATGCGTTTATTTTTAATATGTATTCTATTTTCAATAATTCTGTTGTCTGAACTTAAAGATTGCGTAGTTGTGTATATTTCAGATTTAAAATTATCATTAAACTTAACTAGAACCTTATCTAAAGGGTATGTTTCTACATCTAAATGATAGGGATCTTTTTTTTTAACATATTTAATTTCTAAACATTCTATTGAAGTACAAATAAGCCCTTCAACACCATTACAGACCTTTAAATAACCAAACGTGTTTTTAGTAACTAACGTGTAAACACAAGGATCGCTAATGTAATTTCTTGAGCCATTAGAAAAAATGAATGTTTTGTCACTGATCTTAAACTTAAAATTGCGTATTTTAAAATCTGATTTTGTTAAAAGAGTATCATTTAAATTGTAATAGTTTACACTCGTAACCTCTGCCGATGCATAATAAAATAAACAAATTAGCATTAAATTGTTTATTTTAAATTATTTTTAAATTTTCATAAAACAAAATAAACAAAATTTTGTATAAAAATTACTCAACTTTTTTCAAAAAATTAAGTAATGTTAATTTGTTTATTCTAGTTTGAATATTATGCTTGAAATTAAAAAAATAATGCTTGAAATATTTTTGACATTAAGGCAGTTTATTTGTATACAAAAGTAATCATGTTGCAAATGTCTCTCATGTAATTTTTTTTTATTTTTAATTTCACCCTTCATATGTCGCTAGAAAAATCTTTTTTAAAATATTTTAAAACAGAAATTCCGGCTTTTGCAAATATAAGTTTACAATTTACAGGCATCGGTCATTTAATAATCCATGGAAATGGTCTTATTTCTTACTTGTGTAGAAATTACAATTTAGATATAAAGACACTTCCTTTACACACAATTTATCATGGATTTAATTTTTTAGTGTCAAATCTAAAAACAAGTGGATTTGATGTTATTACAATTTTCTTTGATTATAAAGATTTGGACATTTACACAAAAGTCATTATTGAGTTTATTAAAAGTTTTTATGAATGTAAAAATTTTATTGAATTGAATGATTATATAAAAAATGAAAGAGTAGCTTTAGTTTTAGGAGATCAATCAGAAAGATCTCAAAATTTTTTATTTTTGTGTGCTACAAAAAATTTATATATAGGGTTTTTAGATAATTTAGAGATTAGAACACCATTTATATACACTTTTATTTATAATCCACTTTTTACGAAAAATACAGATGAAATTTTTACAGATTTTATTTCTTCTGAAAAAATTGATATTAGCATGAGTGAACTTGAAGAGGATATAAACAGGGAAATAAAAAAAATTAATTCTTCTTTAGATCTTAAAAAAATTGAGAATTTATTTGATACAGAAATGGATTACAATTGTTATAAAGTTAATGATCAGTGTATTGATATAAATATGTGTGATTTAATTTATAAATTTTTGATTTGTAAAAAGCAAGAAGAAGACTTTTTTGTATTTAAATTTGACGGAAGACTTTTGTTCTCAGATGGTGAGAAAATTGATGATAAATTTTACCCGTTTATAGAAAATAAAGATGTTAAAATGATGCAATACAAACCTGAAAAGTATGAAATTGATTATTTGGTTACAGCTAAGCAAACTAATGAAAAGTCTAATTTTATACATTTAAAAAATATTCAAAAATCTGCAGAATCATTGTTTAACGGAAAATTATTATTTTCCCCTATTGTTAAATCTAAAGACATTAAAAAGAAAAAAGTGTCTAAAAAACAGCAAGAAATTATTGACACAAATATGAAAAGATTGGCAGATAAACAAAAAGAAAATGATAAAATTTGGCTTCGAAATTTTTATCAAAAGTATAAAAATGCAGATGTGGTTACAAAGAAAAATTTATTAGAAGGTGTTTACACTGAAAATTTGACAATTTATAAAAGATTGCTTTTGCTTAAAATAGAATATTATGCAGATATTTGGAATTTAGAAAAAAGAGCAGAAAATTGTGATGAACGTAAAATAATTCCGTGTTATTTAAATTGCTTAGAGTATGTAAATAAATTTTTGGATTCAGAAGAAACCTCACAATTTGTTTTACAAAAACTTATTGATTGTGGTTTTGAGGCCACAGTGCATGAGATTGTAGAAAAAAATAATTTGGATTTAAAGTTGGAATTTTTTACTGATGATACATCTGCGCCAAGTGATTATGATATCTGTTTTCAGCTAAAACATACGGGTGATAAACTTAAAAGAAATCTTGGTTCTAAAAAAGATTCGCGTGTACTTTTTGAACCTGATGCATGGCAAAGGCGGCTTTTAGATTTAGTTGATGAAAATAAAAGTGCAATTATTGCAGCACCAACAAGTTCTGGAAAAACATTTATTTGTTTTTATGCCATAGAAAAAATATTAAGAAATAGTGACAAAGACATGGTTATATTTTGTCTACCAACAAAAGCATTAGCAAACCAGGTTTCTGCAGATATTTATGCTAGATTTTCCCCAAAAGTTAATGTCAGAACAAGCATTCAAGGGTCATTGTTGAAGGATTTTACTAAAGATCCTTACAATTGTCAAGTTCTTATAACAATTCCATCACTTTTAGAATCAATACTTAATTCTCCACCAGAAAATATTCTTTCTAGAATTAAATATATAATTATTGATGAAGTTCATAAAATTAGTTCAGAAGAAATGGGAAGTCCTATAGAAAGAATTTTCCATCTTAGTCCGTGTCCATTATTAGTATTAAGTGCAACATTAGGAAATTTAAATGGATTTTACGAATGGGTTTCTGAAATTGAAAAATCAAAAAATCGTGAATGTGAATTGGTTCTTCACACCGAAAGATATTGTGAGTTAAAACCGTATGTATATTCAAATAATATTGTTCCTATAAATAATCTATTTGCGTATTCTTATGAGCATATTAAAAAATTCGGATTTGGAAATGATATAAGTTTTTTGCCTGAAGAACTACTTTATTTATTTGATTCATTGTGTACGGTGTTAACAAAAGAACAGAAAGAATTACTGTATCCTTTGGTACCAGAAAAATTTTTTACTAGTAATATTATTACAAAAAAAGATGTTAAAGATTACGAAAAACATTTATTAAATTATTTTGAAAATTTAATTAAAAATAATGATTTATCGGAAAAACAGGTAAAGAAAATATACAAGTTACAAACTAAAGATAGTAAGAAAGCATTTGATAATATTAATGAATTTACAGAAGATTACATTTTAGACAATATTATGTCTTTATTGGATGATTTAAAAAATAACAACATGCTTCCTTGTATTGTCTTTAATACAGACAGAGATTTTATTAATAGAATGGCAATTAAAGTATATGAAAAATTAGAAAATATGGATATTGATATTAAAAGGAATAGAGTGATAGAAAAAATAAAAAAAGAAGCCAAAAGAACGCGAGATATTGAAAAGTCTAAGGATGCGTGGATTGAAGAATCTCTAGAAGCAGAGAAGAATTTTGAATATAAGACCGATAAAAAGAATATTAAATTTACGTATCTCGATCCAGTTACTAAAGTCACAGATTATGAATTAGAGGAAGAAACGAGATACATCAAAAACACTAGACCTGAATTTATTGATATGTTATACAGGGGTATAGGAGTACATCACGAGCAGATGAATCGAAAGTATAGAAATGTTGCAGAAATTTTGTTCCGACAGAAACACCTTAGGGTTCTTTTTGCTACAGATACTCTGGCTCTTGGTATAAACATGCCTTGTAGAACTGTTGTATTTGCAGGGGATAGTCTTTTGTTAGATCCTCTCAATTTCAAACAGATGGCCGGTCGTGCGGGCAGAAGAGGATTTGATACATTAGGAAATATTGTATTTATGGGAATACCCCAAAGAAGAGTACAAAATCTTATGGTCTCAAGATTACCAAATATAAAAGGGGTCTATACATACACTAATACTAGTTTTGTAGGGTTTAATATTAAAGAATCACTTATTAAATATCCGTTACTAGAAAAAACATATGGTTATGATTTAGAGAAAAAAATAGAAAATTTAAATATTAATTCTAAATATGATCTTAGTGGCATTTTTACATCTGAAAAATATAGAAGAGATTTAGTTAACAACCAGATTGAAATTTTAAATATTTATTTTAATAAAAATAGCTATCTGAATGATCTTGTTATCTCAAATAGAGATTCTGATCCTTCTATTTTCATTTTAGCCATTTTACTAGACCAGAAACTTATTAATTTTGATCCACAAAATTTTATGAATACACTAGCACATCTCTTTGAAGTCAAACCTTTGCTATTTGAAAATGATTATGTTTTACCACCTTTAGATGATAACATTTATAAATTCTGTAAAAAGATTAATGAACAAAATATAAATATATCTTCTAATTTCTACAATTTCATATTGAAAGGATTACAAATTTATTCTAAGAAGCAGATATTTACATTACTGTCTTATTTTCAGGTAAATTATCTCGATTATCCTAAAAATTCATATTTGTTAGATTTCTTTAAAGGTAAGTCAGTCAATAAGATAGTTAATGAGAACAGGGTCAGGTCAGCAGATTTATTTAAATCACTAAGTGTTATTAACAATTTACTATTAAGTATTATTAGATGGTACAATAAATATCAATTGGATGGAATTACACTTAAAAAAGTGATTAATTTTTATGCGATATTTGAGCCTAAATTCAAATCAATATTTGCTTAATTAAACTATTTTGATTACTAAATACTAATTTTATCTGTAATGATAATTATTTCATATTGTTGTAATATTTTATTATTAAATATCTTAACTTGTATATGTCTAACATATACTACTAAGCAAAGACTTGTTAAATATTTCTATAAGATTTCTATGACATTAGTGATTTAATGTGCCAAAGGTTATCTACACCTAAAAATTTATCAAATATAACTTAATAAATACATTTTAATTCTACTAGAGTATGTAAACTACATAACATATCTTTTATACATAATCTAAATTTCTTTATATGTTAAATGTGAAATATAAAATTATTTGTGCTTTTAATGTTTTTTTATTGATAAATTAAAATATTTAATTTTTATTTGTCATTCTTTTTTATTTTATATTAAAATTTACAAAAAACAAGATGACAAAAATTTCAAAGCTTTATGAATTAAAACTGCCACTAAAGAAATCAGAATATAATAACGGTAACAGATATGCATCAATACATAAATATAAGAAGGAAAAATCCCAAGGTTATAAAATTACACTAATAAAAAAAGAATCTAATGTACATGACACACTTGGGAAGGTAAATACAACAATAAAATATTTACATCTTCATTCTAAAATACCTACAATTGTTAGGAAATGTATACCAGATGCAGCATGTATTCTTACAGAAATATCGCACTATAGTGATAAACTTATAGAAACTTCTTATAAAAATAATCATTTTTCACATGATGTTTTTAATGTGAAGATTGAAACACGTATCACGACTGAAAATCCTTATCCTGATATGGAACTAGAAGTAGTAGATTATTCTAATGGAGATGATTATATTAAATGTTACAAACGTATAGATGTAGAAATTAATAATTGGATGATGGGATGGATTGCACACGAAATTTCTGAAAGCATGAAAAATCAAATACTTGAACACCACCAGCTAGTAGTCAATCTTAAGGATGAATGGTGTGACATAAGTGTAGTAGAATTAGATAAATTAGAAAATGAATTATACGATTAAAATACATTAAATAAATAATTTATTCTTCATCTCCATTTTTAGCTTTTTTCTTTTGACTTTTAGTAATCTTAGTATTGTTAGACCAAGAATATGATGTAATTTCTACGAATGCTTCTTCATCGGCTTTAACAACATAATTGGGCCTTTTAATTACCACTCCTTGTATGCTAATCTGTCCTTTAGTAATTAACCATCTAGAATGGTGAACAGACTTGGCTAGTCCTGCAGAATACACTCTGTACTGTAATGTTCTCTCTAAATAATTATCAATAGTTAAATCTAAAATACTGTTAAGACCATTGTGGATTTCTTCCTTAGAAGTCAAATCAATTCCACTAAGAACTCCATTAGTGCATAATTTATGTAATAAATTTCTAGCATTAATACAAAGATCTTCAATATTTAAAGAAGTAAGAAGCAGACGGGCTTCTTTTTTATCATTAGCAAAAATTTTTTCTACAAGCCTAAGCTCATGTTTATTTTTTAATCCAAATTTTCCTACAATTTGCATTTCTTTAATCAGTCGATCTTTTTCAAAAGGATTCCTGGGCCTGTGAACAAGTCTTTTTGAATATTGGTTAGCCATTTGAGGGGTAAAAAATTTAACACAAAAAAATTTGTGCATAAAAAATATATGTTCCTTACAATTTATCGCTTTTTAAACTTGTAATATTAATATTGAATATATTACTAAGATTGGTGTATAATTGTTAAGGCATTTTCTAAAGACCTTTACTTTATCCCCTTAAGAGATAAATAATAAGCTAATTTCTAAGGCTTAATCATTTTATATTTCCAATCTTTATTTTATATTTCCAATCATTCATTTTATGTTTCATTTATTTCTATTTTTTTAAATATAAAAAATTTTTATAAACAGACATACTTTTACATAAAAAAATATTTATAAGAAACTTATACTCGTAAAAAACCCAATATTTTACTATTTTATTGTTTTTATAATATTCTTTAAATTTTCACATTTTTTACTTAGAACTACAGTACTTTTTTTAAAATTACATTAAAAATTAACAATATTTTTATTTTCTATCTTCTACAAGTTCAATATTTATAATATTATCTCCTCTAATTACAATATAACTGTATTCCTCTTCTCTATTAAGTACTATATTCATAAAAGCATCATGTCCTTTCAATAATCCACTAAATGTTGTGCCTTTTCCTGTTTTAACTTTTATCATTTTATTCACAAATTTATTTAAATTTGGTAGATCTTTTGATTTCATTTTATTAGGATTTCAAATATTTTTTTAATTCAACCCCTAAAATGTCAGCAGGTGGATATCGAAGAAAAACTCGTCAACTTCTTAAACAGCCATTTAGAAAGCATGGTACTCCCGGGTTGAGTGTATACCTTGCTACATACAGAATTGGGGATTATGTGACTATTAATATAAACCCATCTATTCATAAAGGTATGCCTTTTAAATATTACCATGGTCGTACTGGAAGAGTCTTTACTGTTAATCCTAAATCAGTTGGTGTAGTTCTACATAAAAAAGTAAACGGTAGATTGTCGGTTAAAACTATTTTTGTGCGAGTTGAACATCTTAAAAGATACAAAGGAAGAGATGCCTTTTTGGAAAGAGTTAAGAAAAATAGGGAGATTTTAGAAGAAGCAAGAAAAAATGGAGTGAAACCAGAATATATTAGGCAGAAGGAAGAAGGACCCAGAGAAGAGTTTGTACTTGATTTATCTAAAAATGTTCCAGTAAAAGTAGCTTATGAGCCATTTATTAAAATTTATTAATTTTTATTTTTATGCTAAAAAAATATAAAATAAAATTTTTGCATGATTTTTATCCCATGGATCCTGCACTAGAAATAAAATATTTTTTTAACGAAAGCAGGGACGAACTTGATTTACAAATAAAAGAAAAACCTGAAGATTTTATTGTACAAGAAATAACAAGTAACAACATATTGTGTGATGTATCACCAGTGATTAACCTACAGGAATATATTAAATCTATAAATTTAATGATATATTTGTTAACTGAGCCAAGAACTGAAGAAGATATCACAAATTTTATTTGTTGTAGTGATTTTAATAAAGATTATGATTTAAATACTCTTAAATCTCTGTACAAAGATTTGGATTATAAACCTATTATAATAAAAGATAAGGAACTAAGGACTAATTTACATAATTATTTATCTTATAACTTGTTTATTAATACTAAAACTATTGATGATCAATTTATATTTGAAAGATCACATTCAAATACATACAATTTTGTGTTAAAAAAGGTTATGATGAATACAGTGGATGCTTGTAAATTTATTGAACGTAATATTGGTTGCTCGGTGTCATTCGCCGGAAACAAAGATAAAAAAGCAATTACTTATCAAGAAGTCAGTTGCAAAACAAATATTAATAATTTATTAAATTTTGTATTTGAATATACAGAATGTACAAATAAAGATTATGATATTCTTCGTGTAATTAAATTTCTAGAGGATATAGAAATTACCGGAGATGAACAGCAAATTTTTGATGACATAAAAAAAGAAACTACAGTAAATAATGAACAATATAAATCATGTATTGGTATTTATAACATTAAAGGGGGACATTCTAAAAGACTAGGTGACCTTAAAGGCAATAAATTTACAATAAAAATTAGAAATGCGGCTGATTTAAAGTATAAAAATATAGAAAACGGATTTATTAATTATTATGGACCTCAAAGATTTGGTAAAGCAAAAAATAATCACATTGTAGGGGAAAAGATTCTTAATAAAGAGTATGAAGAGGCTATTAATCTTATAATTAAAAATAGTAAAGGATATGCGGATTTTATAGAAAAAAATTTTGAAGAATGTCTAAGAAAATGTGACAATACAGAAAGATTTATTTTTAAAAAATTACTTTACCAAAAGAAAGTAGATTATAAACAAATAGTACTTAGTATGAGAAGAGAAATTAGGATGTTATATTTACATTCTTATCAAAGTTTTTTATTTAACAAAGATGTCAATAAATTTATTGAAACCAAACAAGATTTTTCTGATTCTGTACTAAAATTACAGAAAATGAATGATAAGCTTTTAAAAGGCGGTGAACGTAAAGTTTTAGAAAAAGCTAAGAATGTTTTAGCATGGCAGGATGGTACGGATTTTGTAGTATCTTTTGAGCTTAACTCTTCATGTTATGCTACAATGGCACTTAGAGAATTATAATTTATTTTATCAAAGAATTTCAGCAATAAACTTCTCTTAAAAAATCACATATTTTTTTACCCTTCGACATGAACATTCCTATGGACGTTGAACACGACTTTAAATGGGAAGTAACACAACCAAGAAAACAAAAGACATGTGAATACTTATCTCCTATAAAAAGAAATAGAATAGATTTGGATTGCACAGAAATTATTAAATATCTGCCTACAATCAACTCTAATGATGTAAATAATAAAAAAATACAAAAAGAAAGACAAACTAGTATTTTTAAAAAGCTTACAAATATTAATTTTGGTTTATGCTATAAATATATTTTTTACCTCACAGATATATTTCTTTCACTCTTACTTATGTATTTATTAATTCAATTATTTTTCTTTTTACAGAAAGATATTATGCACAAAATAAATGTAAAGAAATTTGAATTGCAAAAGCTGACTGAAACAGCACGTAAAAATTTTAAAATAAATAAATGTAATAAATCTACTAGGGTTCCAGCACTCGAAAAAATATGCAGTGAGTGGGAATGTATTATAAATACTGGAAGTATAAAATATACAAGTGTGTTATTTGAAGTATTGGGTGATGTTTGCAATGGTTTTATAGATAGAATTTCCTGGAAAAGTTTGGGTGTTTTAAGTTTTTTTTTGATTATATATTTAAAATTTAGAAGGAAGTAGAGGAAGTAATACTTTTAGATATAAAGAGTAAATTTTAGCTATTTAAAAAGTAAATGTTAATAAATTTAATTGGGTTTATTTACTAAAATATTGTTAATAGGAATATGTATTAATTTAATTACATATCCTACAATTCCAACTAATCCTATCGCTGTTGCTTGTAATCTTATCGAGGTTAAAAATTCTTTCTTAGAAGGATGCACTAACTTATTCCAGAAATTTTTAATACATAAAATTTCGTTCGGTATAAAAGAAAAATAAGAGCTCTTTTTTTGTTTACAGCTATTCATTGGGGGTAAAATAATTTTTGTATAAAATACGAACAGTTCATGTAAAATAAACATATCTTTATTTATTAAATCATAATTATTAATTATATTTAGTCAATGCATTAAGAAGAATAATTGGATCTAACCTTTGCTCATTTTTTGTTAGACTAAATATTTTCTCTTCTATTTCATTTAATCTTTCTGTCAAATTTACAAGATAATTTTTCATATTATTTTTTATAAAACCTATTGTAGTCATATCAAAATCTTCTAAAAATAAATTTTCCTCAGTAAATGATTCTTTAGTATAAACTGATAGATCAATAAAATTCTCTTTTATGACTTTACTTTTAACTCTATACCACTTATCTTTTTGTATATCTACCTGTTCTATCTTGTTTTCTAAATCCTTTAACTCATCTTCACAAATAGAATTAAACATATTTTTATTATTAACTAACAAATCTTTAAGTTTAGTAGAATAATTGCTCTTTTCTGTTTTGGTAAATAACAATATAACATCAGTAACTGTTGTACAATCACCAATTGTAAGAGGATACATAGTATCATCTTTTATTATAGGCATAGGCAATTCCGATTTAAACTGTGATTCTTTCTCTTTTTTATTAACATTTACGACTTCAATCGAATGCTCAACAAAAGTACTAGTGGAAGGTAAAACAAATGTAACAGGCTGCATTTTACCATTTTTTGTTAATTTTTTATTACTCAAATTTTCTTTAGAAATTTCAGTTCGACATTTACTACTACTTCGTAATAAAGCATTATCAAAATCAATCTTTTTAACATTTTTATTTATGCCATTCGACTTTTTTATATTTTTCGTAAATAATAGTTTGTTTGTTTGTATAACTTTATTGTTAAATTCGACATTTTTGACAGGTTTCGTTTTTTGTTTGCCCTTAACAAAAATATTATCAAAATTAACAATTTTTCTCTTTTTACCAGTATACTCAAATATATTACTTGGATCATCGGGAATAATGCTATTAAACTCTTTCTGTGATCTTAACTTTCTTATTTGGAATGTAAACATGTTTTTTCCATTAATCATTTATAAATTGGGGTTGAAAAATAAAAAGTATAAAAAATATTTATTATTCAATAAGTTCAATGTATTCTTCTTTACTAAAATATTTTGGACACACTATTGATGTGACAGGTGTGTCACTTGTATTTAGTTCACCTTTTCTAAAATTTTTTAGTGTAGCTTCTAATTCTTTAAGTTTTTCAAACATTTAGGGATTGAATATCTTAATTTTTACATCGGTAAATATTGTCATCAATATAATGAATTTTTAATGCTGTAAAATATATTTGAATAAAATGGTTTATTGTAGATCATTTATCTTTGAGACATTTGAAATATTTTAGGGTTTTATAATACATTAACACTTTAAAAGATATAGAATATTATTATTTTTTAAAAATCAAATAGATAGATATGTAACATAACTACAATAATTAATAATGTAAACTTTTATTCAAGCCAATCAATATGCCTCGCTTCCTTTTCTCCCTTAAAAATAACAGTATGCCCACCAAAACAATCTCTCATACATTGAATCATATTTCCATTGCTATCTGCTTCTCTCATTCCCATAATATAATTATAACAAGATGAAATAGTAGGTATTGGTATTCCTTTTTCCGATGCATGTAAAATAAGCCTTTTTAAACTATCAATGTTTTCATTGTAAATATTTATGAATGTATTAGCCAATTCGTAATCATAATTACGCTCTTCAGTTATTTTTTTCATTGTTTTAAGGAAAGCACCTCTTAAAATACATCCATTGCTCCATACGTCGCACACATCATCCATATTCTTATTCCATTTATATTTATCAGATGCTGCTCTCAATAAATTAAACCCTTGTATGTAAGAAATAGCCCTACAGAGATATATACTATTATGTATATCATCTTCGTTAATCAAAATATCATTTTTAATGTTAAATTTAAGTTTTTTACTCAATTCTTCCCTAACAGATTTTCTTGAACTTATAACACGAGAAAATGTCGCTTCTACTACTGTTATAGCCGGTACATTTAATTCAACTGCCTCAATAATGCAAGCTTTTCCTGTCCCTTTTTGTTGAGCAGAATCCTCAATTTTGTCAATAAGATATTCTTCTTTCTCTTTCTTTACTAATATCTTACCAGCTATTTCTAGTAAATAACTTTTTAATTTATTTTCATTCCATGTTAAAAATAGTTTAGATATCTTTTCATTATCGTTGCCTAGTTGTTTTAATATATTATACGATTCAGATATTACATCCATATCACAATATTCAATTCCATTATGAACCATTTTTACAAAATGTCCTGCACCATCATTACCAAACCTTTCACAACACTTAGTATTAGAAATCAGTGAATCAGTCGATAAATCTTCAAATATTTTTTTTACAGATTCCCACACATTTGCTGTACATCCAGCCATTAGTGATCCACCGTACCTGGCACCGAGTTCACCACCTGAAATACCGGCACCGACAAAATTAAATTTGTAAGTTTTACTTCTGCGAATAGTATCTAAGAAATTAGAATTCCCTAAATCTATTGCTATATCATCTTCAGAAAAATATTCTGACAGTTCATCACATATATCATCAATTATTTTTCCCGCAGTTAACATTATAAAAATGATTTTTCGATTCTTAAAACTATTTGCAAGATCTTTGATTGTTTTGTAAGGAATAATATTCGGATTTTCTTTTACAAGTAATTCTGTTTTAGCATATGTACGGTTGAACACATGTAACTTATATCCTTTGTCATCCAGATTTTTTGCAAGATTTTTCCCCATGTTCCCTAAACCTATTAAACCAACTTCCATTTACGACAAAAAGGTTTGGAATTTTTTATAAACTTATGTTTAACAAATAAAATCAAAATTAATTAAGTACTGGTGCAATAATGTGTCGTAACGATTTTTAAAAATAATCAATTATAATTGTGATAAACTATTTTATTAAAATGTAAAATAAAGTTAATCAATTACAGATTTTTATCAAAAAGATTTACCTTAGAATATGTTACATAAACATTTTAATTTTATGTAATTATTGCTGTGCCTTTAATTTTAAGCACTTCCCCGTTGGTCGTTCCATTTTCTTTAAAATGTATGCTAAATATTAAAAATATCCTTTTGTTATTGCAATGCCTATCATTTATAATAAACTTTTTGACTTTCTCTTGCATGCCCTTCAATATTAGTAGAATCGTACACGTTGTCAATTGATAATAAAAAAATATATATTTGATAAATTCATTTAAACTTTTATTATAAATTTATAAAATATCGTCATAAGAATTGGATAATTTATTTGTTCTATTAATTATAAATTCTCGTCAATATATTCGTATATCACGTTGCCATATGAAACAAAAAAGCCATTTTCTTTGGCAGCCACAAATTTTGTTTTGTTAAGCTCATTAGATCTATGTTTAATATCAAGCACCACAACTTCTTTTTCTCCTGTTTGTAAATTAATACAGTACACTTTATTGTCAAATGTTCCTGTAAAAGCATATTTTCCATTTTCTGCAATTTTAAATTTTTCATATATCGCATCAGAATCCAATATTCCTGGATTTGTACTTATTTTCTCTGATACAGTCACTTTAAAAATATCTTTTTCTACGTTGCGTAAATCAATTAAAGCTACATTATTAAGACTTCTATTAACGACTAAATTATCATTAACAAACGAAAAATCAGAAATAGGTTTAAAAGCAGCATCCTTGATTTCAGAATCTTTTGATAAAATTTTTAATATTTTAGATGATTTTGATGACTCTCTAAGATCATTAAAAGTTATTTCTCCATTGGTGGTTGAATACCCAAAAATTGTATTTAAATATGGACTAAATTTACAAGTGTTAATTACATACACCAGATCAGTATTCTTAAGAGGTTTTATATTTAGTAGATTGTAACAACCTTCTAATCTATCAGGTCTCCATAAATTTATAGCTAAGTAATCAGAAGATATAAAAAATTGATTATCATTGTTTAAAGATATTGAATTACAAATGTATGCATGAATATTAGTAAACTCTTTAACAAGTTCATGTGAATAAGTGCCACCTGGTACATTATTTATATTATCGATTGTTGATAGATTATTTCTTACATCAAAAACTCTTATATTTCTTTCATTGCTTACAAAAGTAGTAGTTGTTATTCCACCTGTTTCCATAAAATCAAAAGCTGTTATTTTGGCTTGTATATCACAACTTTCCAAATAATCAATTTTTTTTTGAAAATATTCTGTTTCGTAAATCTTAGCAGGAGAATAACATTCAACTGTTCCACTTTCTGTTCCTATGTATAAATGCTTTTTGTACAAAACATTTGAAATTTCAGACTTAGATTTTCTAGAGGACTGTGAAATTGTAATTTTATTTCTGTTTATCCACATTTCCTTAAATTTTAACTGCCCTGAATTTTAAATTTTTTAAGAAAAATATGTGACACATAAAACTTCTATTGACATGATTTGTCAAAGCAAAATACTTTGTAAACTATCTGCAATTATAATTTGTTTGTTTACTAAACAACAAATTGTTAAACAATTCTTAGTGCTAAATTTAAATTTACAGAAGTTGCATAAACAAAAAAAATTATAAAGCTTAATTTTATACTTAAAATCACAATAAAGATTTTAATAGTTTAAATAATATATACTAGTTTTTAATTCATATTAAAACTCCACTTTAATCTTTTCTTGTGACATGTCAATGTCTTCTTACTATAAAATATAATATTCCGAAACGTGACCGTGTCTAGCAGAGCTACTTAGATGTTTATTAAAGATAAGTGTTTCTTCTACATAAATTTTTTGACCAGAAATTAAAAGACATTGAACTTTAACATAGATATATATATCTAATTTATATCCTATTTTTTATGCAACTTTAATTATTTAAATACAATTTTAAAGCTTATGCCCGCAAGAATATAGATTTCATCTGTGCTTGGTTGTACCATTTATTATAAAAAAATATTAAAATTAAAGATTCTAATCACATACATTTTTGTTCTGTTCTGAAAAACTTTAAATTATATCAAATTCATTGTACAGCAATTAATTGTTTTTTTACTATGTTTATAATACTTATCAACCTTTGTAGGCCTATCTAAAACATGCAAAATGGTATTTTTTAAATGGTGTTTAAAAAGATGTTTTTTTTTGATTGTAATTTAACATTGATACACTTCTAAGTGTTTTTTTTTATATGTTTAGGAAAACATTTAATAATCTTTATATCATTAATGTCTAGTATGATTTTAATATAACATTACAAAACACAATTTAAATTTTTATTTTAGAAACATCATGTCATTGTCGTACAAATAATTTATTTTAATGAGGTAAACAATAATGTTAAAATTTTAACAAAGAAAAATATAAAATTACAGTAGACAAAATAAACTAGACTAAGAATATTACAGTATTTCGGAAAAGGTGTATATTTATTTATAAATTAACACTAAACGATTTAAAATTTATATTTTTTTTAAATCTTTATTATGTAATAAACAATGTTTAAACAAAACACTAAAAAAATATTATTGTTCATATTTTTTATTTTTTACATCTTCCCAATTTGTAGATAAAACTGTGCCATCACTTTCTATAAAAGATTTTTCCATTGCTCTTCTTGTGTTTTCATCACCATTCTGGTAAATTTTACTTAAAACCTTCATGATGTCATCATCCTGTGTTATATCATTCTCTTCTATCACTTTTTGTTCCTGTTTCTTTTCATCAATGTTTTCTGGTCCTGAAAGTGTATACCACTTACTCGGTACTTTTTTTACTAAAATAATTTCTACGCATTTTGTATGAACCTTTATTTTTTGTATGTGTGTTACTTCTTTATATAAATCAATGGATTTATAAGGCGTAATAAATAAAGATTTGGGATTATTAAGTGAAATACGAGAAGTGTCAATAGAATTGTCATATAAAAACAGAAATACTGATGTTTTGGTTTCTGCAAATTCCATGTAAAAAGGGGAAAAGAAAAATTTAAAAAAAGACTTATGTTGAGATACTTAAGATGACCTATTAAAATCTAAGAGCTAGCAATTTATATAAAAGATTTGCATTACTAAAGCAAAAGCTATCCATCTGTAACCTTTATAAAATAAATAAAAGTCTTGAAGTGTAAAAACTTTGGATGCTTTTATTATTTTATTTTACAGTTAAAATGTTTTAAGATCGAAATTATAGAATTTTTTAAGTATATTTATTCTAACAAACACCAAAAATTATTTTTTACATATAAAAATAAATTATAACTTTACAGGTTTATTTAACTGATTAAAGACAAATAAGAAAAATTCTTTGATTTAAAAGGTTAAAACATTTGTTTTACAATGAGTTTTTCTATATTGTAAAAATAAAGATTCAAATATTAGTTCATTTAAAAATGTTGTATACTGTTGATATATTAAAATGAATTGTTTTCAAATAATACAACTATAATTTATTGGTAGTTTTAAAGGGTAGACTGCAATGGATACTAAAAATTTTAAAATAAGTTCCAATTAATTTTAAAACAGATGCAACAGCCAAATTTGATATATTAATCATAACAGAGTAAGCCTTGTTAAACAAAATAAAAAGCCTTTGTTTGTGTTTACTTTTTCGAACTGCCAATCAAAAGATTTTAGTTGTTAGGTGGGGTAACACTAACAAATTTTATGATTTTAAATGTTTTTACAGTAAGAAAATGTTGTGTTTTTAAATACAAATTGAATTTTTTTTTTCTTAAAAAATCTCACGTAAGTATTTATAATTGTGCAAATCAGAATACAACTAAATAAGATTTTATTTTCTTTTAAAATGTTTTAATTATTTGGTACCATTTTTAAAATTAATTTTTAAAACTAATTTGTTTTTTTAAAAATTGTATAAAAATTATTTCATTTATTTTCAAAAATATAAATAAAGTAGCCCTTGCATGAACAGGACAAGAGAATATAACAAAATTGTACAAACCTCAAATATACCACAAAGATTAATATATAAACCTGATACTCCTCTTAATGAATTATTTATAATAGATAAACGTATTAAATCTAATTTATCAAATATCTTGAAATGTAAATATGAAGTATTTAATGTTAGAAATAAAATAACTGATGTTCAAAATATGTGCCAGGATATTCTTAACAAATTGAAGGATATTTCGATTACTTACACCAATCCTCAAGAAGAAGATGTTTATAATACGTGTTTTAATATTTTAAAAAGTAGAATTAACGAATACAAATTGCAGACAATTTTTTACTTAAGAAAGTGTGAAAGTGATCATAATAATAAAAAACAAAGCTATCATAAACTTGTATCTACAGAAACAGAAAATGAACCTAAAAATTCAATAAACAATCCTTCTTATATTCAGCAAGAGATTTTACAAGAGGAAGTAAATATAAGGTTGCGTAGGCAGGATTCTACGCAGCGAGAAATTTCACAACAAATTTCTGAGATAGGAAATCTTATGGAAGAAATTGGAATACATGTTTCATTACAAGAAGAAAGTTTTAAGCGAATTGATGATTTAATGAAACAAAGCGATAAATTTTTAGATAGTAGTCTTTTTATATTAAAAAAAGGAATAGAAGGGGTGACTAGTACAAGAAAATCGCTTATAAAATTTTTTATGTTTTGGATCATTTTAGCTATAATTTTCTGGATGTTTAGACGATAATATTTTTTTGGATTTTTTATCAGTAATAATACAATTGTTTAAATTTTTAATTGTGTTATAAACATGCATTTAGTATCAAAAGATATTATAGAGGGATATATTTCTAGTACAAAATGTGTGTCTAATAGCTATACTCTATACGAAATAGTAGTAATTACAAATATTATTAATATGAAAAATTATAAAATAATATATAAAAGATATTCCGATTTTAGCAAACTTCATAAAAAGATTTCTAAACACATAAAAGAACTGCCTGTGTTTCCTGATAAAAAAATTAAGAAATTGGATGAAAAGGTTGTAAAAGAACGTGTAATGAGATTTAACTTTTATGTAAAATATATTTGTATGTTAATTGTGAAAAAAGAACTAAACGATTATTGTAAGAAAATAATATTAGATTTTTTGTCTTATTAAATGCTATAAATTTTTATTGTATTCTTTCATAAATCTTTTATACATTTTTTCATTGCCTTTTTTTTTGTAAGTTTCTGCTAACAGAAGAGGAACAGACTTAATGTCCACTTCTGATGATAGTTTGTATTCAAGTGTAGTAAAATAAGCATCATATACTGAAAAAAAAGAAGCATTAGGATTTAATTCTAAATTTTGTTCAAATGAAAGGGATTTATCGATTGGTGTTATTATGCCTTTTAAATCATAAAAATCTAGAACTTTCATAAATCGCAAGGATAAAAACAAAAAAATATTTTAATATTTTAAAAAGCGTTGTTTGTCTAATAACGATATTAATATTTCAAACTTTCAGTGTTGATTCTGCACATTGTTAAAGATTTATGTAAAAATTAAAAAAAGTAATAAAAAAATTCAGATTATCTTACACATTATTTTTTATAATACAACAAGCAGTACTTTACGAGATAATATGTTTTGAACAGCAGCAAGAATTAATTTTAATTTGTTTGATTTAACAGAACATACAAAATGCTGAAATAGAACTTTAAGCTTTTAAAAAAATATTTACACTATAGCAAAATTGAAAATTAACAATGTAGTTAATATTAAATAATTTTTTTACAAGAATTTGAAAAGATTAATTGCTAAAATACGTTTTTATAAATACAAATAAAAAAATTAAATAATTATACATTGCAGATTATTAAGTACAAATTAATAATTTCATTTGGTAAGTTTAAAGAATTATTTTTTATTTTTTAAATAAATTTATATATTTTAGACATTCTATAAAAAACACTTAGAGCATAAATCTGCTATTGTACATGCCAAAAATTTAGAAAAATCAAAGTTTGTATATTGTTGCATGTTGATACCAACAAAGTATAAAATTGTATTTGTGAACTTAATTTAAAATGTCTAATATTTAAAATTTCATCATCTAGAAAATTATTTTTACTTGAATTCAAAAAATATTACGCTTATTTTTTGCTCGGTTATAAAATATTTTTTTACAAAATTACTATCAGTTTGTTATATATATAATTTGTTTATAAAAACAAACTACCAAAAAAACGAATCTTTATGCAAAAAAAGTATTTAAAGAATATTATTGCATAATTTATTTTTTACCCCAGTATGAAAATATCTAAAATAACACAAAATACCAAAATTATAGATCTTATAATTATGTCAAAAGTTATTTTATGTAATAAAGCTACCCATTTAGAAATCTATGACTTTAATCTCAGTTTACTAAGCACATTAAATTTATCATTTTTTGTTAAAAAAATTATTAAATTTACTGAGGATATTTTAATTTTTGTAGGCAGTTGTAAATATGAGATTATAGTTTTAGAGTGTGATATAAATAACAATTTTTTTAATTTAGTGCGTATAGGAGGACAAAATGAAGACTTGGTTGATTTTACTAAATATCATGTTTGGTCAAATATTATTGTTCTATATGACTATAAAACATTTTTTGTATATTATTTTTGTAAAGATAAACTTGTTCAAGAATGTATACCCAATGATATTGATTTTTTTAAACTTTTACATTTTGATTTTTGTGGAAATATTTTAAATGTAGTTGCTAGGGATATTGAAGATACGACTTATGTACTTAAGTACAATAATAAGCTTGTTTTGACCAAAAAACTTAAAAAACCTTGCACATCAATATTTTCATTTTGTCAAGGTACTTTATTTATAGGTGACGGAATTATTTGGTATGAAATTAATAATAAGAAAGTATCAGAATCTGAATTTGGAAACACAAAGGTTAAGAGTTATGCAGTTTTGTCTTCATGCTTGATTTTAAGTATGTGGGATGACGAATTAATTAAAATAAATATTTGCGAGGACCTCGCTATACATGTGAAGGTATATAAAATGAACAGTTTTGATGAATTGCATAAAGTAAAAAATTATTTATTGGGTCATACAAGATGCGGGGTGTGTTATTTATTTACATTTATCAATAATGACCTTAAAATTATACAAAGTATTGATTCTGTTAGTAATTTATCTAAGAGTTTTTACAATGATAAAAAATTGTATTTTTATAATAACAAGTTTAAAAGTATTCTAAGTAACTTCCAACATTGTGAACTTATTAAATACACTACAATTTCAAATTTAAGAGATTTTTATATATTTCAAGATATATTTATTGCGGTGAAAGAAGATGCTACAGAGTTTTATAATTTTAGTCTTAAAAACTCTTCTTTTGATTTATGTTCTGATTTAAAGCCTTTAAATTTTAATGTACAAGGATTTTATGAATTTGATAATAGTCTTTTTTTTTATTCTAAGAAAAAAATTATAAGATTAACTCAAAAAAAATTGAAAACATATGAATTTACAGAAGAAATTCTTTTTTGTTCTTTTTTTGAAGACAATTTTGTTTGTTATACTAGCTGTGGTAAAATAAAAACCAAAAATTTTATAAAAGAATGTTTAGAAGTTTCATGCATTTTATTGTACAATAATTTAATATATTTCAGTACATATAATGACGAATTTTTTACTTTTGATTTATCGTTAAACGAAATATCTAGAGTAAAGCAATTTGCTTTTCGCATGGGGATTGTTATAAATAATTTATTATGTTTTATTGACATGAATAATGTTTTATTTTTATATTCGGTGCAAAATTGTAATTTTACTAGAATTGGGCAATTTGATGAAATATATAAGATGGTCTGTACAAATAACCTGTTCTTAATAGGAAAATATACTGTAATGTGTAATGAATCTTTTTCAGAAAAAACAACATTAGATATTAAGAATATACAAGCTATTCATTTTTACAAAAATAATTACTACGTTTTCTTAAAGGATACCGTATTTATTGTTAAATTTACAATTTCAACATATAAATATCAACATGATAAAAATATTTTTCAATTTGTGCATAAAGAAGGGTCAAAGATATGTAGTATTGATTACAACGGAACGTTTAAATATAAGAAAATTAATAAGAAATCTTGTGTGCAGAAAATGCTGGATAATACAAATATTTTATCAGGAGAGTATAAAAATAAGGTATACACTTTTCTTACTGATGAAAAAATGTTTAGATTTAATACTAGAACAAAAAATTTGACACAAGAATCTTGCAATAACAATCTAATAGCATTTAGTGGGGGCATTAAAGTGAGTTACAATGAATTATTTGTTGATAAAAAAATTATTAAATACGATAAGGGAGCTATAAAAAATGTTTGTATAAAGGAGGATAAAATTTTAATAGTAGATTTTTTTTACGGTGCATATTTATATGATATTAACAACGGATGGACTAGTCTAATTAATAAAGGAATAGATTGCTATGAAAATAAAAGACAAAAGTTACAGGATTATAGAAAACTTATTAAAAAAAAATATTATTTAAGCTATATTTGGAAAGATTATTATTTACTGTCGGATGATGAGAATATTATAGCAATAAATAGTAAATCTGGAGTTATATGTTCATTTAAGATTAATGAAAAAGTTGTGTGTTTTTCTGAGGATTCTTTAGAAGTAAATGCTTCCGTATTGTATTGTGTAACGGAAGGGAATTGTGTATGGAAAATTGAACAAGTATGATAAGATTAAGTTTTATTTAAATTTTTATTTTTATAATATTGTAATAATTTATTTATTTATTTACAACATCTTTTTGTGTTCCACTAGTGCTTCAGTTACTTTTTGTAAATTATAACCTTTTTCCTGATAAAATATCTTTTTAACAATATCTTTAATATTTTCATTTTGAATGTAATCTAAATCAAAATACATTTTCTTAACATTATGCAATGTTTCAGATAAAGAATCTCCAATAAAAGGTTTACGTTTTGTATAACAAAAATAAATCGTAGCACCCAATCCAAATAAATCTACATGTTCTAAATCAATATCTCCTTTATATGAATAATCAGCTATTTGTGGAGGAAGATAACCAGCTGTTCCCAAAAATTCTTCACTTTTCACATTAATTACTTTCTTTTTGCTAATTATACACGACCCGAAATCAACTATTTTTACTACATTTTTTGATATAACAATATTTTCTGGTTTAAGATCACAATGATAAATTCCTTTACTATGAAGAAACTCAAGACCTTTTATTATTTCTAAAATATAAAAAAGAATAGTATCTTCATTTACATGCTTCTCTGCCTTATTTGATTTCGATTCGTTGATAATTCTATTTAAATCATATCCATTAATATACTCTAATTTAAAGTATCCATCTTCTTGATCTTCTTCATATCCATAAAATTTAATTATATTTGGGTGTAGAAAATTAGGATCTTCATATATTTTAGAAAAGGCTTCTAACTCACGAATATTCCATTCCTTCTTAAATCCAAAACACATAAGAGGATGTTTTTTGATAATAAATAGTTCTAAAGAGTCTGTGTCTAAGTACCTATATATTTCAGAATATCTGCCTTTGGCTAAAAGCTCATTTTGCTGTGAAGAAAAGAGCATAAGGGTAGAAAAATTTTGTAACAAGAAAATTTATTATTCAAATACAATGGATTTGTAAATAAAATAATGCGTGAATGTAAATTTAATGTATAATATAGAATGGTATATGTAAATGAAAAGGGTTATGTAAGGTTTTATGAAAAAGAAATTGGGCATGTAGCAAAAAAAGATACAATTGCCTTAAAAATATAAGCAAATTCTATAGCTAAATACAACAATTATAACGTGGAACAAAAATAAAAATGTAAACTTTTGTAAAAATTAAGTGTTTACACCGATGCAATTTTTTAGAGTATAATTCCTTTTTTGCCAAAAAGATTTTAGACAATCTATTAATTGGTTTAGGTTGATAGGTTTTGTGTCGGACCTAAATAATTTTGTAAAAATTAGCCACTGATTTTAGTAACAATTTTTTTAACAACAACATCTTTTAAAAATACTACATTTGTGTAAAATCCAGAATGTAGACAATTTTGTAAGTTAAACTACGAAAAATATATTTTTTTACAATGATATTGAATTTTGGTAAAATAAGTCTTATTTTACATTTTTGTACTTTTTACAAATAAACTTATACTTAAATGATATTTATTTTTACGCAGGCAGAGAGCGATTATGGTCACTTTAATATTTTATAGTAGGCTTGACGGGTTTATTTATACAAATATTAACCTGTGCGCAACTTTACAAAATGTTTTTTTTATAAAAAATCGTTTACATTTACAGCTTAATTTATTTGTTTTCATTTAAAGCTTATATAAATTGTCTATAATAAAAAGGTTAATTTTAATATTTATAGTCAAAATATTATTATTTCTATGGCCATATTTCATTAAAAAAAATTTTTTTTTTAAGTTGTAGTAATTTAGAATACTTTAAGTATTTTTTTTTAAATTTAAAAATAGCTATTTTGCATGCTATAGATATAGTAAATATTCGGAATGTTTTGTTATCTATTTTTAGACAATCATCACTATAAATAAAACAAGACTTAGGCGGATTACATGCCAGAAGATAGAAAAATATTTAAAGGTTTTTATTGTTTTAAAGGGTTATTTGATAAAATTTTTTCGGCGCTTTATTTTTAAACTTAATACAAGTATTATTAATTCTTTATAAATTTTCTAGGTGTACAATAAAATGAATTTATTTTAAATGTTTAATCCTTACTATTACCGCCATAACCCTTTTAATTTATATTTGTCATCTATATTTATGTCTTATATTTTAGTGTCTGTGTATTCATCCTAAATTTAAAAAGGTTGAGTAAAATACTTTAATACTTATTACAGTATCAAATATGAATAATGAGGCTTTTACTGTCCATGCGTGCTAAATCTTTTTGAATTACTAAAATTTTACTTTTGTTTTATTACCTTCTCCTAAAAAATTTTTTTGTTATTAATATGATTCTTATCCGAATCAACATTGTACTATCTATAGGATACGTTACAGTGTTAATCCGACTTCTATTGATAAATAGATTGAATAGTGAGTTATTAGTTGCAGAATGTATCGCTACATTGTATTCATAAATCATCTTATCCAAGAACGGAATCCAATTTTTACCGCTAGCAAACACACCATCACGCAGATGCTTTTGCAAATAACTTGTGAGCGTTTGATTATATCGTTCTATTTGACCTTGGCTTTGTGGATATCTCGGCCTCCCATGAATTAAAACAATGTTTTTTTTTCTTACGAAAATCAATCAACCAAGATTTTCTTAATCTTTTCCGTTATCACATTAAATTATTTGAGGATCACCAAGTTTATAAAAAGCCATTTTGAGATATGAAAGAACCTCGGTTGTAATCTTACCTTTGAGCACATAAGTATTTTTATATTTAGAATATATATCTATAGCTGTAAGTTTCCAACTAAAACCATCATTTTGTTTCGCGTAAATCTTTATATCAATGAGATCAATGATTAACCTCTCGAAGGGCTTCTGAGCCAGAATATGCTTAAACTTTTCTTTTGTCTTGAGGGATGAGCTTGTAAGCAGATATTACACTCATCACAAACCTCCCTAACAACACATCTATGAATTGAAAAGTTAAGTTGTTTATTCAACTCGTAAAGATGATTCTAACCATAATAATTTTAATTGGGCAATTTTTTACTTCTATTTTTATAGAAAGTATTGCTTCTTCCATTAACACCCGTTTATGACATTTTCTGTATCTTTCAGATAAAGTAAATTATCTACCAAGATAAACGGCTCGCCCTTTTTTTTAAACAATACTTAGTATGTTTACTGCCATCTACTGTCGTATTTCGCCTTTGAGAATATTTACGATGTAATCATATTCTTCTTGCGATATGATAGTAAGCCTCATAAGAATTTTTTAAAAAACTATAAAACTTTGCTTTGGTTAAATTTTTAAAGATTACTAACTAAAATGCTATATAGCTTCAACGAGATCATAAATGAGATGGACTCTTCTTTTTAATCTGCGTTATGTCTTTAAACTTGTGTGTATTGTTTAAAAGCATAAAATGCATTCCTTTTCAGTTATTAAATTTTGGAATAGTGACTGTTCTATAATTTAAATTATTCAATAAAATTTAAAAAAATGCACAAAAAATTGTGCTATGCTTAAAGAAATAATTTAATACTTGTGTTATTCTTTCTTAATTAAAAATAGAAAGACTTTACAAATTCAAAAAAAGAAGGGTTAAAAATTAAATCAAAATTATTCTTATGTTTTTTATTATATAAGTCGATAGATAGATGTTTGATTTTGGTAACGTAGTAAATAAAAAGAGTTCAAACTTTTTATTGGCACAAATTACTTTGACAGGGTGTAATTCGAACGAACGGCACGCGTTTATTTACATCAACAATTTTTTTAAGAATGAATTTGCACTTTTAAATGGTCATATATTTTTTATTTGTATAATGAGATTACATGCACTAATTGTTGATATATGTTTAAAATGTATAAATACAAAAAGTTTTCTTTGTACAATACACTATTTATAAAAGTAAAGTTAAAATAAAAGAATATACAGAAATATTTAATCAAAAAAAAATATATTTCAAGTAAAAGAATTTTAATAGGATCGCTTTCTAGGCATTTGATTATATTTAAACAAATTTTAAACTTAAATGGTTATTTTATAGTCTTATATTAAATTTCTAACCTGCTTTAAATTAGATCACAAAAAATAAAGTTGTAAATTTTCAATATAATACAAAAGTAAGAACACTTTTTCAGCTTATTTTTTAATTGAAATCTATTTTTTAAATCAAACTGACAAAATATATATAGATGTTTAATTTTTTAATAAAAAAATTACTTTTTTACATAAAAAAATGTTTTAAATTATTCCTACGGTTTCAAATTATTACATTTTTCTTTTCGATGTTTTTGGAACTAATCTACGCCTGGCATTAATAAACCAATTATTAATTTGTGATATATCTAAACCCGTGAGTTCACAAAATTCTTGTTTTTCGACCTCAGAAGGATATGGATTCGTTATATGATCTTTTAACCATTGTTTGAAAATTCTTAAAACTTTTTGTGGATAATTTGATCGTTTAGTCGTTCTTTTGGTTTTTTTTGTTTTAAATCCATCATTTATATTGTTTTCAACATTATTATTAATGATCGATGTATTTGTTGACAAAAAGTCGTTAGTTAATAATTTCAGGTTTTTTTCAAATTGAGAAACATGAAAAAAAATTGTTTCACTCAATTCGTCTTCAAACATTAAATAGCATAAAGATTTTTTAAGTAAAAATAATAAAAATACTTTGTAATATTTTTCATCATGAAAATTCTTGTTATGTAAAAAGTCGGCATACAAATCTTTAGTTTCCATGATTATTTCACAATAAATTTTTCTATCAATTTTATTTTTAAGATACTCTTTTTCGGCCTTAGATACTCTCACAATGCAATCCATAATTTTTTCCTCTTTGTTTGGCATGCCCCTGTTAACAATAATTATATAAATGTTTTTCTAGCCATTTTATATATACAAATTTTGCTGTCCCTATTGTTTTTTTCTAATATAAACTTAAAATTCAACTGATAAACTACAAAAGTAATTTAAACATATTGTAATTTGAATTATAGATATTTATAAAATTTTAATTAATAATTAAAAATAAATATAAATTTTACAACAGATAAAAATTAATTTAATGTTTATTTTTATTAATTTGTAATTTATTTGATTTTAAATTAATTTAAAAAGTGATATTAAATTTATTTAAATATTAATTTATATATAAAAAAATGTTTTATATTAGCTGATACGACCGTTTAAGACAATGTTAAGTAATATCATGTACATATGTATTCTCCTATTCTCATGTAAATACATTTTATAGCAAGTTTTTTTATTATAATTTACAATTACTCTATTTAAACGATTAATAGGCATTATGGCATTTTTTATTTTTCACAACTACAAAATATTTAATCAAGCTTATTAAAATTATGTGTGTAGTATTATATCGTAAACAAATTACAATACGATTAAAAAATAGTCATCTATTAAAGTCGTAAAAAAGATGGGTACAAACAATATGATATTCAAAATTGTACTTTTAATATATTCTGATCAAAATTACTAATTAAACGCATTTTAACATTATTTGCTCAAACTTACAATTTTTGGAAACTAAAAATTAGTATACAAAAATGCATCTCAAGTAAACTCTTTAATAGCTTTTGTTAGATTACATACGCCTAAGGAATTGTTGATTTTTATATTAGAACTTGATTATATTAGACTTATGTTTCTTATTACCAATACTTTAAAGCATATCGATATGCAAATTTGAAGTGAAAATCAAACTAAATTCGAAATACTTTGTTATTTAAAAATAAGGCATTTTTGCAAATATTTGATCTTTAAAAAATTCAAAAACAAGCCATTTAAATAATCTAATACAAAAGTTAAGTCATTATCTTGCAACTTATACCTAAAATAAAAAATTCAAATTAGTTACCGAATTTACCGTAATACTGTTTAACTATTTTTTAAAACGCTCTTCACGCCAATACTCTTTTCAGTAAATGTACAGTTTTCAAAAAAAATTATTGTTTCTATTCTAAATTTTCCTTTACATTCTTTTGTTTGTGTATTCTTCATGCTACTATAAAATTTATATTTTTTTAGCGTAGACCGATTTCATAAATAAATGTGTTAAAAAACGACAAATTCAATGATGTGAAGTGATATAGCCTATACAATAATTAGACTTAGGAAAGATTTAAAATTATAACTATATGTCAAATCTGTTTTTAAAAATGCTCCACCAATTGTGAGAGATTATTTTTTAGGGTACACAAATATTGTTGTCAAGAGAAGATCCTAATTAGGAAGTTGAAAAATTAAATATTATAATCATTGCCTTCTAAAGGATTATGATTCGTACAACTAGTAATTTTAAACAAAACAAGCAAAAGTTTATAATTTTTGGTATGAGAATACTGGAAAAAGGGTGATGAATAATGAATAAGAAATAAGTTTGTTGTGGTCATGCTGGCCAATCGTAAACAATACATATGTTTTACCAGATTAAACGTTTGAAACTAATTAAGTCATGTAATCTCAAATATTATTTTAACGTACTTATTTTAGATAGTTATCAATAAAAATCATGCAATTCCTACAGACTTTTAGCAACAACTAAAAAAAGTATTGAAACTTTGAAAACTTAAAGAAGAAAAAGGATAAAGAAAAAAAATGAATGTAAAGATGATGAAGACTTTAAGTAGCATGGTCAAGATATGCTGAGGATTAATAAACAGAATACGGAAGACAAGTATTTATGCTATTTATCAATAAGATGATTTAATTATGCTAGAAAGTTGTTTTATAAAATTTTAAGATTATATGATATTAAAATTTTGCTAATTTTTAATAATAAGGTGGTGGTTTGGACTATGTGCTGAGAAAGACTAATAGAAGAGAAAATTGACAAAGATTAAAAATAAAAAAATCTATAGAGGATTTAAATATAGAAAAGCTTAAAATAAGAAAATTGATGTTAGAAAACATTGTCATAAATTTAACGACTTGTTTTGTATTTATAGTGGAAAGATTAATAAATGTAAAATGAAAAATGAAAAATTTAGACAGAAAAAGAAAGAGGTATTTATGAAGATTTAAAGTTTGACAAGCTTTATTTAAGAGAACAGAGCGGCATTTTAAATATGTGAAGAATTTTTTAAAGGCTAAAGATTAAAATTTAGAAATACTATTTATTACCGAAATTGAATAGTGGTATAAGATTTGTAAATAGCCTTCATTGACATTTTTAATAAAAATATTTTTAGTAAATATAAGAAAAGACTTTTGAAAAGCAAGACCGGTAAAATGTTACACATTGTTTGATTTTAAAGAAGTATTGTAAAGCATTCAGTCGAAAAAATTGCCGAAAATGAAAACTTTTTGAATTTGATGAAAATGTTTGAATGAAAAATTATTGTTATAGAATATTGAATCTCTTTATAAATATAACAAATGATCGTGGACGAATTTTTAGTGATTTTAAAAAAAGGAGCAAATAGATAAATTGGTAATATCTTAACTTTTTCCAGATATGTGTTATAACACGATAAACATTTATTTGAAATATTATGGAGATTGAGATTACAAAAACGTGAGACATGTAACTATAATACATGTTTTTAACTAAAATCTTAATTTTTACGAACTACATGAAATGACAAAGATAATTAACCTCCGATTTATAAATGAATTATTTGATAATTAAGTATCAAAATGTTTTCAGACATTATGAATTAGAACAATTGGATAGTAGTAGGATTTTATAGACTATGTAAGATTGGCTGTTAATTTAACGACAAATTTAAATGATTTTGTTTAAAATAGAAATAAAGTAGCTTAAAAAGTAAATGTGTTAAAAAAAATTAAAAATTATTAATGGCCTAGGAACACCTAAGTAGCATTTTTTGGTAGTAATTCTTACTAAAGATGGATGCGAGTAATATAGGTATGCGTGCAGTTAGTATTAAAAAAAAAAAGAGATGATTGGATTTTAATACAGTCAGCATTAAAAGGGTTTATGCCTACAGAGATAGCATTTGGTTAAAAGAAAATGTGGTATAATTCTTATACCACATTTTAAGATGACTAATGATTTACAAAATCACGTTGAAACGCCATTCGTTTTAGTAATTAAATTAATATATTGGACCATTTGCTAAACAAATATGTTCATTGGTTTACTATAAATATAAATAAGAAAACTATTAATTTAAAAATGATGAATCAAGGTAGCCACTACAACAAAATTTCTTCTACAAGTACAGAGTCCTATTTCAATGAAAAAACCTTACGTAAACAAATTTTACGCAGCATCCTAGAATGCTTTTTAGCCACAGGGACAATTCCTGGCAAACACGCCAGCTTGGTATGTCATACCTTTAATGTACTACATATAATATGCAGTATATATAAATGAAAAATTTTTAGAAACTAAAGAGTTCTTTGATAACTAGGCATTCTAATACAAAAAAATTTCTACACAGAAGTATTCTTTAGAACATTTTTTAATTTTAAAATGCACAGAAATAATACATGTTATTGAGTGGGGAAAAATCATATTAATAAATGAATAAGCTATACATATAATTCTTATGTAGCAGTGAAAAAAATAATAAAATAAATATTTTAATAAAGAAAAAAGGGGTATTAGAACTTGGAAAGAAATTAAACAACATTCAGCCAAAGAACACACATTATATTTGTGATCTCGTTTTTAACGGGACAGCACAAGCTAGTTTTTTTTGAAAAATTTACTATAAAAAAAATTTAACATTTTAACTCATGTTTTATATAAACAAAAACTCTAATAAATTATCAAGTGATATAAGGGTTATTTTAAAAGCCTGCAAGGAACAGACGACAACCATAAAATTTTAAGCTCATTAGAGTATTACTTAAATAAAGTCAAATTCCTTTGTAGCATCCCAATTATGTAAAAACTTTTTATTTTTGCTTGTTTTCAGTATCTTCTGGAATATTTTAATCTTTATCAATTAATAAATTATTTTTTTTTCTTGCTTCATCAGCTATTTTTTTTTCATTTCTTAACATTTAAAGATATATAACTAGAATTTTTTAAAACATTTAAAACATTATAAATTTTATGCCTCGCCGGCCAGATGTCTCAAGTGTTCTTTCTATAATTTTAGCAGCAAACAGAACTTTGTTGTGTTTTTCCTCATCTTTTGCATGGTTGTTTAATGATATTTTTAGGAAATTCTGTCCTATAGTTGTCTTCAGCGAAGAGGTGCATTTCCCCTTTAAATTAACAAATCAATTTTACTTTGATTGATTCTTTGAAATTATAAAAATATTTTTTAAAAATGATCTTGTCTTTTTCCTTGTTGTTTTTTAAATATTTTTTGATAAATTTTGTAACATTTAGAGATTAAAAATTATTAGGTAATTTTTAGGCCAAGTCAATCTTTTATTTTTGAGGCAATGTTAATTGCGTCTTCAATGTTGAACAGAATCACGTCTATGTGATAAAGGAAGCCTCCATTTTGTTGAAATGCGTAAGCTATAAATTTCATTTTAGTATTTTTAAAAATACAACAATTAAATACACAAAATTAGATCATTTACTAATGTTAAATATAGTTTATTAATAATTGTAAAATACTTCTTTATTATTTCTAACATTTTGGGTGTCGATAGGAAAACGTATTTTTTACATTAAACAGGTTACATTGTTTAAAATTTATAGCAAATGTTTTAAAGGTTGTAAAGCTTTGTCCGGTAATGGTTTTATGATAGAAGTGGATGAGTCTAAAAATGGCAAAATAATAAGAATAATATTAATATCTTAAACAAAGAGTGGAAATACTTTATTATAACTACTTGTAAGGTATATAAACCAAAATTCAACTATAATAATTGATATGTAGACAACTTATTACAATTAAATAATTTATTATTAAGTCATTACATAATTAATCATAGTTTGTATTTAAAAAATCTTAAAATTGGTGTTCATACAAATACAATAGAGGCCCAATGCGAATTCTAAAGGGGTCAATTACAATATATGTTGCAATTATAACTTTCAAAAATTTATTTAGCTAAATATATGATAAGAAGAAATAAAGACACTTTGCTAATTAAAAACATGTTACAATATTATTTTTAGATAAGTAATTTGTTATTTATAATTAAATTAAAATATTTGTTAATTTTAAATATATGTTTTTTTTTGGTTTTTTAAAAAAGGGGTATTTTTTCTAAAATTTTGATAATATATATTACTTTATGACTAAAGAGTCTGTTTGGATCAAGAATTTTATTTTTAATTTTAATCCAATAATATATTGTATTGAGTTTACATTTATTTAACAAAAGTAATCACATTGGTTTTATAAATCATATGCATGTTTTAATAAATAAAATAATTGAAAATAATTAATTTAATGAATTGATTTTTTTGTTGGGTGTTATATTAATCAAGCTTATTTAATAAACGTCATAATAATCAAAATAATTTAAGAACATTTAAGAACAAGTTTTACTTACGCAATTTTAAAAATTTTTGCTGTAATGTTACAACTATAATTTATGTCATTTAAAAAACAATTACAATTTTAAGTTGTAACAATAAGAGTAAGATTTTTAATTAAATTTATCTAAATAAGATTTTATTTATTTTTTGTAAAATTTTTGACATTTAATTAATATTTTTACAATTAAAAAATTCAATTTTTGCTTGAAAATTAAAATAAAATAACAATTATTTAAATTGAAAAAAAAACATTTAAAAAATATTTTTATTTAATATATTTATTTTTAAAAACATTTAATAAATCAGTAAAAGTAGTTTATATTTAAGGGCTATAATTGTAGGACTTAAATGATTAATATTTTAGTTAATATTATAGAGTTAGAAAAGATGTACTTAACTGGAAACTCATGTAGAATTGAATTATCAACTAAAATTAAGTCTATTAAAGATGACTTTAAAGAACTATTTTTTTCTAAGAAATTTAAAGATTGTCAATTGTATAAATTAAGTTTAATTTTTTTCCTTGAACGAATTAAAAGAATTTTAAAATTTGAAGATAATTTATTGGAAATGGTTCAAAATTATACAGATGAATTTTATAAAAATCTAGACGAATTATTAGCTGCACCGGAAACAATATGTTCCGAGGAATATTTAAAGTTTATTTCAGAAATTGAACAGCATCAACGAAGCAAAAAAATAATGCGTCGTGCAAATTATCCTCACAAAGTTACTAAAATTTTAAAAACTTGGCTCGAAGAAAATATGAAACATCCATATCCAAGTGAGATACAAAAGATATTATTTTGCGAAAAAACTGGTTTAGATATTTGTCAAATTAATAATTGGTTCATTAATGCTAGAAGGCGAATTTTACCATTACTTAGGCGTGATGACAGAAATAAACATGAGTAATTTTTTTTATTGTTATAATCAAATTTTAAGTAACTTTCTATTTTTTTAGTTTTTTCAAAAAAAAGTTATAAAACTTATGTTACTTTTTGAAGAAATCTGAGATAAATTTAAAAAAAAGCTGATTTGATAAATTTTTTGTCTAACCATAAAATATTTTTGATTCAATTATTGCAAAATATTGGCTGCACAAAAACTTTTAAATTTAAGTCTTATTTTTTCTAATACTTAATACTTTTCTTTTTTTTTTACATATTTTTCAATTTGCTTATAAAGTCCGTTGCAAATCTTATGACACCCATTTATTATAAAAAATTTTACGAAAATTGCACCAATACACCAATTTGTTGATATTAATCTTTTTTATTTTTTTTCTTTTTGGGGTTTTACTCCTCATTTATTTTATTACTAGATATATTGTGTCATTTTTATAAATTTAGAATATTTTTTAAAAAAGTGTTGCAGAATCTTACGACAGTTTAGTTTTAATGATATTTAATAACCAATAAAGCCACCATTGTTTTAATATCGAGTTTAATTCTGTTTTTCATCAAATCAAAAAGTTTTTTACAGAAATCTGTGCTATTTATTGCCATTTTTCAGAAATTGAGGCTTTTATTTGTTTACACTATCATAGGTTTTACTGCAGAATAAACCCGTCTAAAAAGCTTTCTCAAAGATTTGCATAGGATTAAGGTCAGGAGACATGCTAGTTAAAAAATTGTTTTAATATTTTTGCAAGCTAGGCAATTTTTTGTAGATACTAAAAAATGTGGTCTTGCGTTATCCTGCTGAAAAATTTTTAAGTAAGTTTTGTTCATCAATAAATAAAAGTAAAAATTATTTAATATATCTTGATGTGTTAAACTATCTATACTTCCTGAAATAAAAGCCAATTTTGACTTAAAATAATTAAAACAGCCCCAAACCATGAGTAAAAGTCGTCTCATGGTTCTGCGAGAATACACAACTTCTTTTATTTTAATACCTACCCAATAATAGTTATAACAATCTGGGATATCAGATTTAACTTTTTTCATCTATTAATATTATTTCTTTCTATCTATAATCCAAAAATTTTGATATTTACCTGAAAATAATATTATATTTTTTTTATGTTCAAATTTAAAGCAGATTTTCTGCAATTTTCTTTTTTTATTAGTCCGCCATCTTTTGCTAAAATTCTTGTTGTAGTGGATGTATGCACATTTAAATCTAAAATGTGCTTCAACCTATTCGCAATAAAATTTTTACCACTAGCAATTTTAATTAATTTTGATTGTGTTCTAAGAGAGGCTTTTTTAGACGAACAGATGATTTCTTCTTGCCATAATTTTAAGGTTATTTATGTATTTAGCAATAACAACATGTGATCTGCTTATCTCTCTGCTAATTTCGGAAATTGACTTTTTTTGCTTACTCAGCAAAATAATAACGGCTTTCTCAAAATCATCAAGGTATGGTTTTCTATCAATAATAGGCTGACAAAAAATTCTTTTTAAATCTTTTTCTCACAAAAAAATATATCAAAAATCAGACTGTCGGAAGATTATGCAACACCTTTTTTTAAAAAAAAACCCAATTTTTTAAACCAATCATTATATCTAGTAATAGAATAAATGAGTAACTAAACTAAATTTAAATATAAAAACGAATTGAATTATGTTAATAAATTTTTACTTTGGTGCAATTTAATTAAAATTTTTATCAAAATGAGGATGTCATAAGATTATGCAACGGACTGTATATTCAAACAAAATTTAATAGCACAACTTTTAACTCTACTGTAACAACTAGGTATAGAAACTTTTTTTACAAAAATAACCACAACTTTATATGTTATAATATTTTAAATTTCAGTGTGACGCATCAGAACTAAAGTCTTTATTAAAAATATCCATCCCTTGTCTTTGGTAAATCTAATTTATAGTTAAACGACCAATCATTTTGCGACAGGTGTCGTTGAATTCGAAGGTATTAAATGGTTACGACATAGCCAAAATTTAAAAATTTATTTGTTCATTGATAATTATTACAAAAAAAACGCCTATTCATTAAATTACATTAAAGCATACCACAATTTTTTCAGATTTATTATTATACATACATCACAGTTTTTATTAATTAAATTCTCAGCTAATCTTTTGTAATTTTTTTTTTGTTTACCCTCCTTCTATTAAAAATTCCCCTTTCATTAATCTAAACATACGCGCATTATAGGCGTTAGCATCCCCCAAGCCCGCTTAAACAAAAGATATTTTTAATCTTAGTGAAAAGTTACAAAGAAATGACGACTAAAAGTACATTTAAAGACTAAAGTTTCACTTGATCTTGTAATTGGTTTAGGCAATATAAATTTAATGACCGTGATAGACTCTCACCATCACACGCGAAATGCTAGCCCTTCTCAGGCGGTACAACAAATATTATTTCTTACTTAGGTCTCCAAATGGGATTGCGAATAATTCAACGGCTACGGCATTTTTCGTGCCGACCCAAAAATGTTATGCGTCTCCTACATCTCTTAGGACACATCTACACAGCTATTAGTCGACGCTTACAGAAAAGCCCACGATACAACTTTACCGACAAATACTTTATTACAATTATTGTGTCAACGCCGTTTTATTATTATTTGCGAATTTGTAATGTCAAAGCTCGAACCAATACCTTTCGAACATCAAAAAAAACTTTACCAGTGCATAAACAATGCTTAACCATATTCTTTTTGAAATTAATTTTTTGGAACTAATAAAATTTGTTTGATATTGCCAACAGCTTATATTACTTACAAAAACTAACATAATATATTCAATTTTACGTTTTTAATATTTTTTTCAAGTTTAAATATAAAAAAAAAGATAAGAATAATTTTAACATATTATCCTGAGTATTTGTCGTAATCTCCAGTGAGGCGGGCGAAACAAAAGTACTGTTCTAATGTGAATAAGTATATGTATTATAATAACTAATTTAAAAATAATGGTTCTTCATTGTGATCCCTCTATCTTGGTGTTTCCAAAACATATTGTTCTCCCAAAAAATTATGTCTTTTAAAAGAAAATAAAATTTAATAAAATAATTCTTGTTAGTGTTTTAAAACTTTACAACAATTAAAATTATGTGTTAGATACCACAGTGGCTAGCCAAAAGCCTAAAGTTTTTTCTTACATAAATGGATAATTTATATAAAAATGACACCAAGCCAAAAAAATCCTTTTAAATTTAATAACTTGTTTTAACCTATATATTAATTCTCTATCCAAAATCAAACAATCTTCCCATAAAACCATATTTTTTTTTTACTTTCTTGATTATCGTATTTTTTTTCTTACTTCCCATTCACCTCCAGCAAATAATCTATGCAATTCCGCTTGATTAGGTATTTCTACATCTATGTAATATATAAAATTTTTAGATATATGGTATTGCCAATATATCAAAAAAAGGAATTTTAAATAAGACTTAAGAACAGCTTTTAAATCAAAATTCTTCACACCATTTGTTTAAACTAGTTCATCATAAAAAATGTAGCCTTTAAGTTGAACCTATTGATATATCCAAAAGATTATAAAATTGGGGTTTTCTTCTTTTCTCTAAATTTAGAGTTATTTATAACTGGCATTCGATTTCTTTTCAGGCTAAGAATTAAAACAAAATTATTCCTAAAGGAGCTAAATTTTTAAAAAATAAAGGTTAGGCAATCAAAGACATCACGATAGTTGACATGCTTACATTATTATTTTATTTTTTAATAAATCTATGTTTTTTAACAACCATACTTATAGCATAACACTTTGTTTTAAAAACTTCTAAATTTTTAAAATTAAAGGTTCTGTTTATATTTTTCAAATTAAAAAACTTTTACTTTTTAATCAATTGTGTCAAATCTTTAGCAAAAAATCAATTTAATGTATATTTAATTAGCAACTTGTACATTTAATTAATCATTCAGATAAATGAAATATTTTTGAGTAATCATTTTATATAACAGCACATTTACTTTTCTTAAGCATGCTACTGTAATTAATAAATGTTATTTAATGCACTGATTTTTCTCCTTTTTTTAAATGCTACTTTTTTTGTAAAATTGCCCTTAATGTCTAAATCTAATAAAGTCAGTGTAATATCAAATCCTAATATAGCAATTGTAAAATATTGGGGAAAAGAAGATATTAATTCTAATATATGTTCCAATCCATCTATTTCATTCCAATGCACAAAGCTTATAACCACAACCAGCATATCATATAACGAAAAAAATAAAGATGAATTTATTTTTAATGGTAAACCTACTAGTCTAAATAAGAAAATTAAATATATTGTGAATTTATTTAAAAAAATCAAACAAGACGAGTGCTTTCTTCTCATTGAATCAGAGAATAATTTTCCGCACAGTTGCGGCGTAGCATCTTCAGCCTCCGGATTTTCTGCTTTGGTGCTTGCGCTAGATAAATTTTACAAAACAAACTTTTCAGAGAAGGATCTTAGCAAACTTGCACGCGAGTGTTCTGGTAGCGGAAGCAGAAGTATACCGAAGGATATAGTATTGTGCAACAAGGAGTACTCTTATACAATTGGACAGTGGAAAGAAATAAAAATACTGTTGATTAAATTAAGTGACGAGGTAAAAAAAGTAAGTAGCACAGAGGGAATGTGCAGAACACAAGAAACAAGCTTTTTTTATAGGGATAGGCTGACCAGGATAGATGACAAGATACATCTTTGTAAGGAATACATCAAGACAAAAGATCATAAAAGTTTATTTAAACTGATTATGAGAGAATCAAATGAAATACATGCAATTATGTTTGAGAGTTTTCCACCAATCAGATACATTTCTGATAAAGGATTTGAAATTATGGAGATGGTGCATGAATTTAATAATGAAGAAATAAAAATGGCTTATAGTTTTGATGCGGGTACAAATCCATTTATTTTTGTTTTAGAAAAGGATCTAGAAGAGGTAAAGAACTTTTTTAAAAATTATGAAATTATTGAATGTAATTAAAAAGCTATACTTTGAAAATCTCTTTTTTATGTTTAAATATATAAAGAACTGTTGAAGTTGATGTGAAACAAATTAAGGCTTCATGCTGAAACATGACAATGTTTGAAAGTTTAAAGCATGTTTCAGAAATAAATATAAATAGCGTAAATTCTGGCAAGAATGTTAAAGGAGAATTCAAATAAACCTTTGTATTCTAAAACGTCTCCTGATTGTAACAAAGAGCTTTCCAAGTTTTCTAGAGTAACTTGTCTACATTTTTGTTTTTACCTTTTACATAATTATTTTTTTAACCTGTTTTTTCCGAAAATAAAAATGTAGGCAAGTTGCACTAAAAAACTTATCTGTTTTACATAAATTTAATTATCTTGTACTTTTAATTAATCTATGCAATAATGACCGGTATATTTTTACTTAAGGTTTAAAATTGTTTTAAGCCTAACCAATTCGATATTTGTTTTTTAGTTTTCTATAAGAACATTAAAATAATTACTTACAAATTAAATAACGGAACAATTTTTACTAAAATTTTTTATTATTTTTTTATAACAATGTATAAATTTTTATTCTCGTGGATTAAAATATATAATTTTTATACAAACATATAATGTCTTTATTTAATATAAAAATTTTTATTTGTTTTATTAATTTAAAGAAACGCTATTTTTATGAAACTAAAAGGATATTAAAATTCATAAATAAACCCATAGCCATAATCAAATACTTTCTTACCAAATCTACAACTCAAATTAAGTGTTAACCCTTCAGATAATTTATCATTATAAATTATGCTTAAAATATGATTGTTATCTACACATCCGATAATTTCTCCTTTTTTACTGTGCAGTTTAACTCCTAATCCATAATTAACTGATTTTTCCCTATCAGTTGATATTTTAATACCTACGTCACAAATAGAAGACAATGTCTTGTAATAATCTATAGACAGTGTATTAAACTGCTGAAGTGATATAGTAGAAATAGAACCAATCCCTTCATATCTCCCTACAAAAGATAGTCCAATGTATTCATCAGCTTTAATAATCTCCCCACCAAGACTAATTACTCCTAGCTGCTGCATATAATTACCCACGTATATACATGAAGCACCTTTAATAGCTGGCTGTATCATTTTTATACACATATTATTGTATTTATTTTTTATATCTACCTCTATTTGTGTAAAAATATCTTTACTTCTACCAATTACTGTATGGAATTTAGTAAGTAGATTTTTAAACATGTGGGTACCTCTTATTCTAAATATTTTGTCTTGGTCTATGCTCGTTTGTAGCAAAAGATTGTTAAAGCAGAACGTGGCGTATGTCTGTTTTATGTCGAAATCTGCGCCCATAGAAGAGACATGAGAAATCTGAAAGTGTGGTGATACGGTTTTTGATATTTCGGTTTTAACACCGGTGTACGTATTTAAGCTAGTAATGCTTACATTTTCTAAATTAAAAGTATCAAAAGATGTATTAATGGCAGATTTGAATAAATAACTTTTTATTTTTTTGTAGAAAGATTTCATGGGTACAAAAAAAATGTTTTTTAGACAGATGAGATATTTACGGTTATTTTAAAAATTGTGTCAGTTTTATAAAATAATTTTAGTAGACACTAATTTATAATATTTTTTTTTAACTAGGATGTTGACACGTTAGATGTTATAAATTAAAAATATAAAGATGTTAGCTACAAATTAAATTTTTTATTGTAGGTTAAATCTAATAACAATATAATCGACATAAAATAAATAAATCCGTGTTTTATTTAAACAGTCTGTCCATTTATTACTACAATATACATTTAAAAACAACAAATTATAAAAGAATGTGATTAAGAACACAGATATTACTATTTACAAATTAACTTAAATTTCACATAACACTAAAATATTTATTAATTTTTTGCAACGAGTTGCTCAAGTTGTTTAAAATATTTCTTATCATCACTCACTCCGCGAAAATCTTCTATTAAAAAATTTTTAAATTCTACATCGTCATCCTGTTTTATTTTCTTTTCAATGTATTTTTGTATTTCACTGTAGCTAAATCCTATTTCGCACAGTGTTTTAGAAAGCGAATTTCCTTGTGTCATTTTATCAAGTAATATGTCTCCAATAATCTCACAGTTAAACACTGTACCATGAAATTTATTAACAGTTAAAAATTTAACTGCCGATTTAAAATCTCCCTCCATGCTTTTTTGAAGTAAACTTTTTATGACGGAATTGTGCGTGAAAAGTGACTGATCGATGATTTGTAAAGCAAGATCAGGATATTTATATGCATAATCATTCAATAAAATATCAGCTGACAATAATGAAATTTTTATGGGTTTATTATCTTCACCCTTTTCAATTAATTTTAATTGTATATCCTTTAAACTGCATCTTCTTTTAATATCATCTTGATAAGTAGTATGTAAAGAGACAGTTTTGGCTTTTTGTAATAAATCAATTCTTTTTTCTAAGGTTATAGGCTTAAAATCTATAAGCCATAATAAAGATTTTACTGCATTAATTCTGTCGTCTCTGTACGCACAATATTTCCAATATAATTCATAGACTAAAGGATTAGAATGTGTTTCTGTCTTTTCTAATAAATACTTATTTAAAAATTTAGATTCTAATTTAATTATATCAGTAATTTTTAGATTTGTATTCATTTCGCAACAAGCACATTCTGTCTTTATTTCTGTAACTAATAAATTTGCTATTAATGCATCAAAAAATGCATATAAAAAGTCTTCTCTTTTGTCTTCAAGACATTTAGAAATTGAACCATTGCATAAAACACACGTTCTTAAATATTTTACTGTCTCCTCGTGATCAAAGTTAAAATGTTTTCTAATTAATATTACCGATCCAGTATAAAATTTCAAGTCATTAAATTTAGATATAATTTCTAAATTAAAAGGCACATTCTTAAAATTTTTCAAAGCTTCCCAAAGTTTATCTTTAGATGGATATTTTTTTAGAAGATCAAATCCTTTATGAAAATAAATTTCATTAAGCGGTAAATAATCTGGTGCTTTATTACTTAAAAGATTAATTAAGGAGTCTAAACTGTTATTAGTTTTAAATATTTCCATTAAAGTATCAAGTGACTTCTTTTTAAATTCTGCTTCTTCATTAAAAATTAATTTAAAAAAAGTAATATTTTCAGTATTAATTCCATATTCTAATAATAAATTAATATAAAATACACTCTGTATAAAAATGTTCATAATAGATAATCCAAGTTCTAAATCTTTTTGTTTTAACTTATTACACAAGTTTTTAAATTTCTGTACAATTAAATCTAGATCCCCTTTTAAATTTTCATTTTCTATAATGTCTTTAACAGGAACTTCTAAGACAAATTTTAATTGTCGATAGATAAAAGAAAATAATCCTTTAATATGATTATCATCAATTTTTATAATTAAATATTCTAACTTTGTAGTATCTGATTTGACGGATAGAAGATCAAAATATAAAACAAGTGATTCTCTAATTCCTAAATTTTTTAGCAAATTGTAAACATCTTCTACGCGACTGACAGCTACATATCGTTTTAAATCTAATATTTCATAAAAAATAAGCTTAGTTTTTGTGAGCACAAAAAAGTCTTTTTCATAAAAAAAACAGTCATATATTTCGCTTTGTAAAGAAATTAATTCTTGATTTTCACATGGTTTACCTCTATCCATATTGATTTGTTGATATAAATTAAGCGAAACGAAATGTATAAGTGTTCCTTTATATTTATTTTTATGAAGAATAATGAATTTATCTCCTGCCGTTTTAATTTTTAAATCTTGATTTTGTTCAGTGTCGTCTAAAAAACAACTTTTCGTAAAAAGATGTTTTGTATCGTAAAAATCCCTCGTTCCGTCGCGCATTACGCAATAAAAAAATACTTCTCCGTATTTTTCTTCTATAATCTGTATATCAATATATTCTTTATATAAAAAGATATCTTTCACTTTAAATATCCCACCTTCTATATTGTAAACACTTACTTTTTTACTTAGTGTTATTAAATATTTTGTATTAGCACTCATTGCAATAATTTTATGTTTTTTACGCTTAAAAATTGATGGTACAATATTTGATATAATAGAAGTATCAGGTGAATACAAATACATTAGTTTAAATGACCAGGAATCTAAACTCTTGTAAATTACTTCGTATACATTTCCATTCTCACAGCCCAAATATATACTCCCATTTTTTAATACATAACATACTGGCGTAGAGGGTACAGAAATTACAAAGTTAGTGTTAATAAGTGATTTACTATCACGATCAACACCATAAAGAATAATCTGATTTTCTGTAAGAATCATAAGACAGAATATTATTTTACTATTAAAAATGCCTTGTTTGGGTTTAAATACATCAATAAAAAGAACTTTACTTGAAAATGGGGGTAGTTCCTCACATTCATTTAATTCATATTTAAAAAATGAGAGCCTATAATTGTATGCATACCATATTAAAGATAAATCAGGAATAATACCACATTTATCATATTTTTCCGGTGGTAATCCATATTCTTTTATTTTTGTTATTGTTTTATAACTTGAAAATGTCTGTGCACATGTACTGTATATTTCTCTTAATGAGTAACCTTCATTGTCTTCATATGCTTTTGTTTCATTAAAAATTTGCTTTTTATTCATGAAGGGTATAAAAATACAAAAAAATATAAGCTTTAAATCAATGGGAAAAAAATTGAATTATTTAAAAAATAAAGAATAAATTTAATAAAAGAAATAAATATATTTGTTAACAAAAATAAGCATAAACAGATGATATATCCTACGAATAAAGATTTATTAACAAAAATTATTATTCAATACATTTAAATTTTATACTTAAAAATGTTCATTTAAATGTAAAATTCTAATTTTTATTACAAAACACGAAATTTATTATTTAAAGATGAAAAATAAATCTTTTGAAAATTTTAAAAAGACTGTAATGAAGTATAGAAAAATTATGTGTTGCTTTATAAAAATCTGAAATTTCTCTAGTAAAAAAATAATAAACAAATTCTACGTCTTTTATAAATTAATTTAATAAAAAAATATTAATTTTTATTCTGTAAAAGCTTCTGTTTACCGATCAAAAAAGTTTTCCAATTAGCAATGAGTACATCCAAATTGTATTCCTCCACTTTAGATGTACTTAAATCATCAATATATTTATTCAAATCATATTCTTTAATCATTTCTTTCTCTGTACTATTTAATTTAATAAAAGGTCTCCAGATAAATTTATCAAATACATTGTAAACTTTTTTAAACAATAATTTACCGTTATTATTAAAAAGTTGTAAAACACCCGATTCATTGGAAATGGCGGCTAAATACAGTCCAGATGTAGACCATTGTAATTTAGTACATTTTCTGTGTAAATATACACATCTTAATTCTCCCTTATCGTAAAATTCTAAATTTTCAGTAAAATCATCAAAAATGCATGAGACATTACCAAACAAAGATAATAAAATATCTCCATTCTTTTCAATCTCTTTAAATTTACTAAACACTTTGTCTAATCTTCTATAAAATACTAAATTATTGCTACTAAAAACAACTATCATTTTATCTGACACTACATAACTTTTAGGTTTGTTATCAAAAGTAATAGCAAATATTTTATCATCACAATAAATTTCTAGAGAATACAAACGTGAATCCTTAATTTTTTTAGTAATAAAAGCATATCCTAAGGAATTTACGAATCCAAAATAAATATTTTCAATATTCGCTTGTGTTTTGACAGTTTTATGTCCATTTGTTTGGTAAATTATTTTTTGAGATTTACCCTTAAAAAAGTTAAATGACTGATTGTCATTACATTTAACTACATTTAAATCCTTTGGAAAATCTAAAAATTGATTAGATCTTAGACAGTAGGCTTTTTTAGAATTAAAAAAATATACAAGATATTCTTCTGCACCAAAAGCTATTTCTTCTAATTCTCTAGAAATTAATATAATCCCTTTATAAATATCAATAATATAAACATAGTGTTGTGTATACACTGCCATGAATGTATCACTATTACTAAACAATACATCAGAAATATCTGAATCAAAATAAAAATCATTAAAAGGTTGTGTAAAATCTTGAACATAACACTTCAATGCATTTTTAAATCTGTTAATCATAAAAATACCAGTACTTGATATTTTAATATTACCATTAATTTTATTTCTGTAATCGGTTAACACATCTTCATTTTTTATTTTAAGAAGTGACAAGGCACTGTCATTCAAAATAATAAACTGCTCTTCTTTGTAAAAATTATTTTCAATCAAATTAAAATAATCGAGATTTGGTAAATTTTCGTATTCTAAAAGTGGCTTGTTTAACAAGTTTCGTATTTCAGTGGTAAAAAATGCCTTGCAGCTATGAGATTTATTTATATCATCAATGGCAAATGAAGCTTTTTCTTTAGTATTAAATGATGCAATACATTTATTTTCTCTCAGTACAAAATCTTCTGGCTTGTATTTTGTGACATCTATTTCTTCTCCAAAAATAAAAATCTCATAGCCCATGTTTATGCAGAGAATTTTTTTTAAAAATAAATTTTTTAGAATTGCTTGGTTTTTATGACTAAAATATATTGCAAATTTTTATAAAAATAATGTTCATATTTAAAATAAAAGGATATAATAGACTTTTCTATTTTTGATAAAATTTACAGTATAATAACTATTTATTTTATTGCATAAAGCTAGATAATTTTATTCAAATAACTACTATGTAAATATTTGTTCTTTAAAATTTAATACTTTTCATTTTTAGTTTAATATACCTCTAATCTTTCTAGAAATATTATTACTTTAAATATACTTTATATTTAAAAATAGATATATCTTTAGATTATCCTTTAAATGTCAAACAAGCAAATGCTTTATAAAATATTTATTGTGCTTTATTTAAAATTTTATTGTAAAAACTTCGATAAAAATAACACAAATGTAAAAATAATGTTATTCAATATTTCTTATAGTTCAAAAATATTAATTAATCCATCTTTACCTCCAGTAGCCATTACATCACCTGTCTGATTAATTTTTATACAATTAATTCTTTGACTGTGAGCACACAAATAATCTTTTTGTAAAATAAATTGCTCATTTTCATAAACAATTTGATATAAATTTCCTTTTTCTGTACCGACAACTAGTAGATAATTAACTGGTGAAAAGTCCAAAGCTGTAACTTCACTATCAAATTCATGAACTGATATGCATTTATTGTCTTTATGCAAATCATAAACAAATATTTTTCTATCACGACTACATGTTGCATAAAATCTAGAATCAAATGAAAAAGCACAATCCCAAATAATCCTTTTATGATCAAAGTTCCTGTATTTTAGATTTAATCCTTCTCTAATTTCATAAATACAGGATGTTTTGTCTTTACTAACTGAACACAAATACTTCTCATCTGGTGAGATTTTTATTTTTATGATTCCATAAGAGTGTACTTCTAAATATGCAATATTTTCATAATTTTTATTCCAGAGAAATATTCCACCAAATTTCTTACTTAAAGATTTATTACAAGATGCAATAAAATTTTCAGAAACTGCAATATCTGAAATCTCAAAATAATGCCCATAAATCTTCTTTACCTCCATAAAACTGGTAGTAGATAAAAGATATTCATTAACATTTTCAAATTCGTAATCCTCTAAGGCATCATTAGTTAGAGATAGTTCGGCTGGTACAGCAGCAATTTTTAAATCATTGAGGTTTTTAAAAAAATCGAAAGTTGAATCCTCAACATGATTTTTTTTCATCCATTCGCAGGACATATAAAATATGTAAGTTGGATCTAGAACACGTATTATGGTTTCATAAGCTCCTATAATAACAGAAAGACTTTTTTTATTAATAAATCTTCCTGCTGATATTTCATATCCGTGAGTTATAGGTCTTCCAACTTCTCTATTTTTATAAAAAATTCTGGCTGTTTTGTCTAAAGAAGTGGTTAAAAGATATTTATCATTCCAATCCAAACTGGAAATTTCATTTGTATGACCAGATAAGAAATCACTGATACATTCATTAAATTTATAAAATGATCCTGTAGAAGATTGTCCAATTATATAATCTTTAAATTTAAAAGCATTTATAAAAGGCTTTACACCACCTAATATAGATTCACATTCCCATATGTTACTTTCCGTAAGTTTCCAAACCATTATTGTTTTATCAAATGAAGCACTGATGATGTAATTATCAATTGTCCAATTTACTTGATTTACCCAATCACTATGTCCAACTAGTGTTTGTAGAAACAATAAATTATTAGAAAAAAGTTCCCACACTTTAATAGTAGCATCTTTAGAACTAGTCGCAATAAAACACTTGTTATCAATAATTTTGTAGTTAATATCTTGAATACGATCTTCGTGTGCTTTGTGTTTATTAATTAATTTCATATTTTTATCGTAAATAATCACATCTCCTTCTGCTGTTCCAATTAAAATAAAATCTTGAACAAAAAGTGATGCAGTAATTATTAAATTTAAATCAAAAAGAATTACTTCGTTATTATTTGCATAGTTGTACAATATAATTTTTTTTAAAAAAATACATAAAATAATATTTTCGTCTATAAACATAGCTTCCTGCAAAGATTCTGTAAATTTAATTTTATCAATAAGCCAATGTTGATTTTTCATAGTTGTGTTTTTTTCTATAATATAAAGATTTCCTAAAATATCACCACTAAGAAGAAAATTTTCCGTGTGAACTTTTAAAAAATTTAAATTGTTATCTAAAAAAATAACATCTTTTATTTCTATGTCATCAGATATTAGTATGTTAGAACTAGAACAATAGTAAACCTTATCATTGAAAATACAAGAAGATTTATTTTTATTATTGCATCCTCCAAAAATATTTTTCCTAATCATTTAAGGGGAATTTTAAATTTTAAATTTAAGTTGTAGAAGATGTGTATTACTTTATAATACACAATCTTGAAAAACTTTTTGTACAATTAATTACAATTAATATTTTATGTAAAAAAGCTTCTTTTTTTTTATTTTTTTTCTTTTCATTTTTTCTACTTTTTTAGCATAAATTAAAGACCGAATTTATTAAAATCACATCATCAATTCTGTTTCTTATCTTTTCATTTTCTCTACATTTTTATAACATAAGTTACTAATTTTATTTTATTAAATCACGTTATTTCATTTTTTTATTTAATTTTCACTTTATACCTTTTTATTAAAATATTAACTTACGCTATCCCGTTTAAAACTGGATTATTAAAACAAATTCAATCGGTAATTAATAAAATCACACATCATTTATTATTTTCATTGTCTTTGTAATTTATGCACTTTATGCTAAATAAAAGTTTAAATTCTACCCCATAAAAATGACAACTGCTAGCAAACTTAAAATTACTAAATTAAGTAAAAATGCTAGAATACCAATAAGACACAGTGAAGGTGCAGCAGGATATGATATTAGTGCACTTGAAGAAGGCATTATAAATCCTAAAGAAGTAGTTGAAATAAAAACAGGACTGGTGTTTCATATTCCAAAAGGACATATGGGAGTTATATTTGGAAGATCGGGCTTAGCATTAATGAATGGACTGGAACCACTTAACAGTAAAGTGTTACCTGATTCTAATAATGAATTAATAGTTAAGATTTTGAATAATTCAGAAGATGTATTTAAATATGAAGCGGGGATGAGAATTGCACAGCTAGTCATTATTGAAACATGCAATTATGAATTGGAAGAAGTTGATAAACTAGAAGATTCTACTAGAGGTACATCTGGATTTGGGTCTACAGGATTACATTAATTAAATATTTAAATTATTGTATATTTATACTTTTTTATTCTGCTACTAACATTAAATAGAATAAATTAGCAGGTTTAAATTAATAGAAGATTTTGTAAAATTTCAAAATTTTAATTTAACTAAATTTTTTAAATATTTCTAAAATATAATTAGAACAGCTGGTTTTTAAGTCAGCAGGATGTACTAATTTATTTTTAAAATCTGACATAAGTTCCTCGATATTATTGTATGTAATTATATTTCCATCTACTGTTGTAATATTAAGATGTTTATTTTCTAGTTTAACAAAATTAAAAATAATTGACTCAAAAATTTTTAAAACACTAGTATCAGTATTTCCCTCCTCACAAAAAAATTTATTAATTTTTTTATACACAACCCTTTCTTTATCAAATAACCATATACTTAAAGTCTTATCTAAATCTGGTATCTTATTGTTTTTAAAATTACAAATTAAACCATTATTAATATATTTAATACTTTTAATATCTAAATTAATAAATTGTTTACTTTTTTCAACTAAACTGACCACTTTATCATTACAATGAACAATAATATCAACATCTAAATATAAAAAATCAAGTGTCTTAAGAACGGGTTGTAAAAGATCGCCCATTTTTACATCGTTACTAGTTTCAAGACAAAGCGCCGCTTCATCTTCTGTTGTGACAGATATTAATTTGTAAAAATCGTTAACATAATTCTCGCTATTTCGAAGATCAGAAGACAAAAAAAAACTAACATTTTTTATATTGTAAGATTTAAAAATCTTAATTATTATTTTCTTAATCGCTTCTCTATTTTTGTTTAATAAATTTTCATTATGTTTTAAACTATAATCCAAATCATCTATAAGAATTCTCACAGCATAGCCAACATCTTTAACTTCCATTATTATTTTTAAAAGACTTGAGACATGTCCTAAATGTAGATTATCACCTACAACAACTCTCCAGCCTATACTTTTATTATTTTCTGTTATTTTTAAGTTAGAAAGTTTTTCATTCATGTTGGGTATCCATTTTAAAAAAATTTATTCCCTCAATGAACAACAACAAAAATAAAACACACACCGATGTAAGTTCCCTTTTACGAAATAAAATGATAACAACAAGTTTAAACAATACTTTGCAACAAAATAGTCATATACCACAATTTACTAAACTTGGTGGTATCGACTATTTAAAGAAAAGTGTAGAGAAATACATATATAATCCAATTATGAAAAGGGCGGAATATACTTATATTGGACAGACACCACCCATGACTCTACTTATTTATGGAGCTAGTGGTGTAGGAAAATCTTTTTTGGTACATTCAATTAGTCAAGAATACCAGATACCAATTATTTTAGGAAATCTAAGTAATGAAAAAGAAGTTAGAGAAACATTTAGAAAAGGAGATATTAATGATAAATCAATAATATTATTTGACAATCTTGATTGTCTTGATGAAGAAGATAGCTCTAAAACAACGAATCAATTATCAGAATGTTTAAATAATTATAGAGGCAAATCTTTGGTCATTGGAATAATTGAAAATTTGGCTAAATTGCCGAAATCGTTAAAACGTTTTGATAACGAATTGCTTATAAAAATACCATCTATTAAAGAAAGAAAAGAAATATGTTTGTTTTTTGCTGAAAATATTACACACAGAATTGATAATTGGGAAGTTATTGCACAAATGACCCCGGGATATACACCTAGAGATTTAAAAAAGCTTTTTAAGTTGGCAGCAAGTGTTGCTGTGTCTGATAATAAGAAATTTATTGAATTATCTGATTTTGAGGCCAGTCTTAAAGAAATAAAAAAACAAGATGGAAACATAACATTTGATAGTATTGGGTCTTTGGATGATGTCAAAGAAGAACTCAAGATGAGCATTATTTATCCATCGAAATATCCTGAAAAGTTTAAAAAAATGGGAATTAATAAACCATCGGGAGTTTTGCTTTATGGCCCACCTGGATGCGGAAAAACATTGTTAGCTAAAGCCGTGTCAAATATGAGTCATTGTAATTTTATCAGTGTCAGGGGACCAGAGTTAATTAGTAAATTTGTCGGTGATTCTGAGAAAGAGATAAGAGATTTATTTGGAAAAGCAAAACATCTACAGCCCTGTGTAATATTTTTCGATGAGATTGATTCTTTGTGTCAAAAACGAAACAATAATGATTTTTGTAATAGAATTGTTAATCAAATATTGACATTATTAGACGGCCTTGAGGATCGTGGAGACGTATATCTAATAGGTGCCACAAATAGATTAGAAATATTAGACCAGGCTTTACTTAGACCGGGTAGATTTGATAAAATTATTGAGGTACCACTTCCTTCACAGTCTGGATGTATTGAAATTTTCAAAAAGTGTATTCGAAATATTCCTATAGAAGATTTTGATGTCTCCGAATTACCGTTATTTGGACTTAGTGGTGCAGAAATATCTGGTGTTGCAAAAGAAGCTGGATTGATATGCTTAAAAACAAATTTTGATAGTAATGACATGGTAATTTCTAAAGAACATGTTATTGAGGCTATAAATAAGTACAAACTAAGTAGAAATAAATAATTTATTTTTAAATTTTATCTTTGTAACAAACCCCAATGAGCAAGCTCCCAGAGATGGTCGCTCCTGCCGATATTTTTTATGATAAAGAAAACACACTTAAATATGAAACAAATACTAGAATACAAGAAATACAAAAAGAAATTACTCGTAAATGTTTCGATTTACTAGAACTTTCTAAGCCAGGACTTATACTTGATATAGGATGCGGAACCGGAATAAGTGGAAGCGTATTGAGTGAAAATAACTGTGAATGGATAGGTTTAGATATTTCGTATGAGATGCTTAAAATATGTCGAGATAAAGAAGAATCTATAGATCAAATCAAGTGTGATGCTGGTGAAGGACTGCACTTTAAACCGGGCATATTTGATGGTGTTATAAGTGTTAGTGCCATACAATGGCTTTTTCAAAGTTATAGATCGAACCATGTTCCGAAAAAACGAATAAGAAAATTTTTTACTGATCTTTATTCTGTGTGTAAACCTAATACAAAATGCGTGTTACAATTTTATTTAAAGAGTAAAAAAGATTTAGAACTTTTGAAAAATGAAGCTAACCGTGCTGGGTTTTTTGGAGGAATTCATATTGAAAGACCCAATACTAAAAATGTTAAACAATATTTGGTTTTACAAAATTATGTATTAAGTAGTGAAAATAAAGTTAAAAAGAGGAATGTTAAAAGAAATAAAAAAAATAAAAGATAATTTATTCAACTTCTTTATTTTTCTATAGATAAAAGTTATTGTTTTATTTAATATACTGTATAGATATTAAAAATTTGTGTTTTTTTATAAATACTAAAGTTTAAAAGCATAAATATCTTTCATAAATAATTAATTACAAATTTTTTGTTTTATAAATAATTTTTTATTTATTTTTCTAGACAATTAATTTGTCTTTTAAATTTTATGAATAATTTTTTACATATTGTGAAGAGAAAAATAATACTCACTAGAAAAACAAAAAATCTATACCGTCAGTTATATAAAATTTTACTAAAGACTTGTTATTTATATGTTTTCCAAAATTAAGCTTCATTTCTAAATTCTATTATAAATAACACATCAAAAAACTCAACATAACTTAAATAGAAATGTGATCAAAAGTTTTTATTTTTATTATCCAATGGCTATTTTTACGTGTCTATGTTGCACTTTAAAAACAACAAAGATTTTTTAATTATTAATTCTATTGTAAGATTTACTCTAACACTAACCTTCATTGCCCTTTATTCCTAAAATTTTTCAACAACAGCCTTAAATTCTTTAAATAGTTTATTTCTAAAAAATTAAAAAAACTTTAAAAATTAATTTATACACACTCATTTTGCTTTAAAAAATTCTCGTTTTTGTGTTTTGTTCCAAAAAAATGACAAATGCCGTAAAAGGAAGATGTTATGGTATTTATGAAGTAAAGGCGGTTGGAATTAAATTACTTAATTTTCTAATAATAAAATACTTACAAGTAACATAAACAATACTTTGGCATCAAGCTATACATTTTTATAATTAAATAATTATTTGTATAGTTAAATATAAAATTCTGTTTTAAGAAGTTTAACTATATATGGTAGTGTGATTTACATCTTGTTATTCAAAGCAGACAAAATTATTCCAATTTATACATTAATATTTAAAACTGTAAGTAATTTATAAATTTTTTTTAAGCTTTAATATTGGCATTAAAACATAACTTAATATTTTTCATTTGCTAATCATTACATTTGAAAATAAAAAACAAGATATTTGTAATAATAAATACAGACGACCAAATTTATCGAATATGCAAAATGTTTTATTAAATTGTTATATTTTACATATCTTAATAATTGTTATTTAATTAAACGTTAAAAGTAATTTATCTTTTTATGTAATTCATTTTTGTTTCTAGAACACATCTTTTTATGAAAAAAATTTTTAAATAATTTTATCCCTAAAATGATTGTAAAAGAACTTTTAAAAGATCACGCACGTTTTGACAGACGTTCACTCCTCGAACAAAGAACATATAATATTGAAAAACTAGAAAATTTCTATCTTTATACCGGTGATAATACACAAATTATAGCCATGTATTATATATCACAATCTAAACCATACATAGATAAACCCAATGAAGGAATTATCACCTTTAATTGTATTTCTACTTTTAGAAGAACTGATAGACTAAACAGCTTCCTTAAAAAAATTTATATAAATTCAAAATGTATAGACTTAGAAGCCTTGTGTATTAAATATGGTGTTGAAGTAAAAAATATAGTAATAGAATTAAGAATATTGACTAATGACAGTGAATGTTATGAATCATCTGTAAATATTGTAAATTACTTACTTAAAGATTTAGATATTTCTGTAAATTTTGTACCATCTTGTTTTTATTTTGTTGCAATTGATAACTTGATTCTTAGAGATCCAATAGATATAGAAGATAATGATAAAGATTGGTATTATTTGATTGTTAAGAAGTCGAGGAATGAATATTTATTTATTGAAAAGGCAGGTAAAGAAAATACGTTAGATGATATTTATCAAATATTAGAAATATCCTCTGATACCAAGGAATAATTTTAAAGTTATATTAAATACAAAATAGTGCTTTTAATTAATAATATATTGCTTTTAAGAATATCCTTACTTTTATTTCTTTGGATACCTAAAATACTTTTTGACCTTGTCTATACAATTTAAAAATAAGCTTTGTAGATTTTAACTATATTCAATAAAATATTCTCTTCGAAATAAATTTGATTTTTACTACACTAACTTGCAACACATATCTCGTAAAAAACAATATATAAATTAAAAAAAATATTTGAAACAAATTTTATCAAAAATCTTTGACATCATAAATTTAATTTTTAAAATAATTGTAAATATTCTAATGTTAAGCTAAATAGTAATGATATAGATGGCATTTCTATGTCACATTATTAAAATAACAAAAATAAATGCTTTTAAATAATTTTGAAAAAAGAACTTAAGATAATTATTCTTTATTAAAATTGTATTTGTTGGTATCGGAGGAAAGCATCCTTTTTTCTCAGAAATTGCTTAATTACTTTTAAAGGAGTTTATATTTGATGCGTCTTTTAATATATCAACATACGCTTCCTAAAACGTTCAATAGATGATGATTGGTTACTTAAAAGAATCAATTAAAAAAAGCTAATACTTTTACTAGAACTGAACCTTACAGTATTTAATTAGCAAAGCATAACTAAAACATTAAATAAAATTTAATATTTTAGTTTTCAAGGCATTTATATTCTAGTCAAACAGACTTCTAAAGTGCATAGCAGGTTGTTTAGGAAGATACAAATTTTTTTTTTCATACAATATTGTCAAAACGTTTTTGATGTATTTATTAATATATGTATATGTAACAAGAAAGCATTTAATGGTGCAAGCATAAAACGTAAACTCCTTAATAAAAAAGTTTTTAAAGAAAAATTCATACTATAGAACTTGCAGACATCAAAATGTTTTTTATTTGTTAAAAATTTTTGACTTACGTTAACAAAAATACTTACTTATGTATAACTTAAAGTAAGCAATTATTATCTTTGAATTAGCATTCAAAGATAGTTTAATTATTGATGGGCTTTTAATTAAGTTTTTTTTCTGAAACAGGTTAATCAATTTACAATAATAAATAGATTGCTGTTATAATCTTTAGTCTTTGTTATAATAATAATAATCAGGAAAGTGAATAGCTTCTAACAATTTGTTCTAATATGCGTTTAACTAAATTTAAAATTTGTATGCAATGGCGTTTACACGACAAATGATACTTATTTACCCCATGTATTAGCTGTTTTTAAGAATAATATATACAACATTTTACATCTTTAATTGTCACAATATTATAAATATAAAACATGAGCATTGTTAGTGTAGTGTTTATGTCTCGTCCCGATGCTCGAGGGGTATGGGTTCAAATTCCAGCAATGCTAATTCGTTAAGTAATAACCTAGCGTTGACGCAACAATTGTCACAAAATATTTGTCGGTAAAATCGTAAGCTTTTCTGCAGGCGTCGACTAAGGGTTGTAAATGTCCTTAAAGATGTAGAATAGGCATAACATCTTTGGGTTGGCATGACAATTGCCGTAGATGTGGAAGCATTTGCAGGTCGTATTCGGAGACCTTTAGTAAGAGATTACATATGAAGAATCGCCTGGGAAGGTCGTAGCAAGCTAGTGAAGCTCTAGCATTTCGCCTGGGATGGCGCAAGTTCATCACGGTCATTAGACACATACCACTATATCCGAACACAAGATCCATTGAAACTCCGGTCTGATAGCGTACTACCAGTTGTCGGATCTCTGTAAAGTTCTTACGGGGATTCATATATCTTCCTACTAAACGAGGCCCTTGTAGCATGATAGCGCTGATAATGCGTTGTTTTGAGATTAAGGAAAGAAGAATTTCTAAGAGAAGGATTAAGTATAATAAAAAAATATAGCAAAAAGGTACAAAAGATTTAGATGAAAGTTAAAAAATAAAAGACTATGATGTCTAATCAATCTGAATAATTTGTGGGTGCTTAAATAAATGTGATGAACTGAAGTTTCTTCAATAAGAATCACTTAATAAAAAAATAAATTATTATTATATTGGTAGAAAAAAAATATTTTTATTTAAAATTTAGTATGTCCACCTTAACTCTAAACAATTCGTTGCATCTGCTGTTCATGCTCTTTACCAACTTTTTAAAAACTTTAACATCTATTTAATTCCACTTCTCTTCAACACATTTCTTTAATTCTTTTAAATTTTTTGGTTTTCTTTTTCTTAACTCATCTTAAGAATATACCATAGATTTTCTAGAGGATTCATATCTGATGATTGTGCAGGCTAATTTAAAGTTAAAATATTTTTATCTGACAAGTGATCTCTAGTGCAATTACTTGTATGTTTGGGGTCATTATCTTGCTGAAAAATATAATTTTTTAATTATAATTTTTTTACGGAAGGCACAAGATGTGTATCTAAAACTCTATAATATACTTCGCTGTTCAGTATATCGTCAATTATACATATATTTCGATACCTGTACTCGAAAAACATGCCCAAATCATGATATTACCACCACCATGTTTTACTGTGGGTTTTAAATTTTTTTTATTATATCTTTGACAACTTTTTTTCGCACATAAACTCTTCCATCAGTGCCAAATAGATTTATCTTTGTTTCATCACTAAAAATAACCTGATTTCATCTCTTATCAGAGTAGCACGCATGTTTACTTACTTGCCCATTGTTTTCTTACCACGATATGCTTTTTAGACAGAAATAGTTTTTTACATGCAATCCTATTTTACACAAATTATTTCGTATACATCTAAGAGATATATTTTTTTTGAGTTCTACAGCAAACTTGATACTGCCAATTTGTAAATCCGCATTTATTTTTTTTTCAAATAAGATATATCATTACTATTAATTAATGAAGCCTACTAGAACCAGATTTTCTTTCTAATTGTTCTGTTTCATTAGTTTTTTTCTTTATTTTGAAAACTGTCGATTGGCTTATCAAGAACTTTTTTGCAATTTTTTTTTGTTTCCAGCCAATTTCTAATAAAGCCTTAATCTCGAACTTTTCACTCAAAATTAATTTTTGTGTCATAAGGGATAAAAATAAAGTTTTTTTTAGTTTTACATAAAATTTTCCCGCCAAAAAAAATATTCCATTTTTTTGCCACTTAAAATAAAAAATTTTATGTTAATACCAAAAAAGTTTTAAAAACATTGTAAATTTCTTTCAGTGTATTTCACATTTCCTATCAAAGTAAAAAAATCAAATGATGTAGCTATAAAGTGTATGATTACTATACTATTCAAATATTCATTTTTTTTTGCCACTATTGTAAAAAGTGGTTAATTTTAGATTTATAAAATTGTAGAAAATACATTTGTTTGATTTTGTTACAATTAATCATTATGTTATTTTTATCTTTAGGCCTAAGCTACTGCAAAACGTAAAAAAACAATTAGTCCCAGAGTTTGATGGAATGTCTTATATAACTCAAATTTTAAAATGCAAACACATACTTTAAATAATACCTATTATTTAATGTTTTTTGATTCAGAAAAGTGATTTTTAATCACTTAAATGAACCTCATGGACATGATGGTTTTAAAAATTTTTTAAAAAAAATTATTTTATATAAAAGAAAAATTATTTGTTGATTTTATCGTCTCTTTCTTTAACAACATCAATCATACGCTTTTGTATTCCACTGACATATTTTAACAAGTTTTCGTGTGTAATACTTGACCAGGCTACTAGTATTGAGAATGCATATCTTGAATGCAAATATTTTCTATCCATTTTTATAAACCTTTCTCAACATATCTGCCCACAAATTTTAAGCGGAATTTATATCTGTGACACAATGATAGCTAGTTTATGCAATTAATATTATCATTTTTAAACCATATCTTAGTTGCACGAGCTTAGTCAAGGTGTATTATGTTGTTAAAAAATATAATTTAAATCGCAACCTACATCATTAAACTCACTATTTTTACTTTCAAAAAATGCTAATAGAGAAATTTCAAGCATTTTACAATAAGTAATGTTGTTCATTTCATTGCTAACAACTTGTAAAATCAATTGTTCACTAGAACAAAAACTGGCCCAAACCACAATGCTCCCTCCGCCTCGTATACGTTTACTATACGAAATTTCATCTTTATTTACATGATGCCAATAGTACTTAAAACCATCTAGATCATCTAAATTAATTTTTTTTCCATCAGAAAATATGACTTTAAGCCCAGTGACAAGTTCATAAAGTTTCGTTTTAAGCGAAATCAAAGCATTTAATTTATGCATTTTCTTTAAATTCTAACACTGTCTCATTTTTTTTATATACGGGACTATTTTCTTCTTTAATTACTCTTAAAACAGTAGATTATGATACTTATAAATCCAGATCAGTTTTAATTTTTGTATTTGGTGGTTTTATTAGGATCCATACGTTGAATTTTTATTACAGTTTTAAAAATGTAAGTTTTTCTCTTTTTTTAGTAGTTTAAATTTTATTCTTTGAAATCGGTAATTATATTGTTTTTTTTCTTCTACTTTACAATTAAACAATTTAGTCAATATTTTTGCTTGATGAATTTTAAGCAACAATTTGTTCTTTTACATATAAAATTAAACAATTTACTTTGATTTTTGGGGAATAATTAATTTTTTTAAAAGCTCACAAACCATATCATAAATGAGGTACATTAAAGTAATTTAAATTCATTTTCCAAAATCAAAAACTTAAAATAGCGGAAATGATTTTTTTAATTAATGTTTTTACTTTTTTAAATTAAGTACATATAAACCCATGTTTAATAATAAGACTAATTATTTTTTAAACGTCTTGTAAAAGCTTAGATATAAAAGATCAAATTATATAATGCTTCGTTGTAACGAAATAAAACAAATTTATTATTAACATTTTATTAAACAAGTTTCTAGAGGGGGCTTAAAACTTTGACACACCTTTAAGATAAAAAAATCTAAAAACTAAAATTGTCTTATATAAAATAGTATTTAATCAAAATACTTTTTTATTAATTTATCTTATAAAGTGGGACATAAATATCAATTTTAGATTTATGTCTTAATTAATTTTGCACAGAAATTTTTTTTTAGATATCTTAAGATTTGAACAAGCTCTGTATGTTTAATTCTGAACAATAGATTAATGTAAATTAATAGATAATTTGGGAAATATGATTAAATTTAATGTTCAGTTACACAAATTTTTATGTATTATGTTATTTAGAAGGAAAGTGTTATTGAATATAAATTTATTTACAATATAATTTTACTTTTATTCATGTATACGGAACAATTACCTACTTTTATTTTCAACACATTTTTCAAAAGTAATTAACAAAGCTGTTGAGAATTGTGATTCAAAGATGAAACATATTCAGTTATGTTTCAAAAGTGCTAATATGTCATCATCATATTTACCAAGATAAAATGATAGTTAGAATATTTTTAATGTATAAAATCATGTTCACTTTTTATCTGACACAAGATTAATAAGAAATATATTAGAAAAAAATTATTAAATAAACATGTAAATAAAATGATATTTAACAAAAGCTTAAAATAATAGAAGAATAGTATTAAAAGGTAGAAAAAAAATTTAATATGAATTCACAATCCGCCTGGGAAGGGTTTAACAAGCCAGCGAAACTTAAGCTTGTTTCACGTAGGATGTTGAACCACCATCACATTCATTAGACCAACATCGGACACTTTGACCACAAGTCCAATAAACTCACGACCTGGTAGAGCATATACCATTTGTTGTCGGTCCAGTATGTACCTTTACGGGTGTAAATCATATCTTCCTATGAGCAAGGTTCTTGTGGTATGTAGCGTCGATAATGCGCAGATATTAAGAAAAGGGAGTTTTCTAAGAGAAGGATAAAGTAGTGTATGGACAAGACAAATAAATTAAATAAGCTAGAAAGGATTAAGCTGAGAATTAAAAGAAACATTTATGCTGTGATGTAAAGGTAATCTGAAAACTTTTTAACTAAAGGAAAACACTATAAGAATCTTATGAATTGCCATTTCTCCAAAAGGAATACTTAACAAAATAATAAATTTTTATTATATAAATGAACTCACAAATGATCTAATCAATAAATTAGCAAAAAAAATTGCCTTAAATTTTTACTTAAGAAATTTTTTTTTCTTATTTAATGCTAATAAGAATTTATTTATTTGTTGATTAATTATTTTTTGAAGTTAAATAAGTTTGTCAGATTCTAAATAGCATTTTCTCTTAGTTACAAAGTTTACAAATTACCTATTACAGCATAGCATTTTTTCTTATTTAAACGTCCTAGATGGAAGCTAAAAAAGATTATTTTTTGAACAAAGGGGTGTGTAAAACTTTTTTCAACATATTAAGTAAATTAAAACTCCACTTTTAACTTAATTAAAAGATTTATTAATACCTTTTTTTAATAATTTTTCTCAATAAAAACTAATAATTCATCAAAAGATTTATAATAACTATCTAACGATAAATTCTTAGATTTATATGGTTCCATATTTCTTGCATTTTTTCTAAAATTTTTAATCTTTTTTAAATCAACATTGTTAGGTTCTAAAAGATACAAATAAATAATTTTACAAAGATGTACATGAAAACCCATAAATATATTTAAATCTAATGTAAAAGGCAGGAAATGATCATCAAATTTATAAAAAGATCTGTAATGAAGAGAAATGAATATATTCAAAAAGTATATCTTAAACATCGCTTCATCATCATCAACAATCATACAAATTTCATCTAAACTGTTTTTTTATCCTTTATAACTATCAAAATTGTCATTGATTCCTTGTAAACTAAATTTTTTAAACAATTCTGGTTTAATAACAAAATTAGTACTTTTTAAAAAATTTAAATTTTTTTATCCAACCTCCAAACGAGTTCATTTAAAATATTCTGTTTAATCGACATTAAATATAGAATCAAAGATTTAAAATTTTGACAACTGAGTATTCTAACTTTTCTGAAAGTACATCATATTTCGATGCATTTGAATATATCAAAGACTTTAGAATAGGACAATTCATTACTATTTAATATTTTTCCTTCTTTAAAGCTGATTCAGTTTGATCTTTAAGATTACAATCGTTTTTTCTGAGAAAAATCTTTTAAACACTTAGAACTTAAAGAAGCTTCTTGGTTATTACAGCATTTCATCTTTAAATTCGGCTTCAACTCCTTTTGATAACCGGCATCTTACTCTCAGAAGTAGCACAACAATTGCACATCAACGAACCTGTTAATGTATTACTTTTCAATTTCGAACTTAAGTCATCAAGATAAGAAATTATTTGGCCACAATTTTCACATTTATTGTTCTTTGATTTAGTATTAACAATAAGATTAACTTCAGTTAGGCATTTTGTAAAAGAAGAAGCACTTTTCGTTATTATCGAAAATTTTGGTGTAGTAAATTTTATAGAGGCATTGTTTAAAGATTGGACTCTTTTTAAATTATTGTTTGATGTACTAAAATATTTTAAGATAATTTGACGTAACCTATCTCCTGGAATTAATTTGGCATTTTGTAAGATAGAGTGATCCATAGAATGTGCGCAAAAACAAAAATTAGCTATGTGGCAAATTGTAAACATCTTTTAGTTATTATTTTTTTTAATTTAAAAATTACAGCAAATTTTTAATATTTTTTGCTAAATAAAAGAAAAATGTGATTTATTAATTTTTTAATAAATTTAAATTTAAATGAAAGAAATGAAATGCTCTAGAATGTACAATGAAAAATTTTTTTGAATGTTTAGCTATTATTTTAATCATCTACATTATTTTTTTTAAAATTTCTTGTGATATAGTATTTTTGTGAAATTTAAAAAACTTAATCAGTTTAATTTTTATTAAATAAGTTTGAAATCTACTTTTTAAATTAAGTAAAGCTTTTAATAAACTGTGAAATAACAAATGATATAAGGTTTATTTTGACAAATTATTGTCGTGTATTAAAATCAAAAAAGGAACTTTTATAACCTAAATTTCATTGTTGTTATAATTTAAAAATTAAATATCCTAAAAAAATCTATAAGTTATATTTTGTTATATCAAAAGCACATAATTTGTAATCTGTGTCAAGTAAGGCTATTAACTTTAAATAATTTTAATATAAATGTATATAAAAAAGTGCAATATGTGCAAAAATTACAATGTTTTAAATATATCAAAAAGTAAATACCTTTGTGGCGAGATCGACTTGACAACTTACAATAAGCCGAGTCAGAGAAACTAAGAAAATAAGATGAACTTGCTAATGAATTGCGTTTAACGCACAGATGTAAGGCCAAGATAGTACCATATGTAATAACATGGGACGATATAGTAAGTAGATACCATTCTAAACATAGAAAGAAGCTTGAAATAATCGCCGAATCATAGCGTACGCTCAATCTTCAACGCAGAGAAGACTCTTGAAAGCACTTTAATAAAGTGACGGAAAAGGACGCAGATAACAGAAGCTGAAGAGGTAAGTTAGCAAATCGGTATTTGCACAAAGCCGATATTAGTATGACCAGAAAAATAATTATTTAGCCAATCCTCAAATAAACAACTTAATTAGCGAGACAGGAAATATTTAAAAATTACTTAACTCTTTACATATGACTATAATGACCTAAATTTAAGTGCTATTTGTACTGTTAGCTACAAGAAGTGATAAATTGGTTTGCTTTTTAATTTAAAAGCTTTTGTCAATTTTTTTTACAAAATAAACATGTCACACATTGGCATACATTCATTTTATTTTTTTTATTGCAAATTACTTAAATATGTATTAAAATTATTCTTTAAAATTTAATGACTTTTTGGATTGTAAAAAAAAAATTTTTAATTTGCAAGATATATTATTAACTTAAAAACTTTACCATGGATAACATTAAAAATATTCTTATTGTATTTTTTGAAAAAAACATTTTTTTGTAAGCATATTTTCAGTGCAGCATTAATAAGACAGAATCAACATACTTTAGCATCCACGTTTTTACCAAAAAATATTAAATAATTTATAGATTAAAATTTATTTGTAAACAATTTCAATGTCAAACCTTCTTCTATAATAAAACATTTCATCATTTTTCAAAAGCTTGACTTTTATTCGATCAAAAACATTATATTCTTTATCTCCTAAAGAAAGTGCTTCATTAAGGCCATAATCAGGAATATAAATTAAGACACCATTTGTTTTGATATCCGTAACATATGCGTCTGTAGTAGGTTCTACTTCACGTATTACATTATATATAAACAAATTAGTTACATCCCATGAACATCTTCTTGCATTACTATGTCTTTTATTGAGATTATTAATAAGAGTGTCATTTATATTAGACAACTCTTCTGAAAAATTGGGAACTTTATATCTCTTACCATTACTACAACAAGTATTATCTTCATTACTTATCTCTTCATTCTTTTGTAATTGAATAGTATGGTTTATATTATCTGTTGGAGAGAAACTATTTTTACATAAAATACAATATAATGTTCTGTGAACTAAAATATCTGCATATCTTCTTATTGGCGATGTAAAATGTGTATAAAGAGGTGTAGCAAGACCATAATGACAGAAATCTGTATCTTCGGAAGATAAAACATAAATTGCTTGGTTCATAGCGCGAGTAACTATTTTCTTAAAAACATCTTTTTTATTGCTATCTAAAGAATTGATTACTTCATTTATATTAAAAGAATCTTGTAAATTTACATCAATAGGCATTGGTGATTCAGAGGGAGGCGGATGTTTTCTCAAAACTGCATTTTCAGGATAATTTTTATAAATAAATTCTGCCACACTTATATTGGCAAGTAACATAAATTCTTCAATTAAGTTATTCGTAAGTATTGGCTTCTTAGTCTCTATTTTATTGTTACTTACTTCAATTTTATTTGCGCTTAAATCTAAAGCTCCATTCTTTTGTCTTTTTTCTCTTAAAATTTTTGAAATTTCAAATAATCTGGAAATATCTTCTTGCAAATATGCACTATTTGGTGAATTTAGAAGTTTCAAAGCTTCTTCATAAGAAAACGCTTTTCTTGATTTAATTAAAGCTTTTGTAAATTTTGTACTGAGAATTTGCCCCGTTTTGTCAATTTCCCAAATTACAGAAAATGTACCACGTTCCTGATTTTCCAATAGACTACATAGACCAGCACTTAGAAATTCTGGTAACATATCGATTCTTTTATTTGGTAAATAGACTGTAGTTCCCCTGTCAGAAGATATTTCATCAAGAGTAGAGCCTGGCTTAACATAATGAGAGACATCTGCTATGTGCACACCAATTTCAAAATTGCCATTTTCCAAGGTTGTTATGTGTAAAGCATCATCTACATCAGTACATCCTTGTGGGTCTATGCTAAAGACATCTAAATGACGCAAATCAATTCTCTGTCCAGATTCAATCTCTTGGAACATAGATTTAAGACTAAAAAAGTCAGAATGCTCACTATTTAGTGCCTTTATCGTCTCAACATTATAATAATTAGTTGGTTTAATTAGTTCTATCCATTTATGATTAAAATAAGACACACCATTTGACAATAAAATGCATTCAATTTCACCATTAACATCACCTATCTGGCTCATCTTCTTAAAATAATGTCCTGTAGGATATTTACTATCCTTTTCCCAAAACTCCAATTCTATCCATAATCTTCTATTTACAAGTTCATCGGGTTGACTAGTCCGAATTCTTATTGGTGGATATCTTTTGTCAATAGGTAATACCAAAACATTTTGTGACCCATCACCTGAAATAGTAGAGTTAAGAATTGTACCTATAAGTTCCGTTTTTTCCCTTTTGGCAATCCCTACTACTTTGCCAAATAAGACATTTTTATTAGTTTCATTCTCTAACTTATTTTTTTTAGTTACAAAATCATTTGTATCTTCTACGTTTACATCTATTTCGTCTTCGCATACTTCCTCTATAATCTCTACGTATACATCATCTCCATGGATAGCTCTATTCATATTTTTACTACCTAAAATTCTTACACGTTTATTTTGACAAAAAATTGTTCCATTCCTCCAATTATAAGTATCTACCATTAAAGTAGATTTAAGAATTTTACCTGTACTATAAAGTATTTCTAAATTAGTATAGTAATCATCATAAGATGTTTCTTCCCTAATAAAAACATCGTCCACAAGATCTTTAACAATATTATCCTCAAAATACTTAGCGTAGTCTTTAATATTCTGTTCACTTAAAATTATAAATTTTTTAGATTGCAAATGACTTGTATAAAACTCAAGGACACCTTTTAATCCTTTATTAACAGTCACATCAAAAAAAGTATCATAAAAGTATATATAAGCTTTTTTATCTATTAAATCTTTAATACGCTTTTGTTCTCCCATTTTAAGTTTATTAAATTCAGACTGACAGATAATTGGTCTTATAAAATCACTCTTTAATAATGATTTATGTTTTTCTAAAATCTCTTTAGAACAAATGGTAAAAACCACAAAATCATCATAAATTTTGGTACCACAACATTCAAATCCACACGGTATATCATTTCTAACGTAATTTTCCTTTACTCTTTTTAATAATTGATTTCTTTTAGAAATTTTCCATTCAAAAAAACTATTGTTGTATTTGTAAGATGGTGAATTTTTCATAGAAGGGTTCAATTTTTATAATCTATGCATCAAATTCTATTTAAGTTTTTTTGCATAAAAATTTAACAAACAAAAACATAAAATTTTATAAAAGTTTACTTTTAATTAACGAATAAGTCTTCTGAATCTTCAATAGTTGCTTCTTGATATTGTTGATATTCAGATAATAAATCATTCATGTTAGATTCTGCTTCCGAAAATTCCATTTCATCCATTCCCTCTCCAGTGTACCAATGTAAGAAAGCTTTTTTCCTAAACATCAAGCTAAATTGTTCTGATACACGCTTAAAAAGTTCTTGTATAGCAGTTGTATTTCCCATAAAAGTACCAGTCATTTCAAATCCTTCTGGTGCTATATCACATACAGCTGTTTTAACATTACTAGGTATCCATTCTACAAACAAGTTTCCTGTTTTATTCTGAACAGAAGCCATTTGTTCATCTACATCTTTCATAGAGACTTTACCTCTAAACACGGCTGCTACAGTAAGATATCTACCTTTTTTAGGATCACAAGCAGTCATCATATTTCTACTGTCAAACATCTGATGTGTTAGTTCGGAGACTGAATAAGTTTTAAACTGTTGAGTATCTTTAGCGATAAGAGGAGCAAAGCTTACCACGAAGAAATGCAATCTTGGAAAAGGGATCATATTTACTGCTAGCTTTCTTAAATCTGCATTAAGTTGTCCTGGGAATCTAAGGCACGTAGTCACGCCACTCATAACGAGGGAAACTAAATGATTAAGATCTCCATATCCAGGATTATTAAGCTTTAAAGTTTTTAGACAGATATCATATAATGCCTCATTATCTATACAGAACGTAATATCTGCATTTTCTACTAATTGATGAATACTAAGTGTTGCATTATAAGGCTCAACTACAGTATCACTTACTTTTGGAGAAGGCACTACTGAAAAAGTACAAATCATTCTATCAGAAAATTCTTCTCTAATCTTAGAAAGTAAAAGAGTTCCCATTCCTGCACCTGTTCCTCCTCCTAAAGAATGTGTAATTTGAAATCCTTGCAAACAATCTGCACTTTCTGCTTCTTTCCTTACTATATCCATAACACTGTCAATAAGTTCAGCACCTTCCGTGTAGTGACCCTTAGCCCAATTATTTCCTGCACCTGATTGACCAAATACAAAATTATCTGGTCTAAATAAACTACCAAAAGGTCCTTGTTTAATAGTCTCCATCGTTCCTGGTTCTAAATCAACCAAAACTGCTCTAGGAACATACTTCCTACAAAAAGATTCGTTATAATATACACTAATTCTTTCCAATTGATTATCAGATGTACCTTCATATCTTCCGTCATTAGCTATTCCGTGTTCACTAGAAATAGTTTCCCAGAATTTACCTCCTATTTGATTACCACACTGACCTGTTTGTAGGTGAATTATTTCTCTCATAAATGGGGGTTAAAAAAATTTAAATAAAAAAGCACGGTGAAAAAATTAAATAGACCCTTGGTTGTACAATAGACAAAGGTAGTAACAATAAGATGATTTTACAAGTTGTGAAAATATATTTTTTATTGTTACTAAATGCGTTTTATAGAAAAAATAAAGATTTTATTTTTATGGGTTTGTTAGATAAAAAATTTAATTTTATAGTTAAGTTTTATGAATATTAAAAAATTAACAGATATACTGGCTAATTTTATCATTAGTACTTAAAAAGTGTTATGTCGAACCATAAAATTATAATATTGCACGCTGTTATTGGTTTTTAATTTTAAAAAAAGTAATAAAATGCTGTAAACCTGGTTATTAAAATAAATTCTTTTATAAAATTTCCAAATTATTTATTTCTTAAAATTTTTAATTCTCTCAATCAAAGAATCATCAAGTTTGTTAAACAACGGCTTAATGTCATCACCTATTTCAGCGCTTTTAATTATGTAAAAAGATTCACAAAAGTTTTCTTTTTTTCGGTTACACATTTTTAAAAGTTTTTCTGACGAAACAGGTATAAAAGGCTCAAGTAATTGTCCTATGAGCACAACTATACTAAAAGCCACTTGAAACCCTTTTGGTACTTCTATTTTGCTGCTCACAACTTGTTGAACATACTCATTTCCGACTTTTGAAATTTCTAAAATTTTTTCAAGTGCTTCCCTTATTCTGATAGCTGAAAAACTTGTAAGGTATTCTTTATATATCTTATCTATCGTCTGTACCATTAAATCGTCTCTGTGTTCTAGTTTATCAATGCTAATTAATTTATCATTTTTATTTTTAATATACTTAAGTACCCTATTACAAAAATTTCCTATATTATTATTTAGATCGGCATCAATAACGTTTGTAAAATGAGTAAATGAAAAATTAGAGTCGCATTTCTCTGGGCGAATTTTTGCTAAGTAATATCTCCACAAACAAGACTGTCCCATGGTGTTGTCAACAAGATCTAATCCAAATATTCCATGTCCCCTGCTTTTTGAAAACTTTTCATTTTCAAAAAGTAAAAACTCAGTAACTGACAGTTTTTTTATTAAAGGGTAGCTATCATTAGTAGCAAATATTAAAGATGGAAATACAATTGTGTGAAAAAATACATTATCTTTACCCATAAACTGAACCAACTCACAATCTTGTAAAATGTTGTCAGTTGCAAAAACATTATTTTTATCTAATTCTTTAGATTCACTTCGCGCAGCAACATACTCCTTATAAAACGTAAAATATCCTATAACTGCATCGAACCAAACATAAAAGACTTTTTCTTCAAAATCCTTTAATGGAACAGGCACACCCCATCGATTTTTTAAGTCTCTTGTCATGCATCGTGGGAGTAATTCTTGATCTAACCACGATTTAGTAATTTGCTTGCCGTTTTCCGACCAATACTGACTATTTGTGTTAAACAGTTTCTGTAATTTATCTTTAAAATTATTAAAATCAAAAAACAAATGCCTTGTAGATTTAATATTTGGAAATGAATGACACAAGGTACATTTAGCATCGATTAAATCTAATGACTTGTAAGTGTGTCCACAACCATCACATTGATCCCCTTTTGCATCGGTATATTTACAAAATTTGCAAGTTCCGACGACATAACGATCGGCCAAAAAAATCTGGCACTTGTCGCAAAAAAATTGTTCAATTTCTTGTTCAGTAAAAAAACCATTATTATGTATTTTATTAAAAAAATCCTGAACATTTTTTGTATGTGCTGTGCTTGTTGTATGTCCAAAAAAATCAAAATCAATGTTAAACCAGTCATAAATTTTTTTATGTATAATTCTGTTTTCTTCACAAATTTGTAGAGGTGTCTTATTTTGTGCAAAAGCTGCCATTTCAATAGCAGTTCCATATTCGTCAGTACCAGACAAAAAAACGACATCTTCATTGTTTTTTCTGCAAAATCTTGCATACATATCGGCACTTAACACGCATCCTATGATATTACCTAAATGTGGCTGGTTGTTAACGTATGGCAGTGCACTTGTAATTATTTTTTTACTAGGAACTTTTTTTTTCATAAGGGCAGGATTTAAAAAAGTTTTTTAACTTTTTTTAATATTTTTACAAAAATAGTAAGTTTTAAATAAAATAGCTATTAGTTAAAAAAATAAAAAATAGGAACTTTGAATTTTAATATATTAATTTCTATAAAAAGCAAATATTAACTAAGATCACTAAAATAAATGATTAACTACCACCAATATATATAAATAGTTTAATTCTAAATATTTATTTTTTTAGCCCATCTTTTGTAGAATTTTGTCTTAACTTTTTATTTAAAGTAGAAAATTAATGTTAAGTTTTTTATTATACAAACAATACTTTATGATGTTTTTTAAGTTGTATTTAATATTTTTTGTAAATAATGGTTCATTATAAGTTTTTTAAGAATATTAAGAAAGTAATTTGAATGTTTTAACTAGAAACTAGAAAAAAAGAATGATATATAATTTTTAAAAAAAAGCACCCCAGCATTTTGTGTCTAAAATCTTTAATAAATAAGATATTGTAAGCTAGTTAATAAATAAAAACATTATTTTAAATATTTTTATTTTTGTACCCCCGTAAATGCATAAAATTATTATTCACAAAGGTAGAACATACAAAACAAGAAGCAATGTCAGGAAAGTTGTTAAAACACCATCTGGAAAATTAGTAGCTAGAAAACAAAAGAAACATGCTAAATTTCACAGATGCCACGAGTGTAATACTAAATTATTATCGATTGCTAGAATGAGACCAGCTGAATTTTCAAGACAGAAAGTTTCTGCTAGAAGAGTTAATAGACCATTGGGATCTACAACATGTGGACGATGTGTTAGAGAAAAAATAGTAGAAGCATTTTTGAACGATGAAGAAAAAATAGTAAGAGAAAAAGCGGCTGCTAATTAAAATATTTATTTTTATTATGTTATTTTTTTAAGATGTGTAAATTTCTTAATTTAATAAATTATGTAATTTGTAAAAATTAAAAAGTTGTTATTAAAATTTAACAACAAAAAAACACCCTGTGCGGGGCTCGAACCCGCGGCCCTTAGGTTAAAAGCCTAATGCTCTACCACTGAGCTAACAGGGCTTATTTTTCTTTGTGTTGAAAGATTTTGTTTATATTTAGATAATATTTATACATAAAAGTACAAAAAAAGCTATTAATGAAAACAATTTGAAATTACTTTTAATTTATAAAATACTTAACAGATTAATAAAAATTTTATTAATGTAAATACGGATAATTTTTGTGTATTTTTATGCAAAATTAAAACATTTTATTCTTTGCATCGATTTGATAAATCAAGTTAATATTGAAATTTATAAGGTATTTTAATTAAAAATTAAAAAAGCTTTGGACAAAACTCTTATTTAATTTTATAGTACTTTTTATAGATAAGTAAATTCACAAATAATTACAAGGTTTTATAAACACTATAAAATATTATTTACTTAATAAATATATATTTTTAAAATAAACTATTGTCGCTTTTATTTATAAACAAACAAGCATTTAAATTAAGATTATTTAATTGCATGTTTTTGGTTCAGTAAGTTTTTCATTTTCTTCTATCGCATTTTTAAAATTATCATTTTCTTGTACAAACCATTGATTATTAAAATTAACCGCTTTAGCTATCCACTCATTTTTAAATTTCCAGCACTGATCCAAAAAATAATTGTGATCTTTTATGGAATTTAGTTCATGAATATTCATTGTATACTTTATTTTATATTTTTGATTACTAAATAAAATAGATGATAAAGTAGGTTGTACACATTCTGGGTAAGTGAATGTAATATCTAACACTTTTTTTATATTCGAATCCTTCAATCCTTCAGCAATAACTTTAAATCCCTTGTATCGTGGCGATAAAACATAATCAAGCGGTTCAAGATTTTTAGATTTTCGAAATTCTTTTGATTTATTTATAGTATTTTCCGTTATTAGTGTACCTTCAGGAAATAATACTAAATGTATAGCAGATTTGGCTTTATTTATACGTGAACAGTAATTTTTTATTGTTTTTTCATCTTTTTTAATATCCCGCTCGATTGTTAAAAAATTCAATAAATCAAGTATTTGGAATATGCCATAATAATTGCGCATTTCTGATTTCATAACATATTTTACATTACTAAGATTTTCTGAATTATTAAATAGATTACTTAATACCAAAAAATCATATTCGTTTACATGATTTGAAATCACCAAATAGTTCTCACGAGGGTTTATCAAATTTTCACCTTCAAATTCAAAAATCCTGTCCGATAAAATGTTTAAGATCTTACAAAATATAAAGAATATTTTGTGTGCAATTTTAAGTTGTAGCATATTGTTAAGTTTATTTATAATGTATGCAAATGGCACGTAACACACGCTGGCAATAAGGTAAAAAAAAATTACAGCAAATAACATAAAGCGTATGAAAATTTCAATCATTAAGGGTACAATATATTAAATTATATATAAAGAAAAACTAAACCTATAAATAATTGATTTAAAAAAATTTAAAAGGAAATATAATTTATTATTTTTTGTTGCAATAAATTGTAATAGCTTTGAGAACCTTAATTAATATCTTTAAAATCTCCAAATTAGCAAAAAAGTTTTAAGAAGCCTTAATTAACTAAATAAATTTAATAAAAAATAATTATTAATTAAAAAATATATAAATTTGAAATTTATGTTTTAACTAATTATTGGCATCATTTGCATTTGTAGACTTACCAAATCACATTACAAATTAAATAAAGTAAATTATAATACCTTAATTTCTTGTTTTTGATAAATTAAATTGGTTTAATAAAACTTGTTGATCTTTAAATATAAAACGATAAATAACACTTTAAAAATTATTCTATTATTTAAAATAACTTTTATTTGGTTTTTAAGATAATCTTTCATGATATTTATAATTATAAGTTTATTCCAGTACATCTTATAGTTTTACTTTAACAAGCTTTGTTTTAAAAAGATGTTTTCAAGTTAAATACATTTTAATTGAATAATTTCTGTAATTTATTTGTAATATATAAAATTTTTGTGCTTTTTAAAGTAATCTAATAAACTAACGTTTCCCCAATAAAAATCGATCAAATGAATTAACAAAAAGAATAAAATACACAGATAATGCAATTTTAATATCTATGTTAATACAAAGCATTTAAAAAATTTTAAATCAAAGCTAATAACATAGTGTTGTAGATATATACAGTTTAATGTTTTAAAAACTAATAATTTATTTACTGTTATTTTTAAAAATTAAATTTATTGGCATTATGAACATTAATAGAAAAATTTACTAAATAATTAGAAATTTTATAAAGTATCCATTATTTATGACCTTTAAGGTAACTTAGAAACAATGTTATTATAATTAATTGCATGTTACAAAATAAATGATTTTATTGGTGGAGTAGTAATAAATTTCATCTAAGACAAAATCAATAAACAAATTTATTTTATTGATTGAATGTCCAAGAATTATTGATAAAGCGTGTTTTTACAATAATATATTATGATTAATATCCGCAGTACAATTAGCATCATCTTGTACATTTCAGACTTTATCGTAAATTGCTATGTTTATTATAGAAATTTAATTATGTAAAATGTTTAAAATTAGAAGTACCATTTCTTTATAAATAATAACAAATAATCTATAAAAACAATTTCAAGTAATTTTAAATAGTAAAATATGGTTTATTACAAGTTTACAGTTAAGAAAACATTTTTATAAATTTACTGACAAAAAGTATAATCTTGTATGCAAATTGAATTAAAGTTATTCGTGAATTACAAAACTAACAATTTTTTTTTAAATACTATTTACATTTCATTAAAAGGAGTAATCAATTCTCTTACTTATTATATACATAGACTACAATATTATAAAAATAAATAGAACATTTTGTCTAACCTCTCTATATGATTTTTTATATTACTTGTAGAAATAAAAATTTCTTGCACTCCTTTTTTTACATAAAAAACTATTCATCGGTATTAAGATTTATAAATATGACAACAGGAGTTAAAATGTTCCCATTATTATTATATATAGTACCCTTGTGCTTGTCTATTAAGTCTAAAAAACCTTCAGTTAAAAACATTTATATTTATGAACCAGCCATCTTGATATCAGAATTAGAAAAAATAGCCGAAGAATTTGAAGACCATTTAAAAGGATCATATACACAAACCGTAATATTTTTTACTATAGGTACATACCTTCTTCTAGCAGGAAATCTAACACAAAAATTATCTTTAACCGTCATTTTATCATTATTCATTGCCCACTACATGGATCTTATCGTAAACACTGATACTTCTACATGGCCTTTATCTTCTATATTTAAATATATTCAAGATTTATTTAAACAGTCAAATAATCCTTATGTACCAATATTAATAATATCTTTAGTTGTAGCACTAATAGTGACATTTCTACTGAGCGGATTTCGTATTATTTTCAGCCTTGCAGCTGTCTATTTCTTTTTTATTACCTATGTAGGTTCAGTAATTCGAATAGAAGATGCTTCACAGAAATATATTTTATATGGATCAATAGTGGTCATTTTTCTTATGATCTACTTAATTTATGCTAAAGCGTTAAATGTTATCTTTATATTACTGTTTAGTATAACTGGGTCATTTATTGTTTTTTTATCGGTAGAAAAAGTATTTGATTTTGATTTACAGCTGTCTCATATATTCATCGCATTAAAAGATGATTATGAGGCTACAAGACCATCTTTAACAAGCATTTTATTTTTTGTACTAACACTTCTAGGGACATATATTCAGTTAGTATTTGTATCGCCGATAAATCATTTATAAAGGAAAATAAACAAACTTTGACTGAATTTAAAATTCGTAAAATGTTCTTAAAAATATTTATTATATATTTACATGTAAAAACCAGCTAAAAGTTATTGTTATAACCTTAATATTGTACCACAGTAAGTATTTATTTTTTATAAAATAAACTTATAAATAAAATGTGTTATAAATTTCAAAATTGAAAAAGTATATCAAAAAAAACTATAATTATAAATTTCTAGCAACATATAATAGATGTATAATAATTAAATATCTCTTAAATACATAAAATTTATTTGTAAATATCAACCAATTTATATTCTAAATCTACTGTTAAAAATTGGTTGATATCTCGTAAAAGTTTACTATCTCGTTTTATGGCATAAATTTTAGTAAATAGGTTGGGATGCATATATAATTGTATATTATACTGATTACATAACATTATCAGATGATGCAATACTATGGTATCAAGTTTCGCTACAAATATTATTTCCAAATCTGTATAACACTTCATTATTTTATTATAAGTGTCAACTGTACTTTTTTCTTCGCTTAAAATGACATCTAAAAAGTGTGGATTTAGTATTTTTTTTATTTTATAAAAGTCAATCGCAAAAATCTCTGATTTTTTTTTCATTTTAATGGGTCAAATAAGTTAACTTTTTAACTTAACGTTTTTTGCCCCTACGAATGGAAAAAAAATCAGAAATGAGTAAAGAGAAGCAAAAAACTAAGAAACGGAATTCTGCATCTATTTTTAAAAATAAGGAAATGGTGTCTGACGAAAAGGATAAAAAAGAACATAAAAGTGGTGATGGATTAAAGGAAGAAAATACAAGACAGAAAAAAGAAGATAAAAATAAAGAAATTGCTGATAAAAATATTTTAGAGAATTGTGATGAATCTTCGTCAAGTATTGAAAAAGAAGAAAAAATGCCAAGAAAAGAAGTTAATAAGAAAGCTGTTACTGCTGATTCGATTGAGTCTTCTTTAAGTGATTCAATGCGAAGTTTTGATGCAGGTGAAAATAGGAAAGATTTATCAAGTGAATCTAAAGAATCTAGCGAATCAAGTGAATCTGAAGGATCTAGCGAATTAAGTGAAAGCGAAAAATTAGGTGAATCTAAAAAGTCAAGTGAATCTAAAACGTCGAGTGAATCTGAAGAATCTAGCAAATTAAATAAAAGCGAAAAATTAAATAAAAGTGAAAAATCAAATGAAAGCGAAAAATCAAGTGAATCTGAAAACTCAAGTGAATCTGAAAACTCAAGTGAATCTGAAAACTCAAGTGAATTAAAGGAAACCAAAAAAACAGGTCAATCGAAGGAACCAGAAGATTCATCAAGCGAGATTGAACAACAATCCTCTAGCATTGAAGAGGAAAATTTAGAAGATAAAGATCTTAGAGTATGCTTTATGAAAGGTATACCATTTGATTTAACAGAAGAAGAGTTAAAGAAAGAAGTTGGTTTAATTGGTAAAACAGTTAGAGTATCTATACCTGTCACAGGAGATAAAAATAGAAATAAGGGATTTGCTTTTATTGAATTTGTTAAAGAAGCTGATGCTAAAAAATGTTTAAAACTTGATAATCAAGAATTGTTTGGCAGGAAAATAAATGTTTCTATTGCTTCTAATTCTGAGAGAAAGAAGAAATACACTTTAAAAGTAAATAATTTACCATTTAAGTGTACAAAAGAGGATTTAATAAAATATCTTAGTAAATTTGGTGAAATAAAAGGATGTCATATACCAATGGAAGATGACAGAACTAAAGGATTTGCTTTTATTTTCATTGATGACGAGTCTACGTTTAAAAAGTTATTAAATGCTAAGTTGACATTTAAAGATAGAACTCTTTTTGTAAAAGATGGTGACGATCAGAAAAATGACAAAAATAAATTTGATATTAGAAAAAAGAATATAGCAGAATTAGTAGAAAAGAAAGGTAGTAATACAAAAAAAAATAAAGATTCATACAGTAAAAAAGGAAATAATAAATCTGATACAAGAAAAGACACTAAAAGAATGAAATACAATGAATCTAAAAAAAGTAAATCTGAATCTAAAAATAGAATAGTATTTGAAAGTGACAGTGAGTAAATAAAATTTAATTTTATTTAATATTTTATGTCTATAAGGTAATTTTACTTGCAGAGATATCTTTAAAAAGATCTTAATACTATTTTTAATGTTTGTCATTTCTTTAAAAAATACGTTTTAACAAACAAAATTTTCGCTTTTCACGCAGCGGTACACTTTTGTAAAATATTTATTTTTTAAATACATAACTTTAATTATTGTAATATCTTCTCTTTTTTGCATTGTCATCTTTCATTCTACCACCAAAAACTCCTCTTCCATATTGTCTACCTTCTCTAAATCCATAATCTTTATCAACACTTAATGATTTCTTTTCAAATCTCAGTTTATCAGCCCACAATTTACATTTTTCAGCATCTTCTTTTCTGTAAAACTCTACAAAACAAAATCCACAAAATGTTAAAAAATTTCTATTTATCCCCATAATTACCCTTTTTACTTCGCCAAAAAGCATGGCTAGTTCCCATATCCTTGTTTCATCAACAGAATGATCTATATTGTTGATATAGACAGTAGTAGAATTGTTAATTAATTCTAAGTATTCTTCGTCTGTACCGGTAAACGTCTTTTCTCTGTAAAAAGAAGTAGGAACAGTGGGTTTATAATATTTCTCTAGAGGGTACATTTGAGGGTATAAAAATATTATGGATAATCTCTAGTATCATTTTAGTTGTTGAAATATAATTTGTACTATTTAATATGTTAACTCTTTTGTTTTTTAAATCTTTTATTGTACACCGTAAAAATAAGTATTATTGTTTTAAAGATATAAAGTTAATATGTTAAAAATTTTAATAATGAAACAGCCATAAAAAAGAATAATTAATTAAATAATACAGCTTTTTTTAATTTTGTAAAAAGTTGACAAGTGAATACTTTACAGGTTTATTGGTTGTTAAAGTACAGAATAAACTTTTAACTTAAGATATAAATATGTGTTTATTGTTAGAAAAATAAACAAAAAAATAATATCGTATAAATAAACATATAATTTTAGTTTAAATTTACGATAAAAACTAAGATTAAAAAATGATTTAACGGCTATTTTTTCTTTATGTATAAATATTTTTTCTACAACCTTGGTCTTATGTTTAATAGAAGTTTATAAGTCAATTAATTGAATAAAAATATTTAAATTTATAAGTTTAAAAAATATTTATTTTTTTTATATTATTATTCAATACTTTTTGTACTGCAATACATTTGTAAATCGTATTATTAAGTTTTCAAAAAATATTAGTAAAATTTCAAGACTTTAAAACAACTTTAAATATTGAATACCAACTTATTTAATTTAGAATGTAAAAAATGTCCACCTTGTTTATAAACAAAAAAATATGATCTTAAATCAATTTAAAATTTTATTATAATTTTTCTATTAATATCAATTATTTTAATTTAAAATGTCAAAAAAGTGATTTTTGTTTATAGACAAAAAATTGATAATTTATTTATAACAATTAATCGTTTTTTTGCAATTTTTTTAAAAATTTAATCTATTTTTTTTGACACCTAGTTTGATTTTTTGTTGTGATGGTCTAAAAGTAAATATTGAAAAAAAGCATAAATACAAAATTTTTTTGTTTATCAAAATGTTATTTGTATTCTTTGCTCTCACTGCAATAGTTGCAGAATCAAAAGATCAAATCAGCAAAAAAATTGAAGAAATTATTAATTTGGAAGATAACATCGTGTACAATGTTAAGACAGATGGAAGAGGCGGTATTGAAATAAAAGAAAAAGGACCAGATGATAGCAATTGGACAACTTCCAAAAAGTTCGATGTACATGAAAATGCCGGCGAATTATTAGATCATGGAGCAAAAATTGTAAAAACAGATGATAACAACTATATTCTAGCATATGCACCTAGGCCTGAAGAATTCAATTACAAACCAGAACAGCTTTCTTACAAGGAAAATGAATATAAAAAATTAGCAAAAGACCCGAGTACTGAAGAAGCGCTTTATAAAAACGAACCGAAGTTTGTTGAAGGAGTACAAACGAGTAAAGGATCCTCGTTCTTTGATTACAAACCGACCGCAGAACAAAAAAAAGCAGCGAGTAAACCGCCCGACAAAAAGAAAAAGAAGAAAGACGGTAAGAAGAAAAAGGCAGCGGCTAGTGATAATGAATCAGAATCTTCTGAGATAAGTAAGGCAAGCACGATTGTATATTTCTTATCGACTTGTTCACTATTAGCGACTCTAATGGTGTTATGATTAAAAATCATATTAGTATACTTTTTTTTTTAAAATATAAATTTGGTTTATCTACAATGTTATTTAAAATATTTTAGTTTAAAAACCTTTTCTTAATAGTTCTAGAGTAACATTCTTTTTCTGATTAAAGTATTTAATACCATCTTGTTTTTTATTTATTCTGTTTGACATATTTTAACTTTAAAGCAAGCATTAAACTTTTTTCCTAATGTGTAAATGATGTATTAATAAAATAAAAGGATTAAAATTTGCTAAAAAAATTAGTTTATTTTAAGATCTATCAATATTTTTAATTATTTTACAGAAAAACAAAAATTTTTATTTTTAGCAAAATGGATTTTTTTATATTACTATGTATTTTATTAATTTACAAGTAGCTCTATGTTTTCATGCTAATAATTCTTCTTATCAGTAAATTTAACATCGTTCTATCTTGAAGACTATAACATCAGATATTTTAAAACTATTTATGTGTAGAAATATTAATGAAGAAAATACAATTACAAATAATTTAATCAAAAAAAGAATTTTAAAATTGTTTTATGTTTATAAATAATAAAAATTTATTATTATATCAACTTAATGTTTTATATTTCTTGTATCTTTCTGTTAATTTTAACTTAATAAATTTATACCCATATTTTATGTTTGTTATTAACGATCTTTTTGCTTTTAAGCCTCTAACAAAGCATAAGACATATGAAGATTATTTAGAAGTAGAAAATGTTGAATACGATGATGATTATTATTTAAATTTATTAAAAACAACCACAGATGCAAAATTTTATGAATATGGAATGTACTTTGTTTATAAATATTATTTAAACAAACTTGAAAAAAATTGTATAAATAAAAAAATTGAGTGCATAAATGTTGTAAGAGATGCTTTTTTAAAAAATCCTAAGTGGTACACTTATGACATTCTAAAATATTTAACTTTAGATTTGGATTTTTATGAACTAAAAGAAATGTTTAATGATCATCCATTACTTTCTATGATTATAGGAGAACACTTACTCCGTACAGAACAATATTCAATAGAAGATATTTCTTGTTTAAAATTTCCTTTTTACATTTCTCTTCCATTTTATTTTTACAAGAAGAAGTTTGATTTATCTATTTTTGATATAAAAATGGTTTTTTTATTTACAGATCTTATTTTTACAGAAAATTTTGACTATAGAATGCAGTACTACATAATTAACTGGAAAGAAGTTATTAATGTTGGTGAATATGCAATCAAAATTGTAAAATTAGAAACAGTTAATTTTAAATTTTCTAATCCTTTTACAAATTTTTTATTATTTAAGCAAGGATTATTATGTAATCCTGTTGAGAATGTTGAGCTTATGATATTATTTTATGATGATCCTTCGCATATTGTAGAAGGAAGTGTTTATACAGAAATTATTAAGAGACATCATAAAATTTCTTATAAAAATTGCTATGAAAATATTAATTATTATATTTATGATGATATTATACAAAGGTATTGTTTAGTAGATTATAAATATAAAGAAAGCTTTTCCTATATATGTAAAGATTATGCCTTAAATTTGCATTTAAATAGTGTAGAAGTATTACAAATAGAATTTATTTTTAATTTAGAAGAAATTTTTTTCAATACTTTTATTACAAACAATATAAACTATAAATTTACTTGGAATAATGTAGAAATCGATACGGAGATAATTTTCTTAATTAAAGAATATCATACTAAAAAATTGATGAGTAAAAAATATAGAGATAATCTTTTTAACAAAATATTAGAAAATAAATATAAAGAGATATTTTTATTATATCTAATTAATAGAAATAATGCATTAGAGTATATAAATGAAGAGAATTTTGCATGTATTTGTAAAATTAAAAGAAGAGAATGGCTTTTAGATTACAATAATATTAAAAAAATTATAGGAAGCAACAAAGATGTATTATCTTTGGGTATTAATTGTACTTGTAAAGATGAATTGTATTTAAAATATATTAAAATTTGTTCTGACTATGAAAATGATGCAAGATATCAATCTATTTTGTTAAAATATAAAAAATTTGCTGATATTTCTGAGAATAAAGTTGTTTGTCATACACAATCTAATAAGCAGAACATAACATTACCTCCCGTTGTAAAAAGATATAAATTAAATATAAAAAAGAGTACACAAATTGATTGTATAAAAAATGAAAATAATGAGCATAAAGCTACATTTTTTTTAACCAGATATATGTCATCTTGCACGTACAAGAAATTTGTTAAAAAACATTTGATATATTATGACTATATTAACATAAAATATAAAACAACTAATTACAAGTTTATTAAGTATCTTAAAGATGAAGTTGCTAAAGAACATATAAATGATCTTATTAAATATGACATAAAAAGGTTAGCAAAACTTACCAAATTGGGATGCAAACTTGAAGAATACCAGTTTTTTGAGCTACAAGAAAGGTTAAAAAAAGAAGGTAGAAAAGGTGTTATTAAATTGATAGGTAAGATCCTTTCTTATAATTCAAATTATAAAATTGATATTCTTACGTATGAAGATTTAGATTTTTATGGTAAGAATATGCTATTAGACCATTTAATATACTGTAACAGAATATCTTATAATAAAAGTGATTTTATTAAATCACTACTTATATTAAATAATGAAGACAATGTTAATTTAGTTCTTAAGATTCTTGAATTTATTAAGTCTAATTTAAATGAATTTTACAAATATAAAGAAATCTTAGAAAGATATAAAAAGAATGACAAGTTTAATAAACTTATGATACGAATTTTACCTTTGTGGGGATATGATACAGATTATTATCAAAAGATATGTGCGAGTTATAAATTTAAAGAAGAATTAGAAATATATGAAAAATTTTATAAGAATTAATATTTTAATTTATAAATTAGATTTTTTACCACATTTAAAATTGTCATCATTGACTAATTTTTACTTTTTGCAAAAGGTTTTAAAAGTATTTTATTTATTATTATTTCTTTATGCAACCAAATTTGCATCAATAAATCAACTTTTATTCAAAATGCTTTACAAAATATATAGTCATATATTAAATAATTACAAAAATCTATCTTACTGTTACAGTATTCCTCATTTACGAATCATCAAAAGTTGGATGGAAAGACCATAAATGCCTTTCTAAATTGTTTTTATTGCTAAAATTATTGTTACAAATTTTACATGTGAATTTTTCATCTTGTGTATGAATCTTTAGATGCAAATCTCTTGCACTCTTTCTATAAAACGATTTATCACAAACATTACATTTATGTTTTTTTATATTTAAATGTGTTTCTAGATGTTGATTAAGTTTACATAACTTTGGATATTCTTTATTACAAAATAAGCAAATGTAAGCGATATTGTACATGGGGTCAAATTAAATAAATTTAGTAAAAAATAAATAGTTAAAAATCAAAGAATGTAGGCTTTTTGAACTAAAGTAGCTATTATTTTACAAATGTGAAAAGATGTGTTAATTTTGAAAACTAATATTAATATGTAATTTATAGTTTTTTAAATTAAAAATTGAAGAAGTGTTCTTTAGAATTATGATAATTTTATTACAAACAATTTACTTTTTTTGTAAATTTTCTAGTTGATTTACTTCTACAAGTAAATGCCTAGACTACTAAATATTTCAATTTATGTTAAAAAATTTTAACAATTTTGTGATTAACTTGCTAAAACAAGAAGATGAACTTTTTATTGTAGTTCCAATTTTACATGATAGATGTCTTGTATTATTTTACAAGAATAACATTTTTATAATTTATATGTGCAATATCATTACTTGCTTTAATTAGAATAATATACTTTGTTGAACCAAAATGTGTGTATGGTTAACTATAAAATTAGTTTTGCTAATAAAATTATTTTCTACCAGTAACATAAGATAACATTTAATTATAAATATCGTTATATAAATTTTAAAATTTCCATTTTTGAAAGCCTGTTGTGTGTTTTACCAAATTTGGTATTTTTTAATGATAATTATTAATAGCTTAATACTCGCATAAAATTAAAAATTTTTAGTATATTTTTTTAATATTAGTATATTAAAAATTAATTACCCTTTTATGACAAAGAATTTTAACAAATTATCAGCCGTTGCTTTTATTATTAATTGTATGTTAGGATCTGGGATAAATTACATGCCAGCTGCTTTCAATCGGTCTGGAAATCTTTTTAGTTTTGTGATGTTATTTATTGTTGCGAGTTTTACTACCTTTTCAATATACGCTCTTTTAAGATGCTGTTCTAAATATCCAAACGAACAAAACGATATTAGTTATGCAAATATAGGTAAGCTTAAATACAGAAAGCTTAAATTGATAATTGATATAGCACTTTTAATATCATCGATATTTGCCGCAATTGGATTTCAAAAATACATATCAGAATTACTAAAAACATTCATTTTACAATTTTTCCCCGGTAAATCCGTCGATTTTGTAAGATATTTATATATTCTTATTTTAATGACATCAACTTTAGTTTTAACAGGCCTTTCGATGATTAACAATTTGGCAAAATTCAAAATATTATCCCGTCTTTGTGTATTCTGTATTGTGTCACTACTAGCAGTTTTACTTATTTTGAAAATATCCATCTCCAATTTAGACAAATATTCTTCATCTTCTGATAGAAATTTCAGTGGCTATGCATTCAGCTTGTCTTTTTTTATATTTGCGATGTCCGTACAGGCAAACATTCCTACCTTATACACCAATCTAAAATATAAAACGAAAGTTAGTCTTTTAAAAATTGCGTCTTTGGCGTCATTTGTTGGATTTGTTGTGTATGGACTAGCAGGATATTTAGGAAATAAATTTACAGCTGGTACTATTGGTACTAATGATATTATTACGTTTTTTTTAGATAACAATTCATCACTAAATTTATATCTGAGAAATAATAATGATCTTGGCTTTTTTTGGTCTAAGTTTTTAGAAATATTAACTCAATATCAAAGCTTATGTTCCGTATTGCTTTTAATAGTCGGGTTTCCTTTACAACTTGCGCCGGCAGCAAGATTTTTAAAAGAATATGTACTCTTTAATGATACCAATCCCTCTAGTATACATAATATAACTATAATTGCACTAATGAGTTTTGTTACAGTTATTAACTTAATCCCAAATTTGTCTCTAAATCTGATTTTTAGTTTATATGGTCCAATGGTTGAAGGTTTTCTATGTTTTTTATTCCCATTATTACTTTATATTTGTTATTCAGAAAACAAGTTACTCTATAAAAAAATTTTAGCTGGTATAGTTATTTTTTTAAGTATTGTTTATTCTATATTTGGCGTTACTGGAGCTATTGTTAACGAAATAAACCATTTACATGCTGTGGTAGAAGAATCGAATCATACTATTGAACAAACTACAATCGCAAACTAACTTTTTATTAATAAAATTTTTTTATTAATTTTGAAAAAAAAATATCTAAATATTAACTTTTTCTTAGACAAAAAACATAAAGTTTTGAAAACAAAAAACATATTTTTTTATTGTTTCTAATTATTTAAATTAATTTAATGTACTTTAAAAATTTTTAACTTTAAGAGGTAAAAATAATTTAATTCTTTTTAAAATTGTTGGTACAAAAAAAGGATATTTTTTTAGGAATATTATGTTTTCTTTTTAGCTAATCTATAAAGTAAAGTAGTTTAAAATGGATAAATATATAAAATAAGTAAATTTACTTAGAATCTTTATATTTGCGGTTTTTTTAAACTTAAATTCTTTTATAAAATAATCTAAAAGATAAAAACAATTTATAACTTTAGATATAAATAGTAAATATGTCCTTAGATTAACAAAATTAACTAAGCAAACATTAAAAATTTTATCTATGTCACAGTTTATTAAAATTCAATGATCTAAATAACCTACAAAGGTTTTTTAAAAATATATTTTACAGCCGTTTTCCCATAGTTATGCATAATATTTAATGCAATATATATAAAGAAGCTTATTTTTTGTTAAGCTTTACCACAAATACATCTTTTATTGCATTCCATATTTTTTATGGGGTTGATGTGTACATTATAGTTATAATTATATATTTTTTTTTAAGTGTTAAAAAGTCTTTTTGAATATAAGTTTTAATTGTATTATTAATAAGCTCTTTAGCAGTCATATTATTTATATGGCTTTATCTACATCCCAAAATTACAATTAATGTTTAAATTTCTGGTTTTAGCTGGTCTTAAAAAAAAAAATAATTTTTCCGTCCAAGCTCTATAAAACATCCATAGACCACCGACGTTTTCCTATGTATATATTTTTTTTATATTAATTTTCATTGATTTTAATCCTAATTTTTCCTATTTATGCCTTTAAGATATAATTTAAATTTTTATCCAATTAATAAATTATATCTGAAATTTTGTTTCTTGTAAATCTGTGTGTAATTTTACTTGTTTTAGACAAAAAATATTAATAAATCTGCAACCTTTAGAAATGTTGCAAATAAAATCTTTCATTTAAAATCATGCTTTTATTTATATTGATCTATACTTTTAAATATAACAATAGTATACAATCATTGTCTTGTATATAACCAAATTTATATATTTCTAATAACTTTAAATACTAGTAATTTTTTTTTGTTCTTTTTCCGTATACAATGCAACTTGAAAAAATTTAAAATAGAGGTTAAAAAAAAGGTTTATTTTTGTTGAAATTTAAAAAGAAAAGAAAGTAATAACATTTTTGTACAATTAATTTGTTGTCACTTTGAAACTTAAATAGTAAAAATATAAACATTATTTTTTTGTATTAAAAATTATATTTACATTTAATTATAAATTTGTGTTTTTTGTATCAAAAATTATTTTTTTAAAATGTTATATTAGATTCTTACTTATTAAATTTAATGTTTTTTTGTAATTTCATTTTGAAATTTCTTCTTCGACAGTTGTATTGATTAAATGCCTGAAATGGTACATTAAAGAGTTAAAACTATAAAAAAGAAAATAAAAATCCTGTTATATCAAAAAAATAGATAATTATCATGCAAGACAACAAATAGTAAAATGCAGTATCAATGTAGGTGCAATTTAAGTTATTTTACAATAGAATTCAATAATATTAAAATAAAGTGCAGGTTTTTTTCTTAATTAAGTACTTTTTAAACAAATATGTAACTTAATAAATATTAATTTTTATTTTAAAATTGCATACTTGTGTTTGTTAAAAAATATTTGCTTATTAATTTTTTAATAAAAATTACTTTATTTTGGTAATTCTAAAAAATAGTCTTAAAAAAAAGATATAATTTTTTTTTTAAATTTAAATCAATATCCAATTTTTTTTCTAAATCCCTTATCTGCATTTTTACAATTTGTTGAAAAATGCTACAAAGATATGACAACCTAGAATCAAAAAGGTAAAAATAAGAATCATATACATGATATAGGTCTAATGCTTGCAAATTATCATATCCTTTAGTTTCATGTATTTTTGTCCAGTGTTTTTTAAAATCATTGGCTACATTTGAATCTTCGACTTTAGTTAAGTTAGTTTCAAGGTAGTAAAGAAATTTGTACAAATCTAATGTTTGTATTCCTTTGTGATAATTTACGGCAGGGAAAAACAAAAATGATTTTTCGATCTGATTTAAAAGCTTCGCATTTTCGGTAAGCCTGGGAAGATTTTTCATTTTTGCTTTTGTTTTTAATTTTCGTTCATTTTTTTGCTGTATTTTTTCACAAATAGCATAAAAAATTTTCCGAAATGCACAATATATTTTTAGAAAACTTTTATTTCTAATGTCATTGCTATCAGCATTTTTTAAAGCTTTGATAAACTTGTTTTTGTTTTTATTATAAATTGTATTAAATACTATTTTATAATGTTGAAAAGTTAGTTTAAAATGCTTGTTCCGTTTCAACTTTCTGATTAAGTTGCGCGATGTTATTTTATTTTTAGAACAATCTATACTTTTATTGTATAAATTAAAAAATACACTAAAATTTTCCTTAGATTGCTCAAGTAAAGCCGTGACTGAATATTCTCTACATTTAACAAATTTTTCAAAATTTTCAAAAACTGTCTGGCCGTCCCAAATTTTTATGTTATTAAATATATCTTTTATATAAGCCAATTCACAACATTGTTTTCCATCTTCGATCGGATTAATTTGCCTTGATTGTATTACAAAAATTGACAATCTTGCAAATGTATAAATCATATGGGTCCGAAAAAAAATTTTATTTATGTTATAAATTAATATTTTTTAATTTAAATTTAATTTTCATTTAAATATGTTTGCAGAAACAAATTTGTTGAAAATAGATATTTTTATACTTTAATTTTCCTATAATTGCATTTTTTTATTAAAATTATCATTAATTTACAAATTTTTTATTTATAATTTTATTTTGTTTATTTTATAATTTACAATTTTTAAATATAGAAAATTTAAAACACAATAAAAATATTTTATTTTAAGCTTATATTTTTTATATATTATCATTTTTAAAGTCCTATAACCAATAGATTAATTAAAGTACATGTTTTTTATAATTACTAAAAAAGGCAATTTTTAAATATTTATCGCAGCTACCATAATGTACAAGAATATTAAATTTTTAAAAATCAATTCTGTAAAACAAATCTATTCAATGCTATATTATAAAAATGGAATTTAAATCAAATGTTATTTATATATAAAAATAAATTTAACTTTTAATTATGGAAGGTTCTGACATGGAGGCAATACAAAAATACGAGTCGACTAAAGGAAATTTCAGTAAAGAGGCTAAAAATATAATTGAATGATTTAGATATTATTAGGTACACATTGATACTTGAAAAGGTTGAGAAGTCGCGATGTAAGAGAGAATTATTAAAAGAGGATCAGATGCATTTAAACTTTTCATTGTAACAAATTTAAGGATTGATGAGGAGAAATAGAATTAAGAATAAAACAAGAGGAAAATCAAAAAAAATAGAAGGGAATGAGATGTTGAAAAAGAATGTTTAAGTTGTTAGAAATACATTTAAAGAAAGTAATAGCAAGGTAAATAATAGTAATTTTAAATATTTTTATTGATAAAGGTGACCATATCTCTAGAAATTGTTATAGTAGAAAAGCTAAGAATCGATATTTTGATAAAGACAGTTCTAAATATTTTTTGGTGTTAATAATGATTTTCTTGATTCAAATTCTGAGAAAAAGTGTATTACTACGAAGTCAAGAGGTAGATTTAAAATTGATAAACAAACGAAAAAGTTAAAACGAATAGGAGAAATCAAGAGGTATAAGCTTAACATTGAAAAAATTCGAGATAAGTATAAATAAGTTTTGGACGTTAAAGGACAGATAAGTTTTTGCAAAGTTGAAAAATATAAGATCATTACAGAACCAGGAAAGAAAGTAATAAAAAGGAAACAAATAGCTTCACAAGCGCTAATAAAGAGAACGAATAAACATTTAAAGAAAGCAGGAAAGTAATAAGAAAGTTGAAATCAGAATGGCGCAATTATATAAGAGCATTAGAAAAACCAAACGGAGATATCAGATTAGTTAGTAATTGATGGCTTTGAATAGTACTATTGAAAAAGACGAATATAGACTTGTAAATATACGGGATATTAAACAAGTTACGCAAGGAGCCAAAGTAATGTCGATTTTTGATCTAAAAAAAGGGTTTTACGGCATAGAAATTGCAGAGAAAGACAAATATAAAACTGCTTTTGAATTTAATAGTAGAGTTTATGGGTGCTATTCCATCTTTCCACCTTCCTCCGAATAACTACGTACAGAATTTTTTAAAATGAACGTAGTTATTCGGAGGGTGTAAAAAATAGTTTAGCGCCCTTTACTTTATAATAATAACTTTAACAACTTAACCGACATCTATGTATTAAAGATTTATGAACTTCTTAATTTTGCGAGACGAATAAGTAAATTTGTATATTTTTTATATTTAAAATAAGTACAAAAAGACATGATTTGAAAAAAAAGGTTTAATTAAATTTTTTAATTTGTAGCGATAATTAACTATATTAATTATGTGTAATATTTTGTAAATCTTACACGCGAAATAAAGTTGTTTTTAACATTTAATATAAATTTTATGATTTTTAAGATCTAATGATAAAAGACTCTAGTTGTACAAATTTAAAATTTTTATCACACTGCTGTATCAACTACATATGATAGAACATTAAAAACAAGGTTAAACTGTTATATCATCATAACATTTGTTCAACACTTTTTCATTAAACATTTTTTTTATGTTAGAATTTCTTTTATGCCTTTTTTCCTGATCTTGTGTTAGATCAAAACATGAACCTGGCTTCTATATTAAAATTTCCTAATTCTAATTATGTCTTATTAAAATGCTTTAACATATTTACAACTATGAAACATGGTAAAACATTTTTCATCTTTTAATAACAGTTCTCAACAACATTTATACTTATTCTTTTAAAAAAAGAGGAATTTTATTATATTTTGTAGACAAAAGTTAATTTGAACTAATATTAAATTTTTTAAATTGATTTGTGTGAGACAAATTAACAACGATATATTATTTAAAATTAAAAGCTGGATAAGCTTTACTAAAAGTTCTAGTTGTCTATTTTGGAAGGTACTTCAAAAGTTTAGGTGTAATGGTATTATTTCATTAAATTGTGGCATGCAATGCTTTTTCAAATTGTTACGAAAGCATGGAAAGTTGCACACTCAAAATCCTATGCAGTACAAATATTTCAAGAGCAAAACTTAATGTTGGTGTGACTTTTAATTCTTCATTTTATAAATATATTTAATTTATAAATTTTTATTACCTGTGCAAATTTTGTAGATTTTTACACATCAGTAACCAGATTGTAAAAATTAACAGACTTATGGATCCTAGGTCGTAATGGTGCTTGCTCCGAATATAAATACTGAACAGGCTAGGCTGTTAAAAGAATAAGAATTGTTGAAAGGCATATTTATTTTAAATAAATTTCTTTTTGTAGTTTTAGCTCCTTAATCGGATCCAATAGCTTCCAAAATATTAATAACGATGTAGCGGAACCAATCATTTGCTTAGATGCTACCAATAGAAATCCCTCTTATAAAATCTTAATTGCTATTGGTGGTTGTGTGCACAACACGGACAATCTCAAATCTTGCAAAGAATAACTTTTTAATAAAATAAAATATTTATTTCATAAAAAACTGGTATTTAATTAAAAATATTTCATAATGGTAAATATCTTTAAGAATATTATAAATTACTATTTTATATAATTCTAATATGACAAAAAATTGAGTATTATACAAAATTTACTTTCACAGTTTTTACAAATTTTTATGTGTTGGATATTTATTTAATTAAAATTTTTTATTTATTTTCTTAAGAAAAGAAAACAGTAGCTAAAATCATATAGTTTCTATAAAATACTTTGTAAATTATTAAATTTAAATGCAAATATTTTGAACAATTTTCAAAAAATTATATAATTTTTTTGCTTTTTTTTAAAAGCAAACATTTATCAAAAAATTTAAATACAAAAATTTCTTTACAAAAAATTAATTAGTCACATATTTTTAAAAAATTTGCATTTAATAAAAAAAATATTTCCCCATAATATGGTAAATTGCATTGTACTTTTTTTAAAATCATGTTTTTGTATGGATGTTAAAAATAATACTTTGAGATTTAATAATAATAACAATAATTGCATTGATAAAAGTATTGATTCAATACATCAGATAAAGTCAACTTTAAAAAAACCAAATATTACAAATTTCATAGGTCTGAGTAATATTAAAACAACAAACGACAGAAAAAAGCCAATTGCAAGAAACAAAAAGAAAGTTACTTTTTTAGATGAATTAAATGCTGAATTAATAAATCAAGATACTAAAGAAAATATGAAAAATCCACTTAAAAAAAGCAAAAAGAAAGTCACTTTCTCAGATGAATGTAGTGTTAAAATATTTTATATAAATAATAATAAAGAGGATAATGATGACACTAAAGATAATACTATTTTCAGTATAAAAATTAAAAACCTTAACCTTAAACAAAATAAAGCCCTTGATTGTAGTACAGATAATTTTGATGTAAAACAAATGACTACTAATGAAGTCATTTCAAAGTCTTGTTTAATAAAAAATAAGTTAGAAGGTCAACAAACCTCAAAAGATAAATTGACACTTGAAATTGCTAACTCTTCAACAATACCAAGTCTTAATATGAAAAACAGATACAAATGTCCTTTTTTAAACGAATCTCAATTTTATAACTTGTTTAATGATAATTTTTATAAATTTGTTAAAGATTGCCCACTTCTTCTTCATTTAATTTTTATAGCTGAAAAAAATTATTTTTTCATTGACAAAGAATTTGGGCGAATAGTCAACAAAATATTTGAATCTGCCATTTTGTATGTGAAGTCTCATAAAAGTGAAGATTTAACAAATGCAAGTAATAAAATGATGTCTAAGATTTTGTGTGCTTTACGCATTTTCAATACACAAAATTTTACAAATTCAAGTTTAAACGAAAAAAAGAATGAAACTTTTATTAATTTTGCTGGATCCTTTGAACTTCGAAAAAGCCTAGAAATTATCACTACGAAGTTGCTTTATAACGAAATATTTCAAGGATATAATTTGACATATTTTCTTACTATCTACTATGGAAAAAGATTTACTTTTGATGATCAAAATTTGCCATCAACTTCAGATCTAAACATTTTTATTAATGATCACTTATTTTTATGTAAAACTATATTTCTTTATTTATTAAATCCTTGCAGTTTTGATAAAGATATGATTGTGCACCTAAAAAAACAACAACAAGTATTTTATATGAAGAAGAAAAGACACCCTTCATTAGCGCGCTATTATCTTAACATAGATAATCTTATCGAATTATTTAAATAAATTATTTTTTAAAAAATAAAAGTTTAAAGCCAAAATTATTTCAAAAAAAGCATGCATGATTTTTGATGAAGTTTTTAAGTACAAAATCAACATTAGTTTTTGCAAAACGATTGATTTTTAAAATTATAAATATGGGCTAAAGTGTACTTTAGTTCCCCACATTTTAGCTTGCCGTTTAAAATTTTTTAACCCCAAAAAAACAAAATCAAAATAAAGAATGATTTTGAATAAGTTGAAAATATTCTACATATTACACTCAAAAATTGTAAAAGAACACTTTTATAGGTTTTGTTTAGGCAACTTATCATTTAGGAAGAATTTTTTAACATGGTGAGATTTACTAGGCGGGGTTGCAGAAAAAAAATTCTTTAATTAAAAACAAACCTTTTTTTAATGCAAGATCTTTTGGCTACATATAACACAAGTAATTTTTATACATTAATAATGCTAATTGTAAGATTATAAGCTTTTTGGGATGTTTAGGCAAGAAAAGTATAGGCCCTATTATAAAAAACAGGAAAATGTATTTCTGGTAATATTTAAATAGGTTGCCTTGGCGTGGTAGTGGAAATAGGATAATCCAAATTTGGCAAACGTAAGTACCACCGAGGCCATGGGGTAGAAGAAGTTTGGGTATTAGGTATGATAGAACGGTTACCGGCAAGGCGCATAGTCTTATTGAAATTAGAAAAAATAGAAAATCAGAAACATTAATAAGTTTAATTAAAAAATTTGTACTTCCTTGCAGTATTATTTATACAGATTGTTGGAAGGGTTATTGCAATCTGCATAAAAAAAGTTATTTACACCGCACGGTTAATCATAGTATTAATTTTGTAGACAATACTACAGATTTCAACTAGTACGATAGAGGGACATTGGCCGGTGTTAAGACGAAAGTGCCTATTATATATCATAATAAGTGAGATATAGCTATTTTTTAGAGCTTTTTGCATTTAAAAGGAACAATCAACCTGAGTATTTAAAAGCCAATAAAAATTATTAAAAAATAACTATTTATGTTTATTTCTACAAAAAATTATAATTTTAATTTGCTTTTAATTACAAAAACATGTACTCTCTGTTCATGTTTTTACGCTCTTAATTTATTCTGATTTTGTTTTTTGAAGTTACAAAATTTTAAACGGCAAGCTAAAATATGAGTAACTAAAGTACTCGAGCTCCTAAATATTTTAAACTAAAAAAATAAATGTGTAATCTTATAATTTACTAAGTTTGAACGTTTTAATTTATTTTTCTTAAATTTTTATAATTATTAAAAAATGTTTCTAATAATTACATCAGTGATAAATAAAAATAAAATTTTAAGTTAAAGATTTAAAAATTAAACTTATATATAGTGTCTAAGGGGAATACTGTTGCGATTTAGTAATCAGTATAAGTTAATTATTTTTTAAATTACTAAATTAACTTTTCTTTTTTAAGCAAAAAATGCAAATTAAAAAAGTTGATTTTTTTATTTATAGACAATATCAATATTTTAAATAAATCTTTTAGTTTTGACTTGGCACTTTTATTTTACTTAAGATAAATATCAACAGATCAAATTCCATCATCTTCCGTTTAAAATGTTAAAGCTAGTAATGGAAATAATTAAGACATGAATAAATTCTAATATATAATAATTATACATTTTTATATAAATACTGATTAAATTTTCTTATATTATCATTTTTAAATAAATTAAAATTTGCTGAAAATACATTTGATTGTATAATTAAAATTTTATTGGTGTATTTTCCATTTTTAGTAAATATTTAATTAACCAACAAATTTTTTACAAATGTCAAATATTTTATAAAAAATTTAACAAAAACTTTAAAGCATATAGTTCTTTTGGTTTCTTTTTTAGGTACCAATAGTTTGTTTTACCCCTTTTTGACATTTGTTTAAATTAAATTTTAAATTCACCCCCATGAAAATAGAACTAACCTCAAGAGACAAAAGATATAAGTTTTATACTGAAATTAATAATATATTAACAGTTAATGATATTAAAGAATATCTTAGTAATAGTTTGGATGTAAAAAAGCAGAATATATTTGTTTACAATAACGATTTTCTTTTAGAAGAGACTGTAGATCTTTCACGTTTTAGTTCTTTGAACTTGACTTTTGATATTGACATAAAAAATTATGGAGTTATAGATGATGATGTTATTGTAGAAGATATTGATACTACAAAGAATACAAAAGATAGAATAAATTTTGTGAGTCAAAACAAAAAAGGTAACACTACAAGAATTAAATTTCCAGGAACCAATAATGTAATTACTGTAGATTCCAATAGATTAGTTACAGTGGGAGAGAAAACTTATCTTCTAAGAAATAATACAAAAATGTTTGATTATAAAAAGATTATAAAGTATATTTTAAGTATTAAAATTACCAAAGATGATCTTTTTAAGGTACTTGCCTTTGGTGTTTTAATATTTACAAATAACGTTGAAATACTGTACATCCTTAGTGTAATATTCTTCATGCAACTTTTAAGTAAAACATTTATTAAACATAATAGCAAATATTCCGAATCATTGGGCTTATTTAATAGGACAATAATGATGTATATTGTTTCCATGTTTATGATAGATCATAGTAGATTTTAAATAAATGTTTTTAAAATTTTTAAAGCTATATTGGTTACAATTTTTAGGTTAAAGATAAAAAATAAAGTTTTTAGCAAATGCATGTAATCCCGTGTTTTAAATATAAAGTATAATTTCTTTAAAAATGTTAATTTATGAACTTAAATTTAATAAGTAAATTTTAAAATATCTAGTAAGACAATAAAACTTAGAAAACTTTTTATTAAATATAACATTTTATTACATTGCTTTTTCTTTATAATCAGATAATTTCAACAGTGCATCGATTAATTGTACAATATGAAAGATCATTTTCATAACAGTACAATAATATGTAAATCTGTAGATTATACCAAATTTATACTCAGAAAGTGTGTGTATAAAAAAGCATTCAGAAAAAAAACATATTAAACATAGAAAAGGCTTGTAATAATACACTTTTAGAATTATATTATTAGCATTTTTATGATGAACATTATCCAATGAAGATATGTAGAAATGTGTGAAGTGTGAAAAGAGGTCTATCAAAACATAAAGACTTATAAATTTTTGCATTTGTTTTTTTTCTTTCATGATCCTTAAAGAAATTATTACAGTTGAGATACGGTCAGTAAACATATCTAAACATGCACCAAGTACAGATTCTTGATTAAACATTCGTGCCAGATACCCATCTAAAAAGTCTAAAGAGGAAGAGATGGCATACAACGTTAAGAATAATTTGGTGTCTTGAAATATTCCAATGACTAGCAGGAGTAATCTTATGTACCCTACCAAATTAGGAATATTTAAAAGAACAGATACATTCATTTTAAGGGTAAAATAAATAAAATATTGTATACAATTTTAAATTATTTTTGTAAAAAAAATATACTTGAAATTATTAATATAAAAAAATATTTATCCGAAACAGCAACATTTATTGACGAAAAGAAAGTTAACGAAAGAACTTGGGGTCCTAGTTTCTGATGTAAAACATAAGAAAATAAAAACAAGGAATGTTATTAAATAAATTTTGATTTTAAAAATAATATACAACTCAATGTTCCAAGATATTAATTAAAAAAGCTTATTCTTTTTTACACCAAAGTAATCAGATTCTTTAAAACTTTTGTTAACTTACTTTCCATCAGTTTAACGTTGCTAATGTCGCTTTGCTTTCTTAAAATCCCCTTCAATAGTCCAAAAAAGTACTTCTCAATTGTTTCTTAAGTATCCAAGTTAAAATGCAGGCTTCCGAACGAGGATAAAATCTCATTTTTTTGAGTAATGTTTATGATATAAGGTTTTAAGCCCATTTATATCAGAATAAACGGAATTATTTCTGTTCTGCATTTGTACATTACACTGTTAATATATTTAAATATGTAAATTTGACCATTTGTATGTTATTTAAATATTTTACATTATTAAAAATATGCGTTTAAATTTTTATCCAACATTTTATATAAGAAAATTTTTAACACAGTTTTCAATTTTAAAATTAAAAGTGTTGTTATTTAAAGTATGTTTATTAGAAAAAATATTTTATATAAAAATTACATTATAAATGTAAACATTTCAACTATCTCATAATAATGATTTGTGGGTTATTTGACGCGAAGAGTAGCACACAACAAAGGAAAAGCCTGCGTTAATCAATAAATGTAATTAGCTGCTTGGCTATTGGTTTTCAATTCTCTTTGACATAAATCTTACAAAACATTTACTAATAATTTCCTTATTCTACATCTAAAGATATAGTTCTTTAATTAAATGTCACGAGTCATAACCGTGCAAAGCGTTTTACTTACAACCTTTACTATATTTAAATTTTGTAACCTTACAAACTTCTGTCTTAAAATTCCTATACAATCTTTAACACAAAATCAAATCCGAAATATTTTTGCATGTAACAAGGTAATATCCGCTGTGATACTTGCTAAGTATGTTTTAAAAAGAATTTTTAATGACAATTCTACAAACAGAGTTTGTTGAATAAAGGAGGGCTGTAAAAGATTCTGTTTCTGCAATATTTTTAAGACCAAAAAAATCTAAAATTTTTAAAATTTAATCTATTTTTTTAATTTGTAGTTTAAATTAAAAAATCTTATTTGAAATTGATTAATACTGATCATGGATAAAAATTGAGATGTTATATATGACAAAAGTAATAAAAAAATACAAAAGCTTTTTTTTAGGATAAATACCACATTTCAATAATTTCTTTAAACCTGTAAATAAAAATTATTTACTTTTGATTAAATACGAAATTTAATTAGCACGACTTTGTCATACAAATGGTTTTAAATTTTAATTACGGCAATGCCTATATAAAGCGATAAAAATATTTTGCATCTAATTACACAACATAATTATTTTAAACCTTGTAAATTAGAATGCCTAAAATTACTTTTTACAGCTAAAAAAGAATCTACATAGATCGAATTTTGTGCGGCTCGGGCACAAGCTGGGCTCGCCGACATATTGCCTCAGTAAACTTCTCTGGTGTTATAAATACGACTGTTTAATTTTACAACATTATATTCATAATAATAAAAAAAATTGGCGTATTCCTTTTAGCCAACACTTTAAATAAGGTAAAAAAATTTTTACATAAGGTGGTTAAAGTCAAACTATCCCTATTTTTAACATGTCTTAATACAATTCTATTATTAATTTTGTTAACAGCACCTACAATCCAAACACCTATTTTAATGGCATTTATTTTACTTCTCTTGCCAGAATGGCACCATCGGTTCCAACTTTAACATTAGTATAGTCTATTTAATAAAGTTATTTAGTTATACAATTAATCTGTTGCATTATCGTAACTTTCCTAGATTTAAAACACTAGAAATTTTATCCCTTGCAATGTAGGCAATAAGGTTTAATTTATATTTTAAGCCATATATTTATTATTTGATTATAATAATAATAGAAAGTGAAGAATGTAAAGAAAAGTTTTTTTACAAGAAAAAAAAAATTAAGCCTGCGTTTAAGCCAATTTGCCAAATTTAACCAATTAATAAAATTTTCTATCATTATAGTAATTTTTAAATTTAAGAGATATTTTTTGGTATTACGCTTTTTTTAAATTTAATCATTTTGAAAGTAAGAAATTCAAATTGTGATAGTATCAAAAAAATACGAAATAGGCCAAATTGACTTAAAATTTGTAATTTAATTTATTTTAGTCTGTTTAGATTTTTCTGTGAAACTCTTGTTTTTTTCAACCAATTCTTCAATCAAACTATATTTTACTTTTTGATTTTAATATAACTAGTTTTATGTTTTTTAGCAAAACTTTAATTTATTTTAGATCAATTTTCAATGTGTTAACATTGTCTTAAGTTATTAGAAAAATATGTAAGTTATGTGTAGCACTAGATTTTAAAACATTTGTTGACAGGATACTTCTTATTATATTTGTAAATATTATAAAGAATTTTTTAATTATTATTTATCAATTTTTTTACATTAACTTTAGTAATTAATTTTATACTGTGATAATGCTATTTGTTTTTATCTTATAAATTTTATTTAATGAAAATACTAAAAATTAATTAATTTTTCCTAATGTTTTAAAAAGCTTTATTTTTTGCCCAAATGAATTTAAATGTTTTAATATATTTAATTAGTATTTCAACAACACAAGACAACAACGATATACTTCTAAAAAATTTAGAAAAATTGTACAACTTTATACGATGGGAAATAAATATGGTAAAAGCGGAAGATTATCATTCAAACGGTATGTCTAATGTAGTTAGAATCGCGAAAGTTTTTATTTCTATATTAATTAAACCAAGAAAAGCCAACAGCTCAATAATAAAACAAAAGTTAGAGTTTTTGAATAAAACAGCTTGTAGATTTATAAAAAAATCAAGATGTTTGAATCTTGATAATATAAGAAAAAGGAATACTTTTATAGAAGCTATTATAACTCATGAAGACTTTAATATGTTTACGGTTGTTAATTTTTTAAGTGATGCGATTATTACAATTTCTCTACTGGAAAAAAGTTTAAAAAAATTTTTAAAAATAATTGAAGATTCAAATTATAAATTTGAATATAAAGATCTTTATTTTAGAAATAATTGCCATTTAGATCTACTTAAATTACTATTTCAACAACAATTTTCAATTTTTTTAAAAAGAAATACAACAATTTCTAAAAGTATTAAAAAAATTTAATTGCTTGTCATTTTATTAAAATTTAATTGTTAATCAACTTTTAGTATGCCAAGAAACTGCACTAAATAAAATAAACAATCAATTAACTTGTTCCTTCATGTTTTTTTGTTTTAATTTTTAAAGTACTTTTAAATATCAAAAACATATTTAAAGTAAAAGATTTTTTTATATAAACTAATAAATTATTTGTTTAAGATATTTATAGTCAAGAATTCAAAAGATTTTGTGTACAATTTATAAAACAAAAAAAGTTTTATTTTTTTACAAAATTGCTTATAAATTTTTAATATGCTGTAAAAACAGACTAAATAAATTTCTAGTTATAGATCGTTTATAAGCTTAAATAGAATATCAAATACTTTACATTTCGTATTCAATACCAAAAATTTCATCTTTTTCTTTACACTCAAACTCACTAGAAGAAAAAATTGTTATCCACTCAGATCTATTTTTAATTAAATCTAACAAGCAACAAATAACTTCTTCTTTTGGTAATGTTTGTAAATGTTCAAAGTTTAAAATATTTTTTACTGGTATTTTAGAAAGATTATCTGCTATTACTTCTAAAACATCAATAACATCTTCTTGTTCATTGAATTCAAAGTTAATTTCATTCTGATCTACTAATCCTTTTAATTTTGAACTTAAAATTTTATAATTTAAAAAATATTTTTCAATTTCTTCAACTACTAAATCGGGATTAAAAAACCCACGACTAGTTAAAAAAACTGATATATTTAGCAATCCATAATATTTTACTGAACTAATAGAAACATTAACGTCATATCCCAAACCTTGATCTTTCAAAAGTTTTATAAGGCCTTTATCTTCCTTTAGTAAATCTTTAATCAATACGTCAAATGCAATCTTTGAAATGTATGGATGTAAAGTTTTAATGTAAATATCCAATCGTTTTACATCTCTAATACTTTTCAACCGTAAAAGCTTATTTAGACATTCTTGTTTAAAAACTTTCGAATCTAAAGTATAATTACTATATGAATTGTACCAATTACTTTTCATAACATTTTCAATGTATTCATTGTACAATTTACAAGGGGAGTTAATCATCACTTCTGTATTGGCTGCTGAAGAACTACATGGTACATTATTAAAAACTTCAATTAATTTTTCAATATCATCCATAGATTTATTGCAATATACAACAGCTACCATCCTGTCGCCGAAATACGTATTTTTATAAAAATCAATCACTCTTTTTCGAATGTCTTCAAATTTAAGTGTTTCGTTGTTTCCAATACTAAATCGACTTTCTTCTAAATGATTTTGATAACAAAGTTGTAATAATCTATTTCTTCTACTATCATCATTACTGACATTTCCTAAAAATTCAGAATTTACTGCTGATTTTTCACGCTCAACAGAATTTTCCTTAAATAACGAAGAAATAAAAAAATGCGCAAATCTATCTAACGCTCCTTCAAAATATTTATTACTAACATCAAAATAAAATACAGTCGTCTCATTACTTGTATAAGCATTACTACTTCCATTATGCATATTGAGATAAGCCATATAATCATTTTCGTCTGGATATTTCTCTGTCCCCATAAACAAAAGATGTTCTAAAAAGTGAGCTAGTCCATTGACACCAAATGGCTCGTCAAAAGATCCAACGTTCACGCATAACGAACATCCTGATTGATCAGCATCAGAATCTGATACAAGCAACATCTTTAGCCGGTTTTTCAATACAACAAACTTGTATTCATTTGTATCCACACTACTCTTAATTATGTCACTAGTACAATATAAATAATTATTATTTTCCATTTTAGGGGTACTTTTTTTTACCCTATGGTCGATAAAAAAAGAAAAAGTAAAAGATTGAGTACAAGAAAAAAAAATAAAATAGTAAAAAAGATAAGAAAACAAGAAAAAGATAGACGTAGAGAAGCCAGAATGAAAAGAAAAAGCAAAGCCAAAATTCCAAAACATATTCTTATGACTGATGAAGATGTACAAAAGATGAATGATATTAAAAATAATGAACGTAATCGTAAAGATATAGTAATTGATTTAGAGGACCCTTTTGAAAAATTTATTAAAAATAACGATTTTTTTATTTTAGTCTTAGATCCAAGAGATACGTTTAGTCTTCCAGATTTTACAATTTTTCAATCTAAACCATTTTGTATTGTTTTGAATTATAAAAATGATATCCCGTTAAATTTTTTATTTAAATTGTATGAAAATGCCAAGAAAAGTTACAATACATTTATTGTAGCCAAGGACATAGCTACTGAAAGCCTTAAGTCTATACACAATGATTTTATATCTTTTGTAAACGACTTTTCAGGATCAATAGGCATCTTAGGCGAACATCATGTGGGTAAAAATTTTGTTAAGACGTTTATTCCAGAAAGCAATATTTTTACAATTGAATCCAAACAATCTCTTAGTAGTTTATTAAGAAAATGCTTACCTATGAGAAAGGTTCTTTACAAAGATTTATTAAAATCTCTTGTTGAAACACAAGACTTTAAAGAAAAGTTAAGTTTATACTTTGCCATTCCCCTTTACGACACTTTTAATGATTTTGTTGAGTTGGTCGCGGAAAAAAAAATGATTCGCAAGAATAAGGAATTTAGTGTGTCAAAGATTTTACTGGACGAATTTTATGAAAAAAGAATTTTATTTTTTTACGACATAAATAACATTTTACAAATTTCTTTTAATAAATAAAATTACTTTTTATATAGTTTTTTATGATGATATTTTTTCTCTTTTAGTTTTTCTTTTAATTGAATTTTATTTATTCGAAGAGCTGTACAGAGTTCTTTCAGTTCTGTGTACTCATCAAGAAGATTGTATAATATTTCATGTGGCTCTATGTTTTTTTCATCCATAAGTAGGGTAAAAGCTAAGTAAAGATTTATAATAAAAGATATTAATCTTAAGAAAAAAAAATATTAAAAGTGTAAATTTCTAGTATTTGTGAAGTTATTAATATTATGATGTTGTTTATAGTAAATACTGAGAGATTAAAATATTCTTATTAATATCATACATTAATTTAATAAAAAACTGAAAAATAATTCAATGTATAGTAATATAAAAAGGCGAGTTAATTTTTAGCATTTAATTATAAAATGTGTAAGTAAATTTATCCGTTATTTTACTTCAAAATTTAAAAAATAATAAATTTAAAAGTAATTTTACTATCAATTTTCCATTTATTCCAATATCATTATATAAAAAATTTCAATAACAAGAAAATAAATAAATGCCAAGTTGATAAATTTGGTCTTAAATGCTACAAGTAGATTACTAACTAAAATAATATAATTACAAAATGCATATAGTGTTATGCATTTTTGATTAATTTTGTTTTTATCTTTTTAGTTTGAAGTAAAAAAATTGCATTCAGATGCTATTTAAAAAACCCAATTCATTTTTATGTAAAAAAACCATCAATTTTATGTTTATTTTTTATATTAAAACAGTAACAGAAAAATTAATTTTTTGAACTTTTATTTAAATAACACAATTTCTCAAAAAAACTGCCTCTGCTACGTTCGATAAAATGGTAAATTTTGAGGTAAAGTAGCTTTAGGTTCATTGCTAAAATATTCGTCCATTAGCGCGTCGTACGCAGAAATTCTTTGACTAGGATCAAAAATAAAAAATTTTTTTAGTAAAGAAAGCGTATCTTTAGATACGGCTGTAAAGATTTCTTCAAGTACAATAGGCTCCTTTTTATTAAACTTTATATAACCCGATAAATCTTTTATACTAGGATACTTATCTTCATCAGGTGTACCAAATACTTTAAATATCAAGTTTAATTGCTCTAAATCCGATTCACCAGCAAAAAACGGAACTCTTAACATTAGTTCTGCAAATACGCATCCTACAGACCACATATCAACAGAAGGTCCATACTTTTTAGACCCCAACAAAAGTTCTGGCGGTCTGTACCATCTAGTAATTGCTTGTGATGTCATGTTCCCACCAATCGTTCGTGTCAATCCAAAATCCGCTATTTTTATTATTCCATTTTGCGACACTAAGATGTTATTTGGTTTTATATCTCTATGTATAAGAAATTTTTCATGAAGACTATACACACCACTAAGAAGCATTATCATCCAACTTTTGATGTCACCAGGTAGAAATATTATATTCTTATTCTTAATAATACTTTCTAAATCTGTATCAATAAATTCTAATACTAAATGGATATCATCATATTTTATATAAACATCAATAAGCTTTATAACGTATTTATTGTTGATCTTTTTAAGTGCTCTAACTTCTCTTATCGCTGATATATCAATACCGGTGGAATATTTTGTTTTTTTAATTCTTTTTATGGCGACTGGCTGGTTATTAGTAGTATACGCTTTGTATATTGTAGCGTATGTACCTTCACCAATTTTCTTTTCGTGAACATACATTAAAGGGCATATAAATTTAACATAAAAAAATACAGATAGAAAAAAGAAGTTGAGTCAATCGATAAGCAGGTACTTACTGAAAAACAAGATATATATAATAAGTAAACACACTTATATCCCAAATTAAATTATTTAGTAAAACGAATACAGTAAAATATAAACTTTAAGTTATAAACCTTTTTTTTACCCCCTCATGGAAGAAGTACTATCTTGGATTTCGGAAATTCTTGGTGAAGACTTTACTGGACAGTCATTCTCTAGTGTTCTTAAAGATGGTACAGTGTTATGTAGACTTTTAAATAAGGTATGTGGATATGACATTAAATTTAAAAAGTCTCCTCAACTTTTTGTACAACGCGAAAATATTTGTGCGTTTATCAACGGATTAAAAAAATATGGAATTAACGAATATGAACTATTTCAGACGATTGATCTATTTGAAGAAAAAAATCTTAAACAGGTTGCTATTTCTCTTTACGCCTTAAGCCGTCAACTTCAACAGAATAAAGAATTTAAAGGACCATTTATTGGGCCAAAATTGGCACAAAAACAAAAAATCGAATTTTCTAAAAAAATATTGGATAAAAGTAAATATGGATTTAATTTACAGATGGGATATGATCCAGTGTATGAAAAAATATGTGAAGAACAATTAAATAATTGCAAGAGTAACAATAAAAATTAAATTAATTTTCAGTTTATTTTTTATGATTTTTTATATAATGCTTGTTAAAATTTACACTCTCAATTGTAAAAAAAATAGATTCATATAAATCTATAGTTTTATATCCTGTGCAATATAAAAATATTTTTTTATTTTTTAAAAATGTAGTACAATATATTTTTATTCTTTTCTCTGGAAATTTCAATTCATTATTTTTATATATTTCTATTTCTCCAGAATAATCTAAAAATAAAAAATTAGTATTGTTATCTTTTATGCATATTCCCACCAGTTCTAATTTTTTATTTTTTGCTAGGTTTAAATCTTTTACTAAAATTTTTGATCTGTTCATCGATCAACAGGATCTAAAATATTAATATTTTTGAATTAATTTTATCCTTCTAGTTTTGTATAAGTTATCCAAGATATATAAATTTCTAATCTGTATTTAAATTCTAAATCTATAGGACATTTTTTTATTTCAATATTTATATTTTTTTTATCTTTAGACAAATAATATCTTGTATTTACATGATACTCCCATTCTAGTCCAAGTTTATAAATGTAATAAATTTTACTTTTTAAGAATAAATTATTACAGTTATTTACTATTAGAACCTTCATTTTGTTTTTATTTATAAGTTTTTTTAAATAATAAATAATTTTTATTATTTTACTATGATTAGCTTCATCTAGTAAACTGCTAAAGTTATCTATTATTAATAATTCTATAGAAATCAGCTTGCACTGTGTTAATATTATTGGTATTTCATCTAAAGATTGAACCAATTTTATATAAATTGTATCATCGGGAGAAGAAAGGCGTTTAATAGGAAAGTTGGTAGTTGTAATGTATAATGTGTAGTATTTTTTACTCTCTTCTATACATACAGAAGTTTTACCTGTGTTAATGTCTCCTACCAGTTCTGTAATGCCAAAATATTTTAGCATAATGCAAGGGAAGGATTATAAACAATTTTTATGATTTGTTGTATAATGTGCTAAAATAAACACTTTTTATACCATTTAACATATAAAAAAGAAAAATTAAATTACTGTTCGAATCAAAGAATACATCATTTCTTTGTTTTTAAGAAGAATATTTTTTACAATGGATTACCTAAAAAAGGAGACCATTAAATTCTGTAAGATGAAAATTATGAAACTATTCACTAAATTTATTTCTATGTGCTTTGAAAGCAAAAATTTAGCCCAAGTAAATAATTAAATGTAAATGTAAAATATTTTACAAAATTAAGAAAATATCATAAAAAAAATGTAAGCTTTATAACAGACCGATAATAAATTTATCATACAAATTATATACTTTATGCATTAAAAGCAATTTACATAATTTATTTAAATTTTGTTTGTTTCTGTTCATTTTTTTAAAAACAACAATAAATTTATTTCCCCAGATTAATGGATTCTTATCAAGAAAGTATTCCTTTTTTACTAATTACTGTAGGTTTAATATCTTTAATAAGTCTTACTGCATATGGATCATGTTACGGCATGACGCTAGCCGCCACTGCTTCTTCACTTTATTCTCAAAAGAAACAGGTATTAACTTATTCTTACATAGCCACAATAATGTCATCCTCAATCTTTTTTCAAGCATTTATTCTAGTAATGATTATAGTTAGTAGAATAGATAAAGATTACTCTCTTGGTGTAGCTGCTGCTCATACAGTATCTTCACTTTTACTAGGAGGAACTGGATATGCTGTAGGTATACTTATGGGAAATATAAGTAAGGATGGTTTTTGTAAACTTTACAAACAACCAAAATTTAGTATTAGTTTTGTATTACTTTATGCTACAGCTGAGGTTATTTTGTTGTTTGCATTTATGGGATCTTTAACGTTGATTTATAGCGGGCTTAAATAAATAAAATTATACTTTAAAAATAATAATTGTATAATACCTTTTAAAAAAAACAATAATAAATTTTCTAATATAAAAATAAATAAGTATTTATATTAAATTAAAGTATAATTATATTTGTAAATACTTATTGATGCACAGCTTTTTGTTTTAAATTTTTAAAGCGAAATTAAAATCTAAAAGTATCTGATGATAGATTTTATGTTTTAAAATTTGAAAAATACAAACAAATGTAAAATCAAAACTTTAACAAATTTTATTGTAGTTTGATAAATCATCTTTGGTTGTAAACATTTCATCTTCTTGAGCCAATTTCTCTTTTATAAATTGTGCCAAAAGAGTTGACTCTTTAAGAAAACTTGGTTTACCAACCAACTGACTTAGTCTTAAAAAAGTTTTTTCTATATCTATATCTTCATTTACATTCAACTGCATACATAAATCATAATACATTCTTAATATCCCCAGGTCTAACTCAATTCTTTCTTGTGTAAAATATTCAGGCGGTATAAACATTTTTGTTTGTTTGTTTGTAAAATTTTATAAACATTTTGTTTATAAAAAATTAATTAAACTTAGGGATATTTTCTTTTATATTCATTTTTTTTAATTTTTTACCCTTAAAAATGAACGTAGAAATGTCTAGAATATACACAGATCTTATAGAAGAAGTATTGACTAAACTTGAGTTAGAAGGAGAACCGGAAGGTATAGGAAGAAATCTTATTTTTGATATTCAAAATGGATGGAGGAGGAATATACGAGACTGGTATGAAAATGCCAGTAACGAAGATAAACATACGTTTGAAGATAAGCGTATGGCCTACAATAGCACTACAGATGGATACATATCTTCCGACGAGGAATATGAAATGATGGAGGATACATCTAATTTCCTAATGTGTATGTATGTTAAAGTTTCTAGAACTAAATGTAAATACAAATGTAATTTTAAACAAGGGTTTGTAAATTTAGGGAATGTAGACTTTGCTTTTGCTAATGCACAAGGAGAATTGGAATGGTAAATTAAATCTGATAAACATTAAATGGATGTTTAATTTTCCATATCTTTCTTTTTTTTAAAAATTTCTAAATTCACCCCAAATGGGTATAAAACAGTTATCGGTGATACTAAAAGAACATTGTAAAAAAGGTGTTAAAGAAAAACAAGTAGGATCATTTGCTTTTAAAAAGGTAGCAATTGATATATCAAATTTTATTTATCAATTTCTTATAGCAGTTAGATCGGGTGGTAGTGCTTTAGGTTATGGTGATACTACTACTTCACATCTCGTTGGAATGTTTTACAGAACAATTCGTATTGTAGAATCGGGCGTGACACCAATCTTCGTATTTGATGGTAAACCACCTGAACTTAAGCTTTACGAATTGAAGAAAAGGAGCGATCGGCGCGATAAAGCAGAGGAACAACTTAAGCTTGCCATGGAAGCTGAAGACAAAGCCGAAATTGAAAAACAGACAAAAAGAAAAATCAAAGTAAGTGAAGAACACGTTAACGATTGTAAAAGATTGTTAAAACTTATGGGTATACCGTATTTGACTGCTCCTAGCGAAGCAGAGGCATTTTGTGCCTATCTTTGTAAAGTTAAATGTGTTGATGCAGTAGCTACCGAAGATATGGATGCACTTCCATTTGGTGCGCCTGTTCTTCTTAGGGGATTTTCATCAGCTGCTGTTAAAAAAACGCACGTCACAGAATATAATTTACAAACATGTCTTGGTGAACTTGACATGAACTTGCCTGAATTTATTGATTTATGCATTTTACTAGGTTGTGATTACACGAAGTCGGGGAAAGGAATTGGACCGAAAAAAGGAGTGAGTTTAATTAAAAAGTACAAATGTATTGAAAAGATATTTGAACATGAAAAAATGGAATTAAGTCCAAATTTCGAGTATCAAAAAGCAAGAGAAATATTTAATGAATTGTCAAATATACCTGTAGAAACCAATGTATCAGAATTTACTATAAAATGGGATGATATAAATTTAGAAGAAGTTAAAAAATTTTTAGTAACTGAAAAGGCATTTGACGAAAAAAGAGTCATAAATGGAATAAAATTATTAAAAAGTTGTAGAAATAAATCTAAACAAACAAGTTTAGATAAATTTTTAAGAAAAAAATGATGTATAAATAATATATTTTATTAATAGAATATTGATTTAAAGCAATAGTCTGTTTAATTTCCACTATTCTTATTAAAAAAATGCACTGTGTAATTTAACATATATTTAATAAATAAAATACAATTAAATGATCAATGTCAAACATATCGTTTAGGTTAATAAATGTTTGACATATCTATACATACACTTCAAAATATTTTTTCTAATATAACACCTATGTTAAATTAAGTAAAGTTTACGTTTAAATTATAATTTTACTTTATTAAGTAACGGCTTTAGAAAATTTGGTCTTTTGGGGGAGTTAATAAATTTTCTAAGATACAAATCGTCTATCAAAAGCACTCCTTTGTTAGATATTAACTTATAGTCTATCAGTTCACAAAATTCTGTAAAAATATCATTGTCTGCGCAATTTTTCATTTCCTTGCAATTGGTTACAAATTTCCTAAATTCTTGTATCACATTTGTAACAAAGATCTTTTCTTTACTAGACATTAATAAAATAATTAGATGAATAGGACAAAGTATATCTAATATACAGCCTAGAGAATAGTGTTTTATATCATATTTATTACTTAAATATTTATTATACAAAATCTTAATGTCATTATTAACGTCGTATTGACAAGATAAATCGTGTAAAACTTCATCAGATATTAAATTATTGTGTAAAAAAATAACATTTGTATCATTTTCTTTTTCGTGTAAAATTTTTTTAAATATTTTTAAATCATGTTTTTTAAAATCTTCATCTGAATTTTTACTGCGCTTTACTATCTTTGAAGGCATTGAAACTGCTGTTTTTCGTATCACAAATTTACGTTTGTTTGGCTTGTCGTTTTTCTTATAGTCGAGATAAAAAAGAAATTTGTATAATGCCAAATACTCGTCAAAATTTAAAGTACGTAGTGCACAAACATAATTAGAAAAGCGAGATCTAACTCTCCTTTCCATAGTATCTATTGATAACATATTTTGCGTGTATAAAATAACTTTATAATTATTTTCATTAGCCAGTTCTAAATAATAATATAGAGATAAATTAACATTTTGTGAAGTACTGGTATCTAAATAAATAACAACAAGTGTATTTTCCTTAATTTCCCGTTTGGTTGTAACGTATTCTATTTTCCAATTTTTACCTAAAAAATTTGCTTCAATTTGGTTTAAGACTGCTGTTAATATGTAAATATCTGTTGAAGCAACTAATAAATTATTTAGATCATTGAGTTTGTGCAAAATATTATCAATTTCTTTGTTATAAAGATATCCTACAGCAATTTCCATTACAAGGGATTTAAATTAGTAACAAAAGAAAAACTTTTCACTTTGGAAATGTTCTACGTTCAATAACAAATAAATATAAAATTTAACAGGATTTATTGGTTCAAATATAAAACGAAATGTTTATTCTTATATAATACGCTTAAAAACTAACCCTTATGAATCCAGAAGATTTAAATTTATGGCTTAAAAAACTTATAAATACTGACAAATTTGATGCATGGCTTGCAGTTTCATTTCTTTACCGTTATCCTACGGTGGGAATACACGAATACATTTGTAAAAAACTTAAGCACACAAAAAATCTTATTATTGTGATACCACAACTTGTACACATATTTTTGTACCATTCAGACTCTGAAATCAGTAAACCTATTTGTAATTTAATGAAATATCGTGCAACAAAATCCAGAAAGTTTTTTCTTTCACTCTATTTTTATTTAAAAGGAGCTATAGAAACAATTGATAGTAACAAATCTATACACTGTTATTTCTTAATTTGTGATATATTAAAATTGGAAGGGAGATGTTTAAGCAGAAATACAGAATTTATAAAACTGCAGCTTAAATATAAAAGACGATTACATAGAACGCCACGAGTAATAAAAGAAAAAAAATGTATGCCGAATTTTGACGGAATATTTTTATGTTTCTTACGGTCTGTTATGTGGGTTTGCGATTTAAAAATTTTTAAAATGATAAAAAATTATGAGACAGTTTTTCAACAAGCAAGAAATGTAGCAAAGATTAATTTTAAACCTGTTATGGATACAGGTAATGCATTTAAACACACTTCTATAAAAAGTAGTATTATGTTTATTGAATATTTAGTTGAAATATCGTATAGGCTAAAAAAATTACCTAAAAATCTTAGACAAAAAGGATTAGAGATGGAGTTGAAGCTTTTAAACTGCAATTTACCAGGTAAAATATCCTTACCGTTTTTTAAAAGCCAATATGTTTTGTCAATTCGAATAGAATATTCTACAACATTAAGTTCTGCAGAAAATACGCCTTACATCGTTTTATTAGAGATTGCTGATGAAACACTGCCAAAAAAAAGGATTGATGCGAAAAATGCGGCACTTTTAATGCAACAACTAAATGCAGTTTCGGGATTTACGTATATTTCTGATTCAAAGAATATAAATGATAATTATGCAGCATCTTTACAAAAAATTCTAGAAGCAGAAAGAATTATTACTGATTCTGAATGCGAAAATGACACGGAAAAAATACAAAAAAAGATTACAAAATGGAAAAAAAGAAGGTATCGTTTAAATTCCGATATCAAATCATCTCTTTCAAATGAAATTGTTAAATTGGACTCATTGAAACTCAATGAGAATTGTAAACCGCCAAATTTAGATGCAAACTTAATCAAAAAAGAATATTTAAATCCAATGATTGACATTTCGAGTGTTTTTTTTGAAAATAAAGACCCTATAGCGAAAACGGAAAACGGTGATGATCTTATAAGTGAAAGTGATTTGTCTTCTGTTGATGAGTGGCAAATGCGTAACAATCTTGTAAAAACAATATCAAGATACGGAAATCTTAGAGGATGGCGCCTTGTTAGCTTGATTGTAAAAACAGGATGTAGCTTAAAACAAGAAATAATTGCATATCAAATTCTTTTAGAGATGCAACAAATTTGGAAAGACGAAAGTAAAGATATTTGGGTCAAACCATATCAGATATATTTTGTTAATAATAACGCAGGACTTGTTGAAACAGTTGAAAATGCTTATTCGATTCATAAAATAAAAGAAACAGGTAAACAAGAAAATCGAAATTTTAGTCTTAAAACGTATTTTTTAGACAAATTCGGGGATGGCACTGATGCATATAAACAAGCTACGTACAATTTTCTTATTTCCCTAGTAGGCTATTCTTTAGCTTGTTATATTTTACAAATAAAAGACAGACATAATGGCAATATTTTACTAGACACCGAAGGACACATTATACATGTAGATTTTGGATTTATTTTGGGTGATCATCCCGGTTTTTACTGTGTTGAAGTAGCACCATTTAAATTTTGCAGTGAATACGAAGAGTTACTTAAAGATTTGTTAGAAGATTTTAAGATTCTGTTTTTGGAAGGTTTTTGTGCGTTAAGAAAGCACAGTGAAAGATTATGTCGAATTTTAGAAATGTTATCAGAAAATTCTGATATTAGATGCGTTAATAAAAAAGTACTTAATAGCTTTAAAGATAGATTAAAATTAGAGATGAGTGATAAAGAGTTAGAAAGCTACGTATTGTTTTTAATTAATAAGAGTTTTAATAGTATGGGAACGGGCTTGTATGATTCTTATCAATATTTTTCAAATGGATATTTGTAAACATCATAAGATTTTATTAATAAAATATGTTTTATAAATTTTCATCCACTTTTATAATATTACACCAATCTGGAATATCACCAAAGTCTGTTGAGTAGTAAGTTCTCATATTTATGTCATCTAATCCTAAAAAAATTATTCCACCATTAACTTCAAATGTATTTATTGGAACGTTTACAGGTATCTTATCAACAATCTCTCCATCTTTGTATATCATTACAGTATGTTTATCAATACTTATAATATTTTTCTCAATCATTTTCACTTTTCTTACACTTTCTTTATGATTGTATTTGTAAAGTGGATTTCTAGATCGTAAATCAAATACTAATATTTCGCCATTTTCTGTTCCAACTACAAAATTTAATCCATTGTTAGAAAAAGCCATGTGTAAAAAATTTTCGTTATGTTCTGTTGTACTAACAATTTTAGAAGATCTTTGATCTAAAAACTCTACATTATTTTTACCACAGTATCCTACAAGACTGTGTACACTATTAATATCTATTTCCATAATACATTTGAGTGAGGTGTCATATGGAGTACAAAATTTGCCGTCTATTAGATTAAATCTAAAAATGTTATTTGAATTTCCGCATGCAATAATGTCACCACTAAATTTATTAAATTTTAGGTCGTAACATAATTTTGGCATTCTTATTCTTTCATGCATTCCATATTTAACATGGAATTCTACATATCTGTCTACTCGTAAAAGCGCGAGTTTCTCGCAATTTTTAGTAAGAGATAGTACTTTCATTGGTTCAGCTTCTAAATGTCGATTACTTTTTTGTGCAATGTTAGTTAAATCGTGTATTTTTACTGATGGCTTGTAAGTACCAATAGAAACCAAAAAGTTACCGCTTTCCGATAAATTCATATCGAGACATGCCGTTGGATAATCAAAATTCTTAATAATTTTTGTTTCTTTAAATCCCATAGTAAGGATAAAAAATTTTAAAGAAGATAAATAGAAATAAAACAAGGTAAAAATTTATTATTTAGTACATTTATAAACCATTTAAGTTTTTTTAGGCCAACATTAAAAATTACAATAATGTAAATTGCTTTCATTTTATTATAAAAACCAAAAAAATTAATAACTATCGTAAATAAATGGATACAAAACATTATAAAACTTAATTTTTCATATTTTATTTTAATAAACTGGCATGCTTTTAAATATTACTAAATTTATTTTGTAAAATAATAATCGAAAAATGAACTCGATAAACAAAAATCAAGTAAAGATTGGTTTAATGTAATAATTTTATATAACAATACTTATGAAACAGAGGTAGAAAATATATAAAGCTTTTCTTCTATAAACAAAATGATTTGAGAAATATAAAAAATCAATATAAATTTTTTACAAATTTTAATAACTTACTTTTGATCATAAACAAAAGTTTTAATATATTTATAAACTTTATTAAAAACTAATATAATGTATTTGTAACATATTATCTTTTTTCTTTTATTTTTATTTTGAGTTCTTCATATCTATGTGGACAAAATGTCTCCTTTTTATTTAAAGCTACATTTATTCGATTTTTATTATTTTTACATTCTGCGTGATATTTCATTCTACAGGCTTTTCTATCTTTATTCAAAAACAAATCAGAAATAAGTGTAAACTCCAATCCGCATAATGATAGTGCTTCATAAAAGTATTCTGTCTCCTGTTTTGTCCATCTATTATTTCTTCTTTTTTTCGTTAAATATGTTGCAGAAGTCACTATTCCCGTTTCTTCTAATACTTCCATATCAACATCTTTATTTAAATTAACAAACATGTCATTAGCATCAATACAGATTTCACCATTAACGATTTTTAGTAAATTATTGTCTTGTTGTTGAGATTTTCGTATTTCTATTGGCTTTTTTTTCACTTTAAAAGTTTCTTTAAAATTTGCATTGTCTAAATAAAACGATAATTTTTTGTCCATCAAGCAGGGGAGCTTTTTACATTTTTTTACAAAATGATACAATTATCAGAACAGTAACACACAATTTATTACATTTTAAAGTAAATAAACTTCTATACTATTTTTTATGAACCAATTAAAGAGTTGTAAAGAAATAATTAGTAAAAAATTGTATTTCTTTATTCTTTTAAAATCTTACATACAACACTTACATGATATTGTAAAATAATATAAGTAAAACAGTGATGGAGTAAACGTGTAATCAGAAGTATTGAGATTATAGCCTTGACATATTTGTTTATAAATAATATCATAAAATACACTTATTTTTTAATGACCGAACAAAATTTAGATAGTTTAGTAGCACAATTTAATAATAAAAATTTACTTATTTTTTCGTGCTACATATTAAAGTCTTTACTTTTTACTGCAATATTGTATTCTTAAATTTATTTTATAAATTCTAATTAATGACTGTTTAAAAAATTGAAGTCTTTATCTGTTTTAAGTATACTTTTAATATCTTCAATATCTAAAAGTAATAGCATCTTGTCATTGTATCCTTCATATTTAATAATTCCATACAATTTTAATTTATCTAAAATGTTAATAAAATCGTAAAAATCTATTATTAAAAAAGAATACGTTTTACAAAAAATACTAAAATTTTGATATAAAATTCTTGGTACTAAATTATCATAATTATTACATATAACATTTAGTACAATCTTCTGATATTTACTTAAATTAGGTAGTAACTTAAAGCTGAGGGGTGACATAAATTCATTAATCAGTTTATTAATACCTTGCTTGTAATTTTTATCAGCAATCAAACTAAAAACTTTTCGCACATCACCACATACAGATGCTATTCTTCTAGTTAAAATTTCTAAATCTGTTGCATTTAAATCTTTGTATTCGTTGTAAATCAACTTTTTTAACTTCGTATGTGTGTAAGGCTTAAAATCTACCCGATTTTTACCTATTCTACTACACACCTTTGATTCAAATAGCTTTTCAGGTAGATTCATTGTATTAGAAATGCATATAAGAAGTAATTTACTGTTTTCAACGTGCATTAAATCCGTTAAATTGTATAAAATATTTTGGTTTCTACTGGACAGTAGATCTATTTCGTCTATAATAAAAATATGGGGTGTATCACAATTTTGTAAATGTAAACGAAGTGCGGTGAAAAACGTTTGTGATTTCGATTTTTCGCAATTTAAGTTTTTGTAAATTTCTCGAAAAATGTGAGTTTTTAATTTGAGTTGTCCAGCATTTACATACACAATTTCAAGTTTTAAATCTTTAATAAGCTGTTTTATTGTATGGGTTTTGCCAGATCCAGGTACACCACTAATATAAATTGTAGTATTAATTTCATCCGTTATAAACTTAGTAAGCTTGTAGTGTAAACTTTTATATTCTGCTTCTCTTCCAACCACAGTCATAAATCTTTGGGGATGCAAAAAAGTTAAAAATAGTAACTTGCCTGTATTGTATAAAAGTGCTAAACGTCTATTAATTTTATGCTTTACATGTAAATATTTATTAATTGAGACTTCTTGAATCACTAAATTACTTGGTATAAAAAAAATTAAGGTGAATTTAGACAAATGTATGTTTTTTTTATGGAAATGTGCGGCAGGACAGATTTTCACGCTGTGTAAAAATTATTTTAAATGTCACACTAGCTGTAAAATTTATTAAAAAATATGATTAAATTACTAAACTAAATCAAACAAAAATAATATTGTTTTTGTAAGTTTTTATAAGATAAACTAACAAAAGCCAATTTGGGGTTAAAAAATAAAATATTGTTAGGAAAGTGAATTGATACATGTCGAATATCATTAATTTGTGATGGTATGATTAAAAATGTAAGCAATGTAAAATTAAAATTAAAATTAAAACTTTTCAATAAGCAATAGAAATATTAATTTTTCTAATAATTAATATTACATTTCTATTATAAACCATCATTTTTATTTTATATTTTTTAAATGTCATTTAATTCTGTTTCAGGTTCAAACAAAATTTCTTAATTTTTTTCAAGACTTTTTACAAGCAAATTCATCTTTAATGTATTCATCTATAACCTTAAATCATATTCAACCAATGTTGTAAGCAAGTAAACCTTTCAAAATTAAAATAATCGGAACTTTTATTTTTGCAATAAATTACTAAAAAAGATACAAACTTTTGGTGTTAAAAAAGTTAATAAAAATTTTTAATGGTTGTAAAATATATTTATTGAAATTGGATCATAAAACAAGTTAAGTTTTTGATCCAATACATATTTTAAAACATGTTTCGTCTCAAAACCGTTAAATTTTTAAATAAAAAATATTACTAAATTTTAATATGCTTTTACAGTCATTTCTAGAAGTTATAAGGCAGTTCAATCTCGATGCTTATATGAATCCTATAGCTGATGAACACTTTAATGAAATAATAGGACCATGTGATAGTCGAGTAAAAACTTTAACAGGATATACAGGAACATATGGAACAGCTATTACTGGTGCTAATAATGCATTCTTTACAACATATCAATTTCTTGAAAAGGCAAGAACAGAAATAAAAGATTATCAAGTTATTGAAGACCTACCTGATGCTATGAATTCATGGATTGTATCTAATGGAATTAAGCGTATTGGTATTAGCTCTAAATTAATGCCATCGAAGATTTACAAAAAGTTATACCAGGATCTTAATAGTGCTGGTGTAGAACTTGTACCATTTACCGATGATTTATTCGATAAAGTTTGGAAAGACAAACCTAAAAGAGTATTTAATGAAATATTTGATTTACAATCACACAAGTATAACGAATTCATTGATAAAAATTATATTAAACAATTTCCTGAATTTAAAATTAACGATAAAGCTGTATACGATCTCAATACTATCATTCCGGGCGAAAATTACAGAACTAAATTAAAAAGAATAAGACAAGAAATAAATGAAGATGAAGGCTATGTAATAGCAAATTTATCTACATTAGGATGGTTAACAAATTTACGGGGAAATGATTTGGATTTTTCATCTGCATTTTATTCTTTCGGTTATCTTACTAAAAAAAAGTTTATATTGTTTACAAATAATAAAATTGAAAGAAAAGGCATAACATCTAAACCTTACGATGAATTTTATCCATTTTTAAGTACTATTAAAGAAAAAAAGATTTTTATATCAGGCGATGTAAATTTTTTTATATATGAAAAATTAAAAAACCCTGAATATTCCGATTTAGTTGAAATTTATGAAAATCTAAAAAATAAAACAGAAATATTTGGTTTTAAGATGTCGGGTGTTCAGGATTCCAAAGCCATTATTCAGTTACTAGCATTGCTAGAAAATTCTACTGTAGATTTTACTGAACTGGAAATACAAGATAAATTAATTGAATTTAAAAAACAAAACAAAGGATATTTTTCTGAAAGCTTTAAACCAATAATAGCATCTGGTTCTAATTCTAGTAAAATTTACCACGAAGCAACTAATAAAATTCATAAAAAAGATGAAATATTACTACTTGACGTTGGTAGTCATTACATGTATGGAACTACAGATATTACGAGAACAGTATGTCTTGGCGAGCCATCACCTGATATGATACGATTTTATACAATAACCTTAAAATCGTTAATAAAAGCTAAGTATATTAGAAAAAATTTCATACAGGGAAAAGAACTGGATGACGCGGCAAGATATTTTTTAAAAAAAATTGGTAAAAATTACATTACATCTACTGGTCATGGCGTAGGATTTTTCGCGCAAGTTCACGAAAAATTTCCTAAAATGGATTATGATGAGGACACGCTAGCAGTGCATAATGTTTTCACTATAGAGCCGACCTATTATGATGCAAATCTAGGAATACGAATCGAAGATCAGGTTATTTTGAATGAAAGTGATGGATTCGTATTTCAAACTAATCTAAGTTTTGTACCTTTTCAAATGAATATGATTGATAATAGTATGTTAACAGAGGCAGAAAGAAAATTAGTTAATTTGTACAGTAGAAAGATGTTGGGATTTTTATCGCCGTTGTTTGATAAAAAATCACCAGAATATAAATATCTAGTCGAAAACACTCAAGAGTTACCTAATGTTGAGCAGACCAAAGATGAGAATGGAGAAATATACAATCACAATATTACTAAATAAATATATATCTTATAAATTTAATACTTGTCAACTATGTAAATATTATTGTTAAATTAAATACATTTTGATGTGAAAAAAGACACTTTAAAAAATTTTAAAGAAAAAATAATTATTTTTCTTAGGCACGTAATTTTTCCTATGTTATTAAATAATAAAAAATATACCTTGTCTTTCTAACCACAAATTTGGCCAATATTTTTAGATCGAAAAATAAGTAACCTGCATTTTTTAGCCACATAATTTGTGCGAAAATAAGTAACCGGTATTTTCTTTGTTATATAATTTGCTAAATGTATTAAACCAAAAAAATATCCCCGCTTTTCTTAGCCAATTATTTTTTCTAGTTTTTAAAAGTCTTTATCCCCAACATGTTGCAATCTATAAATTTCAGCAATAAGTTATTATGTTTAGATTACACAGATAATTATATTCTTATAGGTGATAATATTGGTAATATTTACAAATACAATTTCCTAGAAACATGTGATAGTTCACAAAATCAGTATATTACAAGTAATACTAAAATACAAATTTTATTTTTTTGTAACAGTCCTGTATCTTGTATATTTATTTACAATAATGATATATTCTACACAACATGGGATGGTGACATTTATAAAAATGATATTAAGGTACATCTATCACAAGGAATTACTAAAGCACTGATTATTTTTAATAATTTAATTTATGTATCACTTGAGCATAACATTTATATATTAAATCTTAATCTAGAGCTATTAAAAGTACTAAATGTTCCACATAAAGTATTATGTTTCTGCTCTACTGAGAATTTTATTATCTGCGGCTTCAATCTTCCTGTGATTTGTGTTATAGATACAAAATTTAATTTAACTACTAAAAGTGTTGAACATGATACTGGAATATTAAGTATAAAATATAGTAATGGGTATGTTTATACTGGTTCAGTTGATGGATCATTACAGATGTATGATTTTAGAGATGTATTTGGCAGTGATAATAAAATGAAATCAATAAAAATTTTAAAACAAAAAAGTAGTAAATGGCTGCGGAATATTTTCAATGACGAACTTTGCTGTAGCGGAAATGAAGTTATTTATAAAAACAATTTAATATACAGTCACTTAGATCAGGTTATGTGGGTAATTATGTTAAATAAGTATATAATTTCTATTGGGCTCGATAAAAAAATGATATTTTATAAAGAATTAAATATAAATAAAGAGGAAGAAGATGAGATTAATAAGTTAAACCAACTTTATGGAAATTAAATTTTTTATATTAATATGACTATCTAGCGTTAGTAAAGAAGTTTATTCTTTTTTTTATTCAAACAAATAATTTTGAATGTCTTATGAATTTGTATTAATATATAGTGCTAATAGTATTAAAATGACATTAATATTTTTTACAATGTTATTAAAATTTATTGCAACATAAATAAATTAAAAGGATAAATTATTTTTAAATATTAAAACTACAAAATTAATTATAACACTAAAGTAATGTAATTTTAACATAATTATAAATAATCAACACTATGTTGTACCTTTAAAATATAATACATTTATTTAAGTAGACAGTACATTGTCAGCTCATACAACCCCATAGCCAATAGTGTGCTACATCCGAATAAAACTACACGGTTAAATGTACTTAATTTTCCTAGTAAAGGATACACCCACATATTATTTAAATTACTGTAATATAAACATAACATATAATAAAAGAAAGTAAAGAAAACATAAAATATTAAATGATATCTCTGCTTCTGAATTATTATATCTTTTGTTTCTATCAGCAAGCTTATAAAAGGAAAGAGGTGTACACAAATATCGGTAAATATATTTATACGGACATTTCTATCATAAAAGTCTTTATCTCTTATTAAAGTAGGATCTATTGTGTACAATGACCAGAATAAAATAGTTACTAGTCCATTTAGTGGTAGTAGGACACACACACTATTTTTATAAAAATTTTTAATGTACCGAACAGAAAAGTGTCTAACCAATATACCCATTAATAAACATATCACAGTAAGATATAAACAGATATTAGTAAGAAATATATATTTAGAGCCATAAAGACTTTTATAATATTTTGTAAATTCTTCTGGTATACAATAATCTGTAGTCCCGTAAAGGCATGAAATCAAAAGAAAAATTTTTAAAATCTTTATATTTGAAGATTCAATATAATTAGCTTTCATTTAAGAAAAGGGGTCACTAAAATATCTATATTAATGTTAACCAATTATTTTTATAGAGGATAGAATAAATGATATTTAGAGATGATTTCTTATTTGCACCAATAACAATAAAAAAGATATTTGTGTTTATTTTAATCAATCATAATTTTTATTAAAAATTGATCCAAATTTTTATAAAAAAGTATATAAATGTAATCTTTATGTATAATTTAAATTAAATTTTGCTTAAAAATCAAATTTTTATATATACAAAGATGTAAAGGAGTTTTTTTCATACGCTCTCCTTCTGGTTAATACAAATTGTTTTTTATTTTTTTTTGCCCCTGTTTTTAAAATTTCAAAAAAGAAATAGAAGAAAATTTTAATAAATTGCAAAAAGACAATATCATTATCGTTTCTTATTAACATAAAACGTAATAAATAAGACAAAATAAGTTTTTTAGTTCTGCATTTAACTAGTATTTAATTTTTTACAGCTGCCCAAATTCCCCTATTATATTTGTAAGAACATCAGTAGTTGGATCGACAAAGAACTTAGAATGACTGACTGTTCTATGTATCATAATATATCTCTAACCTTGGTGAATCTTCTCCACTTATCTGAATAAACAATTGAATTTTATTTTCAAATTTTTTAATTAATTTATCTAACAAATTTTTACTTCTATTTGGCACAAAAAGTAACACACCGTTCTTCTCTATAGATTTTTAACCATCACAAACACTATCGACTGTATGTCCTCAGTTTTTCTTGCAAAATTTATTTTCATCCATTTCAACAATTATATTTTTTCCTTCTAAAAAATCATTTTTTTTATTTAAATACTTAAAATATAGATTATGTGCTATCATAGTATTTAAAACAGCGATAATCGTTTTACATTTTACATCCAGAATTTTAGCAATATGGAACGGATTTAACTTAAACATCCATAAACCAGGAATCTTTAAAATCAATAGAGAAACAAGTTTCCGTTCATAAAAACTGTATCATAAAATAAAGATCTCTCTGCTGTACACTTTTTGTTTGTACATCCTACTACATTCTTTTTATTACCTCAAAATTTAACTCAACCTTTGATTATATTACATTTTCTTTTTAGTAAAATATTTTTAATAGTTTCCTAACTTCTCAGTGTTCAACACTTAAAAGACACGGGCAAAAAGTAGAAAACAATTTATATTAACCAGGAATTATGTACTGATTATATGCCGATGTAAATATTTATCAAAAAAATAAAAAATGTAATTTTTAATGCTTACTAAAATTAAAAAAAAAATTTACAATTTTTTATCCCATGAATGCTGACGAAAGAATGAAGAACTATCACTGGTCAGAGTGTAATATTTCTGAATGGGCTAAAAATAAAATAACTGAAGAACTTAACAAAAGAGGGTATAAAATAATACATTTAGACATTTTTGTTAAAATATGCTCTAGAATGAATACACTTGGTCTAGTATACATTATAAGCCTGGATACAATGAAAGATAATATTTCATACGTGTTGACTAACTTCACTTCTACACACAAAGAAAGTGAAGGGTTAGAAGGGTATCCGTGGTTTATAGATTTTTTTAAAGAGCTAGAAGGACAGGCTCTATTATTATTTAGTAAAAATGTACTAGATTTAGAGAATAAAGAAAGAAAAAGTGTTGATGTACCTAAGGTGACGGCCAGTATTAAAAAAGAAGAAGAATTTTATTATACTTCTATTATAAACTGTCCAGTTGATGAATTTGTAAGCTTTTTAGTAGATCCTTCTCTTGTACAGATGTGGATGAAGGGAAAAGTAAAAGAAAAAGAATATATTTTAGAAAATTTAATATTTAAAATTACAAATATTGAAAAAGATAAAATTTTTATTGATTTTAAATTAAAAAAATGGGATAAATTTACTAACGTAGAGGTATTAATAAGTGACATTAGAGGTAATACAAAGATATCATTAAGACAAAAAAATGTACCTATAAAGGATATTGGTGTTATGACTGGAATATGGAAAGATAATATTTTTAGGCCTATTTGTATGACATTTGGATTTTGTGAAAGGCCTTATTCAGATGAATAAATACTTTTTATGTTTTATATTATTTTTTTATAATTTTTATTTTTTAATGTATCGGATAATTTAGTAATTAATACATATTACAATTAATTTGTCAATAATTTGTTTTAAAGAATTACTCATAATATAAAAAATAATTTTTTATTATATTTTTTACTTAATTATTTCTTTATACATTATTTAGAAATAATTTTTTTTATTGTATTTTACTTACATTTATTCTTAATACATTATTTGTCAATTATTTGTTTTAAAAAAATTACTTACATTTATTCTCAATATATTGTTTAGAAATAGTTTTTTATTATATTTTTTACTCACATTTATTCTTAATACATTGTTTAGAAATAATTTTTTTATTATATTTTACTTCACTCTACGATAATCTCAAAATAATATCTTTGTATGAATGTACACTAAATTCAGAATCTTTAATATATCCACATTTAAATATAAAAGGCTGTAAATTTATTAAGGACTTGTCTTTTAAAAATTTTACAAGTGTTAAATAAAGACCTTTTTCTTCTTTTGGTATTTTAGTGCGTATTTCTTTGTATAACTTTTTAAATAAATCAAATCTACCAAAATATATAAATGTTTTTAACCATTCAGTTAATAAAACATATTTTTTATTATATTTTATTATTTTTAATATCTCTATATATTTTTTAAAATTAATATCTAATAAATCTTTGTATATCATTGTTGCCCCATTTAAAGTTAAATAGAATTCTTTTTTATCTATTTTAAGATTAATAAGACAACATGGATTAATAAGAGATTCTCTTACTATTTTATATTTAAGTTTAGAAAACATCTTTCTTTTATTTATTTCTTTATTTAAAACTGTCTTATCTTCTAATAGTTCATATAAGCACTCTATATTAAAATTTGATAAATATTGTATAATTGTATTTATAAGAAGTGTATCTTCACTCTCTTTCAGTATTTTTTGACGTGTATTGTAATTTATTAAAAAAGTATTAATTTTGTTGTTGTACAACAATATTTCATTTTTAGATTTCTTTATACAACTAGTATATTCATTAAATATTATATTTATATTACTAGGATCTTTATTATATCTTACAATAAAGTAATACTCTAAAATTAATTTATAATTTATATTAGTGCTATCTTCTACTAGAAATACAAACTTTGGAAAGTATTCCTGCAGATAAATTCTGTGTGTTATGTTTTCTATTTTAACTTTATGCATAAAAAATAAAGATAATAATATTTGTTCAATGTCAGAAGAACATTCTGACTGTTTAATACCTGAAAGAATGGTTTTAATTTGTGGATCATCTAGTTTATATTCATAAAGATATTTATATAAAGAGTATGTGTCAGGTGGAAGAAGGTTCTTAATTTGTTTGTTTGTAATTTGTAATAGAAGGTCTAACATTCTAAAGGGATAAAAAATTATAAATAGATTTTACCGCATAAAGAAAAGAATCTTGAGAAATGAAATTAGAAAAGAAAATATTTATTTATAAAAGAAAAAGTTTATTTATAAAAAAGAATATATTTACGTATTAAAGAATAATGTTAAGTTAAAATACATTGACTTACTTTTATGTATGTAATAGTACATCTAATAAGTGTACATTGTACTTAATAATACACTAGACTTAAAGATTTTAGCAGGATGCTTTGTAGTGAGACCTTCTTAGCTTAACATAAAAAAATGAGTCATGCATTTATAAAAAGTTTTATTTTCTAGACTAACTTGTAATATTTGTAAATTTTTAGGCTAGTTCATGCTGTTAAAACATAAAGGGTTAATAGTTTTAGAGATCTTTTAGATAAACTATTGACAAACTAATTTAATACTTAGAAATTCAAAAATCTATTAATAGTAAATCTAATGAACACACACAATAGATTTTTTTATGTGTTTTCATAAAAAATAAATAAATTTTGTCTTTTACAACATGATACCTTAAAACTTAATAAAAAAAATCAATTTTAAAGTTTTTTAAATGAAATAAGACTTTTAAAAAGCTTTTTTTTAGTAAAAAAAATCAATAAAATTTTTTTACATAGTAATAAAAGTAGTATCTGTGACATAAATTTGTTTTATACATTCTAAACTGTCATAAAACTTGAAAATTAATTTAAACAAAACATACTATTTACTAAATTAAATTATTAATAATAAAAAAAACATTTCTTTAAATCCGTCTAAATATAATGGTTGTCTTATTAAAATAACTTTACCTTATCGCAATTAATTTAAAATTTTATACTATTTGTTTGTTTATCTACTATAAATACAATATGATTTTTAAACCCATGGATAAAAATATTAAGCTGTCTGGTAAAGATATTTTAAATGAAGACATGATTTCTACATCTCATTTCCATTTTTCTGTACCAGGTCTTTTAAGAATACTAGTATCTGCTATTTTAACGGTTTTATTTGTATTATCTTCATTTTACGTATTTGAGAAATGTTTATCTCCCCTGATTATAAGTAGACATCACGAAACAAATTTATTTTTCGGATATAAACTAATTCTTTCTTTTTTTGTTTACTGTTCAGTTTATATGTCAATAGATTTAATTATTTTAGTTTATAATAGATGTATATTCACTAGCAGCTATAGAAAGAATATATCATCATTGGTTATTTATTAAAAAAGTAATATAATCAAAATAAGTATATCACTTTGTATATATTGTTTACTACTGTACTGTTATGACTATTTTATAATACCGATAGATGTTCAAAAAAACAATATTATAAAAGATACCGAACCAGATTTTAAGCTGAGCCAATACATAGTAACTAACTTTTCTACTATTGTACTATCAATATCTACAGTATGTATATTATATCTAGCAAAATCTATAACGATGTGTATTGTAGAACTCAAAATGTTTTTTTCACACTACAGAGAACGAATCGAAATAAATGAAGAAAATATACAAATTATTGAAATGTTAAATAGAAGCACCGGCTTAAAAATGTTCCCCAATCTTCAGACATGGGGTCATTATGTATTTAAAACGATTTCTCCCAACGATGATATTTTGACATTTGAGAAATGCGAGTCTGTCTTTGGTACAAGTTATACTAACGGAATATTTGGTTTATTCGACGCCAATAACGATTTGACAATAACAGCAGGCGAATTTGTGACAGGATATTATGGCGTTATACGCGAAAAATATTTCTTGAATCAAGCACTTTTACAAAAAAATAATCTCTTTTATAAGCTTAATATAATTGTATCTATAATGTGTCTACCCTTTGCTGTATTCGTCGGCATATCATTTTTGGGATTCGCAAAATATTTTGCTAATCTTTTTTCAATAATTTCAGGAATTATACTTTCTCTAAGTTTTGTATTTTCATCTGTTGTAGGTGATATTTTTAGATCTTTAATATTCATTTTTATTGTTCGGCCATTTGAAGCTGGTGACTATGTCAAAATTAACGATAAAATTTTTATTGTAGAAGAACTTGGATTATTGTACAGCTCATTTCTAATTGATAGCTTACTAACATACGTGCAAAATTCACAACTTATGTCTAAGCACATTGTTAATTACAGAGTCAGTGAAATAGAAGAAAAAATTTACAAATTTAAATTTAATATTAAATCTTTTAAAGAGAAAGCAGAAATGCTAAATAGAAAAATTAAAAAGATTTTAAAATCAGATACACAAGTTTACACAGGTAAATATCTAATTAATAATTATATTATATTAAATGATGATATTATGACTGTTGAGATTGTCATTTATTTTAAAATAAGATACCAGTACATTAAAGGGTTGCTAAAAAACGAAGATGATTTCTTATTAACCTTACATGACATATTTAGGGATTTAGATTTAAAAGTTTGTTAAATATTAAATTTCTTAAAATAATCAAAATTTTTATTAAAAAAATTTATGTTATTTTTTTTTTAACTACAGATGTACATAAAAGAAAGGTGTTCATGTTATTTTTTTCTCAATTACAGATGTGCATAAAAGAAAGAAATTTATGTTATTTTTTTTAATTAAAGATGTGCATAAAAGAAAGGAGTTTATGTTATTTTTTTTAACTACAGATGTACATAAAAAAAAGGATCAAAAATTTTCAAATTAAAAATTATTTTAATTAAATTTCTTTTACTGTACTAATTCGTTGTGTATCGCTTATATGGTTCTGTTCAATATCTTTTATTAAATTATTAAGTTCAATAGTAAAAAGATCAACTTCTAGTTCATAATTAATACTGTGTAAATTAACAAATATTGTTATTTGAAATTCTACGTTCTGTTCATCAAGTAGTCTAAGATTTTTTATATTTACTTTTTTACTAAAAGTATAAGCTTTCCTTTTTAACAAAATCCTTATTTTTTCTCTTAAGACGTAAAAATTTTTTTCGTATATTTTAATGTTATAATTAAACGTATAAGTCTTTTCTATGTATTCTGTTATTCTATAATTTATTATATCCTGTTCAGCAATTTTCACATTTGGCCATGCAACTGCCAATGATTTGTGTTGTAATGTCGTGTACATCAAACCTATTTCTTTAACCAAATATTTTTTACCATTAAATTCTATCAGGTCACCAATTTCAAAGGGTTTTATAAATAAAATAAGAACAATAGATTTAAATAATTCCCCTGGTACACCACCAAAAATAAAAGTTAAAGATAAAAAACAACTAAAATATATAGCTACATGGGATGTAAATGCCTGTTGCTTATTAATAATTACAAATATTGAAAAAATTCCTAATATTAAAAAAACAAAAAAAGTAAAAATGCCTAATTTGTCGGGAATGTCGTCTTTATGTGAAAACATTGTTCGAATATTTTCTTTTGTTTGTACAACATTTTGCCACACAGCTTTAAATTGGTATTCAGGAATACAATTATTTTTATGTAAATCGAAAAGATCCATAATTTTTTTCGTATCTTTATTATCAAAAAAATAATTTAGTGTTTCAAAAGTCAAAGGTTGTCTTTTAGGCGATAATTTTTTAAAAACATTTTTTATCCATTTTTCCGAGTTATAAACTAATTCTTTACCTGTCACCGAATTAATAAAAAATATTACCTCAAGGTCTTGATTATTCTTTGCACGTATTTTGTAATAATTACTCCGATTTATTGTATATTCAACACCCAATAAAAGAATACGTCTTACTGTCATTAATAACAATATAATAGCAAAACATAATAACATCTTAATAAAATTAGTTATTAAAAAATCTTGAATCCTAATAAATAAATTTACAGGATGTGCTGAGGATGTTTGTGAATTAACACTCATGCCTATAATTAAATTTTCAAAATTTTTCATTATTAAGGATACAACAAATAAAGATGTTACATTTACGATTCTTGTTTTCATTTTTTTTAAGATAATTTCAGTAAATGTATTTAAGTTTACATTTACTAGCTCAATATAATAAATCGCTAAAGTAAAAAGTAACCATATTGAAATGGCTGTACTTGTAAAATAAAGTAATTCATACATAAAAAATACCATCTTCATGGTAGATGGATTTTTAATTTCATCCAAAATTAAAAAAATAAGAATGTATACACTTATTGTTATAGAAATAATTAGTCCTAAAATGTAAAGATAAATTGTTTTTTTTGTAATAGTCTTTGGTACATCTTGTTCAATTCTGTCTATAAAAGAAATCTGTGTAAAATCTGCAATAGAATTGTTCTTTGATGTGCTTAAGTTTTTTTCCATGGTAAAATTAATTAGCAAGAATTTTTAATATTAAAAGGAGTGCTCCTTAAATATCAAAATATGTTGCGTAAATTTTAATTAAAATACCATTTCTTTTTATATTTTAATATATAAGTATAATAAATTTATCCTTCTTTGCTTGGTGTCATTCAATGTTCTATTCTTTTCTTTAAAACCACACTGACATTGTATTACCTTTAACATTTAATAAAATTTCTTAACACTTTTTTTGTACTGTAGATTCAACTCGAATCAAAATTTCAAATCTTAAAAAACACATAGAAACGAAAATTATTAATAATTTAACGCTGTGCTCTAAATTAATTTTAATAAAAAGAAATGCCAAATATATCAGATCAATATTAAAGTATTAATAATCAATGTTGGTATATTTCATCATAAGTTATGTTTTATTATAACACTTCAAATTCTAAATTTAGTTATTTTAATGTCTTTAAATTTTTTTTCTAAAACAAAAATGTTCTGTGATGACAAATTATACATAGATTTTATTTTTAAAATGTTTTTTCAAGCTTTAAATTTTACAAATAATAAAAATTTATAAAAGATTTTTTCCTTTAAAAATATTTCTAATCCCTTTCACATTAAACTATCTGTAAATTAAATAAATTTTAATCTAAAATGTCAAATTCTAGATATATCGTTATTTATTTTATTATATCTTAAATAAAACTCAACATATTATTTTACACTGTCATCAATTGTAAACTATTATTCTAATTTTTATTTTAAAATTTATTATCAACTGTTTCATAAAAAATATTTTTAAAAAAGGGGTAAATGGAAAACGATGAATACGCTGATACACTTTTTAAAGCTTATCTCAGTGATATAGCAGAAAGATATGAAGACATGGCTTTAGAAATGAAAATGGCAGTTAAACTTGCTCATAGTAAGAATATTCTTCTAAGTCCGTCAGCAAGAAACTCTTTTAGCGTGGCTTTTAAAAATCTAGTAAGTGCTAGAAGAAGCAGTTGGAGAATTTTATGTTCAGAAAAGCAAAAGCAGGCAGCAAAAGGTATGCAAAATAATCAACACGTAGAAGAAAAAATTCAGACAGTAGAAAAAGAACTTTTAAATTTTTGTAATGATGTACTTGACATGATAAATAGTTACATCCTTACTCAAGATATTACTAAAAACTCAGGTTATAATGTCGAATACTCTATTTTCTTTTTGAAAATGAAAGGAGATTATTTTCGCTACAAGGCAGAAGTTCTAAAAGGAGAAGAAAGTGAAACAATTGGTAAGCTAGCACATGATGCTTACAAGGAAGCAACCGAACAAGCGGCTCCTCTTCCAACTACTAATCCTATTAAATTAGGACTTGCTCTTAATTATTCAGTGTTCTATTACGAAATATTAAATGATCCTAAAGAAGCGTGTGTTATTGCTAGAACGGCCTTTGACAATGCTATTGAAAACCTTGAAGGGCTAAGTGAAACTCACTACAGAGATTCGACATTAATTATGCAACTTCTTAGAGACAATTTAACATTGTGGAATAGTAGAGAAGATAATTCTAGAATTACTGAAGATGAAAGAGAGGCATCAATAGAAGAAGAAGAGAAATGTTGATGAATAAAATATTTAGTTAAGTGTATTGAATTATTTTATAAAATAATACTTTTTATTGAGTTAAAAAATATTTTTTTAACATGTTTACAAATTTTATAGTTTAAAAAATAGCCATGCATATAAATTATTACAGAAGTTGATAACAAAAACGCTTTGTTTATTAAAAGATACAGTTAATTATTCCTCCTGATGGACAGGATCTCCTATATCAATATTTTCATTTTCATCTTTGTTGTTTTTAATTAAATCTTTTATGTAATCATCCAAGCCCGATGAATCGTCTTCTTTCTTAACAAGAGAAGATAAAAGAGACCTTAACTTTTGACCTTGCTCTGTTCCATTGGGTTGGTTGTCTATGCTTATTGTCATTGTAATAGGCTCATCTTTTTGCTTTTCTCGCTCTAAAGTTGCATCTATTGATTTAGAAGATTCTGCTTGACTTACAGTTTGATAATTGTATACAGTCTTAAGTACAGTGGTAGTGACTGTAGCTTTTGCAATGGTTGATTGAGTAGTTGACAACATTTCTTTTTCTTTCTTATTTTGTTCTTTATCATTTTTTTCTTTTTCTTTATTTTTATCATTATCATCTTCTGGTTTATTCTTTGCATTATTACCTTTTGAAGTTTTTTCTTCTCCATCATTGTTGCTTTTAGCATAAGATTTTCCGTTACTGCCTTTGTTAGTATTTTTTTTAGATTCATTAAAGTTTTTTTCGTTGTCACTATTTTCCTGTTTCTCTTTGCCATTTTTGTCCCCTTTTTCTTCATTATTTTTGTCAGTTTTTTCCTTGCCTTCATTATTTTTGTCACCTTTTTCTTCATCTTTTGATTTTTTTTTCATTTCACATTTCTTATTTTTTTCGAGTAATTCTAATTTTTTTAATATTTTGCGCAACGCATCCTCATAATTTTCATCGTTCTGCTTTTTTAAATTATATTTCGCCGAAGCTAGGTCGTCAATGTTTTCTTTAGGCTTCTCTTCTTGTTTATTTTTATTTGATTTATCTGTGTCGCGATTTTTTCTAATCTTAGATTGTGTGGTGTCTTTTTTTGGCTCATTGTTATTATTTTTGTCAGTAGGTTTTTCAGAATATTTTTGGTCATTTTGTTTTTGATTATTTTTATCATTTTTATCTTCAATAGCAATATATTTTTTATACACTCCTTTAAATTGAAGTTTAAAATTATCAGGAATTTTATTTTTAATTTCATTAACATCTTCACTATCTTTTAGTAAAAAAACAACTTCTTCTTCATTAATCTTTTTGTCTTTTTTATCATCCATTTCAGTTTCTTTATTTTTTTCGTTTTTCAACTTTTTCTTATTTTCATTTTCTTCAGAATCATTTTCATCGTTCGTATATTCCGAGTTTTTGTTAAAACTTTCTTTTGATCGTTGTTTAGATTTTTTGTTTTCTTCTTCTGAGTCATAAAAATTTTTGTTTTTTAAATTTTTAGAGCCATTTTCTGTTTTATAATTATTTGTTTTACAGCTATTATAGTCATCTATACTATTTTTATAATCCTCGTTTTCCTTGTTATACGGACTTCCGTTCCAAATCCCGTATCCTTTTGCGAATACTTGAACCCAGTAACGATTTCCATCTCTGCCCACACATGATGCCACGGCCGTAAATTTATAATCTCCTAAAAGAATTTTACGATGCTGAGTAGATCTACTCCAAACTTTAAAAACTGTTTTAAAGTCATTGTTTTGTTGTTTAGCAATATTTTCTCCCATATTAATTCCTCTAAAGTTAAAAAATCTTAATCTTCGGCCCAATGTACGTTTTGCAGGATTCGAATTTCTGTGCGTCAGTTTCATTGCTTTACACATTGTATTGGCTTGAAGTTCACTAGCAAGTCTAAGAGGTTCAATAACTTTCAGCTCGGGCAGTCCGTGTATCTTTCTATATAAATTTGTAAGTTTTACCATGTCAGATTTGCTTTGCTTAAAAAATGCGAATAATATAAAAATAAATCTCATTTAACTTGTTTTGTTTTGATTCTTAAATTTAAAAAAAACAAGAATGAAACAGTGTTTTAAATAAGTTGTTATAAAAAACTTAGATTAAAATGTCACCAGGGCATGAAACCCAAAACTATAAAGCTTAGAGTGAAAACCTGGTATTTAAGGGTAAAAATTTTAAATTTTTTATAAAAAAATATTCTTTTTATAAGAAATACAAATTTAAATAATTCGTAAACTTTAGTTAAAAAGAAAGTAAACACAAACACTAGTGAAAAATATTGATCTATAAAATAAACCAAGAAATGACTAAGTAAAAACATAGGATCTTTTTTGATTGTTTTATTTAGTATCGATAGTGATATGATTATTATACATTTAAAATGTTAAACTTTTCAAATAATTTGCTATAAAATATTGACAGCAAAATAAAAAAGAACTTTCTAGATTTTTAAAATTCCGAGAAGATACACAACAGTTTTAAATATAATAATTAAAAATTTTATTAAATAAAGGCTTTTTTATAAGGTTATATTATTTTAGTTAAAGAATTTGCATTTGTAGAATTTCTTATGGTTAAAAAATATTTACAAATGGCTTAAATAAAACATAACTGTATTTATTGCAGTAATTTAAATAAAAATAAAATTATTTTATATTTTATATAAAATTTAATTACTTAAATAATGCTACGTGTTTTAAAAGCAAGACTCAATAAAAATATATTTCATTAAAATTATTTACAAAACAAGTAATGACATACAATGACCAATTTTTTAGTATTTGCATGTGATAAAATATAGTGTAAAGTATATCCTAAAAATAAGGTATAGATTTTTTTAAATAAATTTTTTACAATTTGAAACAAACAATCTTAATTTTGTTGTAAGTTTAAATTAAAATTAAAGTGCATTAACAGCACAAAGTTGAGATGTAAAAAGTAAAAGAGTATTGGTTTTTACCTGCTTTGATCTTTTAATTAAATACCAATCATGTTTAAGAAAAACAAATAGAATTTAATTAAATACTTAATGGTATATTTATATTGATAAAAAAGTTTTAAATTGATAAATATGAAAAACGAAGACACTTCATTTTTTTTAAATGATAGCATCTATGAAGAGTCACCAGATACTGGTGGTTTAGAGGATTGTGAATATGTTGAGGATGACCACCTTTGTTATTTCAAAATACTTAAATTATTAGGAACCGGTTCAAGTTCAAAAGTAGTGCTAGGGGTAAATACCCTTAACAATGAACATGTAGCTATAAAAATCATAAAACGAAAACATGAACAAGAATTTAAAAAACATGACTTTAGAATATTTCGCGAAGTCATAATGTCTTCTATGATAAATCATCCATATGTTGTTAGGCTTAAAAATTTTATGTTTAGTACATCTTATTATTTTCTTATCTTTGAATACATTAATGGTAAACAGTTATACGACGTGATTGTAGATGAAGGATATTTGGATGAAAAAGTTGCTCGTCGTTACTTTAGACAAATTCTGTCTGCAATAGATTACATTCATAAAAACAGTATAGTACATAGAGACCTTAAAATAGAAAACATTCTTTTAGATGAAAATGATAACATAAAAATTATTGACTTTGGTCTATCAAATTTCTACGATAGTAAAATGTTATTAAACACTTTTTGTGGTTCTTTATATTTCGCAGCACCTGAACTTCTTCAAGGTAAAAGGTATTGTGGACCTGAAATCGATGTTTGGAGTCTTGGTGTTATATTATTCGTTTTGTTAAACGGGTCTGTACCTTTTGATGATAAAGATGTAGGACATTTACAGGATAAAATAAAAGATGGAAAATTTAAATTTGAAATAAATATTTCAGAAAATGCAAAAAAGTTAATAAAAAATATGCTTCAATCTGATCCATTGCAAAGAATAAATTTACAACAAATTATTGATAATAAATGGATCAATGATGGATTTGACATTCCTATACATAACTATTTATTAGAAAGATATCCCCTTAAAAATATTAACAAGTCACATTTAAAAGCACTTGCATCAATATCGAAATTTCAATTTAAAAACCTTGAAAGAGAAATATTGAAATATCATAATATTTGCATAAATGAAGAAAATCTTACAGAACTAAATTATTGGATTAAAAGACCAGTTATTTGTTTGTATTATATGTTATTAGAAATATTCGAAGATGATTCGTCGAATGAAAGTTTGACTGATTTACTTTTAGAACTTGAGGAAGAAAATATTTCTAATGAAATTTCATTTTCTGACGAAAAAGATAAATTTTTGTATAAATTACATAAATTTGTAAATTATGTTATTCTAAAAGATGTTGGTTCTCCTTGTTCTAAATTTTACAAAAAAACGGTATTTAAAAATGCTAATATTGTAGAACAAAAAGCAGGAACTTATCCTTTAATTAAAAATACATACATACAAGGATTCTTTAAAGGAATAAAGATTAGAAATATAGGAACAAAAAATGCACTTAAAAAGATAATACTCGATATTTTAAATGAGAATAGCTTTAAATTTAAAACAAATAAGAAATATTACATGTGTGATGTTCAATATAATACTAATAGTTATGTATCCTTTAAAATAAGTATGTATTTTAATGTAATATTAAGCGAATTTTATATTAACATTACATATATTGATGGTAAAAAAGAAGAGTATAATAATATTTATTCATTGATTTACAATTCTTTAAAAGAACAAAGGGTCTTATAAATGTTAATTTATTTATATTTTGTTGATCTACAAACAAATTACTGATTTAATCTAATTTTGTTAAATTAATATAATATGCTATTTAATATGATTTATTCTTTAGAATTATTATAAAATGGATATCTTACATCAAAACTTTGTACACTACCACTTTGATCATCATGACCAAAACATTCTTCGTGATTTTCTTGGGGTTTGTGTTCATTATATTCTTCGTGCGTTTTACTATTTGTATTATGCTGAAATGAAGAATTATCCTCTACTTTCTGTATATCATCTTCGCGTATAATATTTTTACAAATATCTCTAACACTTTTATAATTTAATTTTTCTGTTATTTTCTTAAAACTTAGATGAACACCAGTGGAATGACTTGATTTAGTAAATTTATAAAAAATAGATGATTTAGATTTGCATTCTTTGAATAAATTAAGCTTTTCTTTGTATGAATATTTGCTATAGGAAGAAACCTCCGGTTCATAAATAATTTTTTTACCATCTATTTTTGCTAGAAAAAAATAAGCATTAAGACAGCTTTTTAAGTGTAAATTTACAATATCATTATAAACTATATTCTTGAATATTAAATATCTTTTTAACTCCGAATTAAATTTAAATTTCATTTGTTTTATATAAGGAGTATCAATATTTTCTATTTCTTGTTCTATTTTTAATTTAGATTCATTTGGGTCTACTTCAGTTTCTGAAATAATTTTATTTTTTCTAGATTGTTTTAAGAAATTATATTTTAAAATATCAGCTTCTTTATAAAAATACAAATATTCATCATAAAATATAATTTTATGTGTTTGTGTCAATATCTTATTTATTGGAACAAGTTTGATTTCGTGTAAGTATTTTTTTACTTCTAGAATACAATTTTCCTGAATCTGTACCTTCTCCTTTTCCCTTACACATAATTTATTCTCATGGCCTACAATTCTCAAATTTTTTTCGAAATCAAAATAAATCCTTCTTCGTTCATTATACTTGTAAATATCATATAATTCTAATTTTATATTGTCTAGTTTATTAAATAAATAATTTAGTACATGTTGCTTGTTTTTTTTCATAATATTTTTTGCAACTTTTGTGGTCTTCCTTATTTGTTTATTTTTTATAGAAAAAATATTTAAAAATTTTTATTTTATTTTTTACCCCCAAAAATAAAAAAATTGAAGCACTTAAATCTTTTTATGTGTCAAAAAGATGCATAGGAGATTATTACTACGTCTGGTTTGCGAGGTATAAAATATGCGATGGAACGAAAACATTGGAAAAAACACCAAATAAATTTTTTATTTTATTTTTTTACCCCTAAAAAATAAAAAAGATTGAAGCACTTGAATATTGTAATCTTTTTAAAAGGTACACTAGAGATACATATGTCTGTTGTTGGTAAATAAGATATACAATGCATATGTCCTTTTGTGGGAATATAAGATATACAATGTATATGTCTGTTGTTGTTAAATAAGATATAAAACGTGATAGACATTAGAAAAAATATTTTTTTATTTTTTTACCCCACCTTTTTTATTCTAAAAAAATATAAAATAAATTTAAACCATTCTAAACACTTTTAAGTTTATAATTATATTAAAATTATTTAATTTATTCATGGTATGTTTTCCAATTGTTTGTAAACCATTTCTTAAATTTTTCATCAATATCTTTATTTACTTCATTTTCAAAAAAATCACCAGTTAGTGATATATCTGTTACTTCAACAGTTTTTTCAAATAAATAACAGCATCTAGATCCCAAAAAGTTTTTAAATTGTGATTCTGTCTCGGTTTTTATAAAGTTGTTTATTTCTAGTTCTTTTAAAATTGTATTATTCTGTAAAGATTTATATAAGTTAATAATATTTAGAGCATGCGAAATTTTATTACTCTCAATAAATGCTGATAAACTCGACATTAAAGTAGTTTTAACTTCATTAATATAACTAATATATGTATCTTTCATATCTTTATTTTTTAATTTATTTTTTTTATTTAGTATTATATATGCATCACTCCAAATATAACTCATGTTAAGTAATTGATTATTTTTTATATCTAACTTTTTAAACATGTCTAAAATTTCTTCATAGAATAAAAAATATTTAAGTAAAAATAGATAAATAAGATCTATATCATAATTATCAGAGAATACTAGGAGATATTTCTTTGATACATAAAGTGCTAGTACAAGATTATGGTTGTTTTTTGAAGCAATAAGATTTGCAAGTACAAGTTTTACATCGTACAAAGATAAAAAACTATTTGCATCGTTAAGCATCGATTTACAAAATTCTTGATTATAGCCATTTTTTATAAAATTTACGATGTTATTTATTTTGCATTCTGGATGTACAGATATTCCTGTTAAATTTATGATGTATTCAATGTCTTTGTAACTTTTTACTCGTTCTAAAAGGGTGTTTACATTATCAAATTCTTTTATATGTATTTTATAATATTGATAATTTATTGTGTCTCGTTCTTTAAGCCGTATTTTGTTATCTACACAATACTGATAGATGTCATAGTCATCTAATTTATCTAAGAGTTTTTCAATATCAATATCTATTATATTTTTAATTAATAATTCTTTTAAACATAAAAAATATAAATAGTCCTTAATTTTAATGGTATTTAGGTGCGATATAGCAAATTCTATACAGAAGTTATGTTTAATGAGATATAATATCAGGTCTAGTTCTATTTTATTGGTTTTTAAAAAATTACTAGAATTTATTTGATCGTTAGTTAATATAAATACAATAAGTGAATAGCTAGAATTTACTATTTCTAAATCTTTAACAATACTCTTCAATGTTGAATGATCATCACTAAAAATTTTTGCTAAAAACATAGCCTTGAGTTTGGAAATTTGAATTTCTGATTTATTCATAAAATTAAACATAGAAGGGAAAAAATTATGTTTTTTTAAAAAAATAAACAAGTGTATTAAAAAGAACAATCTTTGTTAACAATAACATATTTAAATTGTACAGGTGTATTAAAAAAAGCAATCTTAGTTTTAAATTAAAGATTTAGTTTTTTTAAAAAAACAAACGTTGAACTAAAAGGAACAATCTTTATCAATAACAACATATTTAAATTATACAAGTGAACTAAAAGAAACAATTTTTATCAATAACAACATATTTAAATTGCACAAGTATATTAAAAAAGCAATCTTAGTTTTAAATTAAAGATTTATTAAAGCATTCTTTCTACTAGTTCTCCAATAAGATCAAAATGATTTCCTAGATTTCCTCCTTCAGTAAAACCTTTACTTTTTTTACCTTTATATCCACCCTGTGGATTTTTAAGTCTAAAAGGAATGAGAGTGTTAGCACACACTTTAAAATATTCCGTACGAAAATAAATATTAGAAACAATCTCTTCAATACATTTAAGTTCTCCATTAAAAGCATCTTCAATATTTTCATTAGTTAATTTTCTGTGTCCGCCCTTTAATTTTATGGCTCCGTGCTTGTACACCATTTTTCTTAGCAGTTCATAAGAAATGGTCCCATATGCCACATAATCTTTAGCAAATTGTAACATCCTCTTCATACTTTTATTATTTTTAACTAAAACAGCTGAATTGGTTCTTTTAAGCCTTAGAAGTTTTAAAATAGATCTTTGCCTTGGTGGTGCACCAATGCTTGACTTAATTTTCACAACCACAAGAAAATTAGGCTCTTTAGGAACATATAGCATGTTTTTAGATTTGTATTCTTCTTTAAGATTTTCTAAATCCTTAACACTGTTATAATACTTTTGTAAAAGTTTTTTTGTAGTTTCCAGTGCATATTCCTTGTTCTTAACAACCCTTTGTTCGTATTCAAGCTTCTTAGCTTCAATTATTACAGCACGTTTCTGCTGATATTCTTGCATAATTTTGGCGGAATTTGGAATTACAGCGTCAGACATTTGGGGGTAAAAAATAATAAAAATTTTAATAAAAAATTACTTATACATTTTAAAAAAGAATTTGAAATAATTTAAGTTTTTGCTCTGCTACCAAGACTTAGAAAATTATGTCTTCTACTAATTGATAATGTTTGAAAGTAAAAACACGTTAAATAGTAAGTTATTATAAAAATATTCATTTTTAATTTCAGGTCATCTTAAAATACCAAAAAATTATGTACAATTTTACTATAAATGCATTATTTATTTAATGTTTCTTTATGTATTAAATGATCAACAGTAATAAGTTTATCCATAAGATTATCTACATTCTTAATCATCTTTTTATTTTCAAATGTTACTGTTTTCTCTCTTTGATTAATTTTACATTTACTCTGTTGTGTATTAACCATAAATGATATTTTATTAATAAGATCTTCTTCATTCATCTCCATTAAATCGGTAAAAGTACTAATATTAATAATAGAATAAAACTTTTCAATAATCTTGAAATTATGATAATTAATTGCATCATGTATTTTTAACATAAATATTTCTATATTTAAAAAATTAGTTAATATTTGTTTTAAATCTTCAATAATATCTTTTTTAATGAGTAAATTATCAAGAAATTGATCTAAAATTATTCTCATATTTTTGTCATTATATTTATCATTTAATAATATTCTCATTGTATCATAATCCTTTTCTTCTGCAATAATACAGAAAAATGATGCTAGTACTGCATATTCTTTCTTTTCATAATATTTATTTAAATTTAGATAAGTCTTAGATGCCTCTAAAAAATTACCCTGTCCGAGTAATAAACGTATCTTGTAAGTATAAAAATTTAACCTCTCTTCAATTGCATTATTTTCTTCAAAATATCTTTGTCTTATTCTTTTAAGAATTATATTGGCTTTAATCCAGTCCTGAACTTCTAAACACAACCTTAATTGTTCAAGCTGATATCTAATAATTGTAGTATCATCTATAAGAGTAAATGTCTCTACAGGTACATCTAAAATAAAACTAAGTGCTTCCTCAGGAGAAGAAGCCCTTGACATTAAATATAAAGTATATTCAACCCTTTCTCTTTCTAAATATATTTTACCTTCAATAACTTCAGAAAGTAGCATTTTAATAAATTTATTATCATCTTTTTTACTTGTAAATATTTCATTAACAAGCCACCTTATAGATTCGGGTAACTGTCCTCTTCTAACAGCAAGGATTTTTATAAGTGAAATGATTTCTTGGTCAGTGTTACATGTCTGTAACATTTCCATAAAAATAGACTTAAGAGCATTTAAATCCCCTTCTTTTCTCGCAAGTCTTTCTTTTTCGTATAAACTTTCATTCATGCTAGGGCAAAAAATTTAAATAAATTTAAAAACAAACAAACAAATTATAAAATTTAAAATATCAAAAATATGTTTATTCATCAATTAACACTATAATTCGAGGATAGTCATCCTTTTCACTCTCTGTAGCTACATCTACTACAACCAATTTTCTGTTTTTAACAAAATCGACCAGTTCACTAACTTTCTTGTTCAAATTTTCATCGTATTTATTATCTACATTCCAATATAATAGTTTATTATCAATAGTCAACATACTAATTTCCGTCTTAAATTGTATCTCAAATGCTTTTTTAATATTTTTTAGTAGTGTATTTTTATATTCTAATCTGTTCCACATATTAAAATAGTACTTTTTATTGTCTGAAATATAATAATATTTTTCCGCTTCAATTGGGTCTGATGTTGCAAAAAAAGGCAAGGCTAAGTTTAAAAATGAATTTTTATATTTAGAATTGTTATATTTCAAATATAGCTTGATCAACTCAATAATAGATAACCCAGATACTACAGCCGTAGTGGTAGCTATGGCCGGTATTATACGCCCTGCTATACCTTTTGTAGCGAGTTTATCAATATTTTTTATTTTATAATTTTGCGCCCTTAAATTTGCACAGGCGTAAATAAAATCTACATGATTATTTAGATCATTATCTTTTTCAAACTCTTGTGATTGTAAATTTTCTTTATTGATTTTTACGTTTTTATCTCGAACAGTAGAAATATTATCAATATTTTCTAATTCATTATTAATAAAACTTTTAACATATTCATTATCTAAATTGTCTCCTTGTATATTAAAAATATTTTTGTAAATATTGGCTGTACTTCTAATAAATGTTAGATGTAAATCATTCTCTATATCAAAATTAATAGAAACGGGTGCTCTTTTCGGTGGCATCCAAAAAGGTTGTCCTTCTTTAGTAAGAGAATCAGGTGGAAAAGTTTTTAAAAGTTCTTGAATTGACGTGTGGAAATATTTTATAAAAATTCTAAGACCCAGTCTTATACAGTCATCTTTTGTCTGTGGAGAAAGATTATTTAGTTCTATCAGATCATTATCTTCTTCTTCACTACTAAATTCTTTAAGTTTTAAAATTTGGTCATTAAATTTTAATCTAAATTCACTTAACGCCCATTCAATTGTGTGTTCGATGGCATGAGGAAAATTCTTTATTGTACACAAAGGAATAGATTTCTCAGGAGGATCCCTACTAGAACCATACGATTCTGAATAAAATGGAATTATTACCTGTACATTGCCCTTTGTTCCAGATGTACCAGCATCAACAAGTGGTTTTCTATGTAAAACACACCTTTCATCAATGTACATTCTTGCTTCAACATTATCTAGTGCATTTGCTACTACGTCTAGATTTTTAAAAAAAACATCAGAAAAGATTTCTTCCGTTTCTTCTCCCACTTTTAAATTGAAATATCGAATATTATCGTTTTTTATAAAATCTTCATTTAAATCTTTAACTTTCGATACAGCAACTTCTGCTTTCATTTTTCCTACATCTTCTTTAGTAAATAAAAACTGCCTGTTTAAGTTACTTTGTTCAATAGAATCCATATCAGTAATATTAATTGTACCTTGTGAGGCCAATCCACACATAATAATATTTTTTAAATGCTCACAACCTATTGCTCCTGCACCAACAAGAAATAATTTCATATTAAAAAGTTTGTGTAAATTTTCTTCACCAAAAATTTTATACATAGAATTATATCTTCCATAATTTTTTTTAGTTAAATTGAAATCTGTAACTAATTCAAGTGCATCATAGTACATGAATTGTACTAAAGGTGTAAATTTACAACTAATTGCTTTCAAGGCTTCTTGTGTCACAAACCCCCCTACAATAGAACACATGGGCATAAATAGTGTATCACACTGTCTTCCAAATATTTTAATACAAAGCTCTTGACTGTTATATTTTTTTATATAAAAAGATTGAAATTGATCTTCGTTGGGCAAACAATGATACTTTTCAAAATATTCACCAAGGGCTATAAAGCATTTATGGCTTATTTTATTTTGTAAATCAGATTCAAAATTATAACTTAAAATATTAGGACTGTCAATAAGATCTTCTAACATTTTAAAATTAAATAGCTTTGGTCTCTTTACCTGTTCAAAATCCCCTCCATATATTTCTACAAAATTAAATGGCATTTCTTTTATATTAGAAAATTCACTATCTAAAATAGAAGACCCATCAATTTTTGTTAGTTGTATTTGATACTTATTTAAACTTTGAATTTTAAAAAGTACCCCTTCGTACGTAGAATGTCTATTTTCGTCATTTTTCATATTTTGTATAATTTTTATAATATCTCCATCTTCTAGATTATGTCTCTGTTCATCCACAACAGTTAATATTCCAGTGTCAGAAATATCATTAATCATTCCTATGACAGGTGCTTCACCATTTGTGTCTAAACAGATAAAATCTGTGCCAAAATCACAAAATATTTGTGAAAAAACTCCTCTACTTTGACATCCAATATATCTACAATTATCTCTTCTAGCTTGTTTATTAATTTTTATCATATTTTGCACGTGTTCATTGCAAGAAATAATAAGATCAAATCCTACAAAACTAGTAATTTCATCTAAAACTTGTACTAGAACATAATCATTTAATGTTTTAAATCTTTCCAACAGTGTAAAATCTCTACGTTTTCCAATATCCTTCTTCGACAGATAAAATCCTGTAGAAAAATCTTCTTCTTTTATTTCTAATGCATCATGAATGTAAATTTGAGATACACCAGTAAGACATAAATTTTTTACAACCTCTTGACCTAGTCCATCTAAACCAATAACCAATATTCTACTTTTCATCATTTTTTCCATAGCATCTTTTCCTATGACATACAATTGTCTTGAGTATAACGATTCATCAATTTGTGTATTCATAAAAAGGGTTAAAAAAAATATTTTATAACTTTATGCATAAATAATTTTTTAAATAAATTTATTTATTTTTAACAAACAAATAAAATTTAAAAGGCAGAAAAAATTTAAAACTTTACGATTAATGTAATGTAATTTTGTTCTGGATAATTTTTTTTTAGTAAGAAAAGTACGCTTAAAATACCACAATCCATATGATGTTTAAAATATTACAGTCAATATGATTCGTAAACTAAATTTGTTTAAATTTATGTAATAAGGCAGTTTTTACTTTTTATAAATCTACAACCTTGTTTCATTTCTACATACAGTTTTCTTATATAGTCTAAGTTAATAAAATTTATTTTCAAGCATTTAACAAAATGATTATAAATATATTTATGTTATTTTTGAAGAGTATTTGCTTTTTTAAAAAATCTATTTTTTATAGTAAAAACCAAATAGTTTAAGATTTGTATTTTGTGTATGCAAAAAAAATCACAGGAGTACAAAAATGCAATTTTAACATTAAATGTTTATTGTAAAATATACTTTTTTTAATTGCAACTTTAACATAAATGTTTATTGTAAAATATACTTTTTTAATTGCAAATTTAAATGTGTTTAAGAAATAAAGCAAAAAATAAAATGAAAAAAATTAAGAAATTATTTACTTAATATTAGTAAATAAATCATTATCTAGGATTCTTTTAAGCATTAATCTTACTAAATATCTATTAATATACTTTTTTGTTTTATGTCTTATGTTGGTTTTACTTTTAACTCCTTGCCAGTTACCTTCTATTTGTTTGTATGACAATTATTGCTTGTGTTCGCAAACTCAATGGAATGGTTAACCGTTTTATGTTCTGTAAACAAATTTGACAGCTTTTTATATGATGAAAAAAGTTATTATATATTATCGAGTCTTTCTAGGCATAATTAATCAATAATTCTTCTATTGTTTGCGCCTTTCTATTTTCTACAGACACCATAATAATTCGTCTATTAAAAATTCTTTCTACCATTCTGAAAACCCAGACACCTTCTACCCGGTGTCCTTTATGACATTTAACCTTGCCAAAAAAATATCTGTCCCACCAACTTTACCATCTAGATTCTATCATATTCATTTTTTTAATTTTATGTCTGATAGGTTTTTGTCCTACCTCTAGAAATTCACTTATTGCCTTTTGCTTAACATTGACAGACCACAGTTAAAAATAAAAAATATTTTCTTGACTTATAATTTTTTATAGAAAAAGGAGCATCTTTTAACAAAACCATTTTTTTCTACAAAATTTCCAAGTACATCTGTAAGCATAATATTTAATATTCGCTGCTTAATGAATTACATCTCATGCACTTTCAAAACAAATTCTTAATTATTTTATTACATATTAAAAATATTTTTTCTTCTTTGCATAGCATTTTTGGGGTTATTTTTTAAAATAATAATTTTTATAGCCTTTCTGGCCACAAGAACAAAAAAATTTTTAAATCAAATATTTATTTGCTCTTTAAAATATTAGGCTAAATCACTTATCTATTAAAAAGATATAAAGATTTTCAAATTTTGATAAATTAAATTTATGAAAGTATATTTTAAATTTAAAAAAATTGATTTTATTTTTCCATATTTCCCTATTATTTATCATTAACACAAATATTTTGTTATACTTCAAGCTAAATAATTAGTCTAAATACTGTTTATGCAGTTATCTTAATTACATTTTTATTAAATTTTTATTGATATTTACTATAATAGCTCTATTGTACCAAATTTGTGTTTAATAGTTGTTAATTACATACACTATGTAACAACATATAAGTGCTTTGTTTTATAAAAATACATACTACAAAATAAACTTTTATTTTGTAACAAATAATCTCAATTTATAAAATTTACTTTACATGACATTGTTTATGTTTCATTTTATCTAATACGAATGTTATATAAAAATTTGTAAATAACGTTCTTTTAGACTTATATTACTTTTAATAATTTTAAAAATTTTTGGCCTTCAAAATGATGTGGAACTTTATTAAAATTTTAATATTTTTGAAAATAGTATTAGCAGATTCGGAGGAACATAGTAGTGAATTATTACTTGATAGACCTTTTTGTAATCCCCATGATAGTTGTTCTAAAAAAAATAAACAAGAAAATACATCACTTGGCTGTGGAAGTCATACTAAAAGCGAAATTTATATGATTACTGACACTTCAGAAGGTTTAGAACAGACTTTCAGAAAAATACCAGAGTTTTTAATTCAAAAAGAAGTTAAAAATATTTTTAAAAATGAGAAGGAACTTATGGAAACACAGCCGCTTTTTGAAAAAGTAGAGACTTATCAGAGTAAAGAAAAAATGAATGAAACAGATCTTAGCGGTTTATATACATTTAAAAAGCAAAATCCGCCATTTAGTGAACACTTTTCCTGTGTTATTAATAGCGAAAGTGAAGAAGATGAAAGAATAAGTTTTGAACAACGGCGAATTTACTTAGGCGATAACTGCGATGTGATTTTAATTTGTGTGTATTTTATTTTAGGAATAATTATTGCAGTTAAAATGGTTTGTGTTTTTGGACCGGCAATTTTTGCATTTTTTACAAGGATGCTTGCTATTTTTAAAACTAGAACTATTTTAAATCAGTAGATTAGCTTTTTGGGTTGGATTGAAAATAAATCAATTGGAATTTTAACAAATTTAATTCTATTTTTGTTTTGCAAAGTAGTTTTTTAGCAAAATTTTACTTTTTATAAAAATTTTAAAATTTACAGACTATTAAGCTAAAATAAGAAACTAATAGTTTGTAAAACTTAAAGATTATTTGTTTTTTGAGTTTAAATTGTGTAATATCGCTTTTATTGTTAAGACTTTTAAATTTTTAGTTTTTAACATCAAAAGTAAAATAAAAAGCATGCAAATGACATATAATTTTAAAAAACCTTATTTTTCTGCAAATAGATTGATAATGTAAAAACTATTATTTTTCCTAAAATAATTAACGAATAATCTTTATGATAAATAATTTTTGGAAATAAATAGTTAATATTGTAATGTATTCTAAAGAGAAGTTAAGAAAATAAAATTTATAAGTTTAGCAATTAAACATCTTAGCTTTTACAATATCTTTACTTCGTGACGTCCCAAAACCATTACTTTTTAATAATAATAATAATAATAATTTAATTGTTTATTTATTAATTCTTTTCGGAGAAACTATTACACTTCCTGATTCCACCACCACAAACTTTCAGAACATTTAACATCATTGAAAGCTTTCTTTTCTCAGCATATTCTTTTATACCTTTGTAATTTTTTTTTTTTCATTAGCTTCATCATTCTTGTATTGAAAACTCCTCTTTCCTTAATATCAACATCGCGTATTATCAACGCAGCATACCA